GTTTCCGTTACAGCTTAACTCAGCCCCACCCAATACCCACATGTTTCTGGGTATGATAGGACACGATGCCAACCCTTGACTAAAAAAGGAGGCATTTCCAATGGAAACCCAGGTTTTCCCCAAAAAATACATTAATTGAACAAAAAAACGGGCAGTTGGAGTAAGGGGTAGCCGAACACCCAACTAGAGCGTTTGTGCCCAACACCCCGTGTCCACCCCCGGTGTCGTCTGTTAGAGCCCCCGCTGTCACCACCGCTGCCGGCAACGGACCGAAGATGTGCAGGTTATCCCAAACCTGAGCCACGCTGACAGCCCCGGTTCCACAAGAATACCAACTTGTTTTCGGTTATGATAGCGACCCTGTCCTATTAAAAGGAGGTATTAAACCCGCTTTCCCATCCAAAACGTGTTGTTTAGTTTGCATGATGTGTCGACCCTTTTACTAAAAAAGGGCTCGTTTTCTACCCTGGAAAACCGTTCGGTTGTAAAAAGGAGGTATTAAACCCGCTGTTCCACCCAAGACGCTTTGTTTAGTTGGCATGATCTGTCGGCCCTTTACAAAGCAGGATGGGTAATTGCCTTGGAAAACATATGTTGTTCTGAGTCTCTTGTCCAAAAGATGCCATGAAAAAAGCAGGTATTTAGAGGAAGGGGGAGGTGTAGTGACCACAAGGGACAATTCCAGCAAGTGTCCTGGAAACTTGGTGCTTTTCGGGTCAGGCAAACTTTACATCGGGAGGAGGGATGTGGGTCGCAACTAGTCAAACACCTAACCCCAGGCCGATGGCACCTGTGAAGTGCCCTGCCTGATCTGTTTGTCATGGAACACTCCATGACCCGGTCCTTAGGGAGACTCCAGGTATGGCTGCTCCTAAAAGACGGGCCGCGATGCCACTCGCAACCGAAAGGGCTCGAAGTTAAAGATCAAAGGCGCCCCAAGTGCCTCTTTTTCGGCAGTAAAGGGAGCCCGAAAGGAAACCAGCTATTGGGGTTTCCTGGTTTCCCCCCTGTTCGGAGACAAGCTACACCTCCTACTCAAAATACCTGCTTTTTTTCAGGGCATTTTCAAGAAAACCAATCGGTTTTCCAAGGTAAACTTTCTTCTTTTTTAGTAGAGGGTCGACATGATACCCTCAAAAAAGAAAGGCCGGGTATTTGGAGTCGGGGTCATGTCGACCCTCTACTCAAAAAGGGATCGGTATTTACGCCGGAAAACGCCAGGCTGTCCCAAAACATACCCTTGAAAAAGGCCGGGGATTTGGAGCTTTCGGGGGTACCTACCACTGAACGTGGGTATCATTTACCCTGGAAAACCGATCGGTTTTCTGCAAAAGTTGGTATTTGGAGCTTTCGGGCTATGAAGTCATCCACCCCTCTCCACAAGCCCTGGGAGTCAAGTCGACGCGTTGGTTGAAGTGTTCGTTCCCATAGCTCGCTCGCGCCTGGACGTTCAAATCGCTGAAGTTGGCCACCTGCGGAGCTGGGTTGGGGAATTCACTTGGAGTCTGCGATCTTTGGATGGTAGGCTCACTTTTTCGCTCAAAACAAGCTTCCCCCCTCCAAATACCCGTTTTTGTTTTTGTTGTCCTCTCTCTCTTTTTTGCGGTGCCATGTCAAGCCACTGCTAAAAAGGGCGGGAGTTGTCCTGGAAAACCAGGTTTTCAAAAAACACAACAAAAACGGGAATTTGGAGTCAGGGAGTCTTGGGACTGAGGGTAGGGTCATGAAGCCTCGGCTCCTGGCTCATGTGAAGGCCCCTGGAATCGACCAGGTGGATTATTTCACGAGATCATGCCTGCAAAAACTGTCATTTTTGGGACCCTCCAACATTGTGGTCGTTGGCTTCCCTTTCAATCCCACAAAACAAGGGTGCCCTCAAGAACAGACATCATCTCCGAAGAGCTAAAACCTGAATAATCCCTTCTTCCAATGCTAAACAGTCCCCTAATACTAAAACCGAATTTTGAAAACCCAAAATCCGGGAATAAGACTTTTAGAGTGGCCAATGCTAAACCAATTCTAAAGTAGGTATTTTCCCACCCGTGCCCAAATCCAGCCCGATTTGGGGGACCCGGGAGTACGTGTAAAGTTGCGACTTTCGAGCTGGATCTCCGGGAGTACGTTTCCTGTACTACGGCTGTACTACAAAGTTGCGACTTTCGAGCCGGAGCTCCGGGAACAGGGGGACCCCTAATGCCAAAGCCGGTTTTTCCGCGGGGACCCGCGTAGTATTGGGGGGGGGGGGGGGGGCGCGCGTTTAGCATTGGGGGGCAGGGATTAAAGTCCAAACAGCCCTGTAATTACCTCCCTACAACAATCATGGACCGATGAAAACTGACAATTGGAATGCCGCTTTTCTTTTTGGGAAAGCTCCCTAAGCGGCCCTGTCCACTTGCACGATTGTTGTGGAACTCGGTGAAGATTCAAGCCCAAGCCTTAAAATAAGCCCGTTCTTTGTCCATCATGTTCGCCAAAGGGCAAAGAAGCATGGTCCCAAATGTAGTAGGTTCACAGGCAGCGTGCGATCCAGACTGGTGAAACAGCTGGAACATACTCCAAAAAAACTTGGCCCGTGCCAAAGGAGAGCTGCTTACGGCACAATTCCATTGAAATGTGCGCTGCACATCTGGAATTAGACAGGCAGGCCATGACCCAGAAACAGGATGGAAGACTCGCGTCTTGCCGCTGTCGCCCTCTTTTTCTGCTCTACGGAGCGGCCGGCCGTGACTCCCCATGCGGACTGGCAGGCGGATTCGGCGGTTTCCGTCTTGGATAAAGTTGACCCAGGAGTTGGTGGATGAGTAGCGGGGCGTCCCAGTTTACAGAAAATCCTTAAGACATTTTTGCAGGACCCCCCCGGCGATGGTACTTATCTGCCAGGAGGAATGATCTGAACTTGTGCACATTTTCGGGGAGTGATGTCCAAAGGCAAGTTCCCATTTTCTTTAAAATACCCCTCCAAATACCATTTTTTTGGGGGTATGATGTCAATCCTTTACTAAAACAAAGGGATTCCATGGTACCTGCTTCTGCAATGCTACACATCACCAGGAATCGACCTCTGGAAATGAGCCTCGGTTCCTGTTGTTGAAAGGGCCCGAAGCATTCTCAACTTACCCCCTACTACCCGCTTTTCTCAGGGTAGTTTTGGGAAAACCGATCGGTTTTCAAGGCCAATACTTCTTTTTTTAGTAGAGGGTCGACATGGTACCAACTGAAAAAGGCCGGGTATTTGGAGCTTTCGTGGGTAGTTTTAACAAATGTGTTCCAGGATGCTACGCCCATGATTCTCCTTCTGCGCCGGGTTCCGTTTACTAGAGCACGCGTAGGGTTCCCTGACGGATCCCAGCAGCTTTACGCACATGCTGCCGATTTCGTGCCGATTTCGCGACATCGCAGTCCGCGTGTCTAAGCCGCACGCTACTTGTCTCTATGTACAGCAGCTAGTTGCTAGGACCTTGTGTCCCCGTGCTGCTCTACTTGAAAGAACCGCCTTCTCGACTTTATCCTTGATAGTGAATGGCGCAACTCACTTGAATGGCTCAGAGCGCTTTCCCGCAAAGATGGGCGGTTTCTCTGGTAAGCGGACTCAAAAAAAATCGGCCATGGCAACCCATACCTTGCACCTACTAGGTCCTCCTAGGTCCTCCAGTAGAGAGGTCAGAATAAGCGCACCCTTTTTCCTGCAGTCTATTTTAGTAGGGGAACCCTCCCCGAAACAAGGGCGAAAGGGCACTACTCAAGGACCTAGCCTAATTCACTCGGGACTCAAGTCGGAGTTCGTGTTACCAGCTTGGGCATGGCTTTGTCATGAGAAGGGGCTCACTGGTGTTAGCCACTTCGGGCTTTGCTTTGTCAACAGTGCAAGTATGCAACTAGGCCGGCCACACACCAGGATCAACCTCCGGAAGTCCCCGTTGCTTTCCTAGTTGAAGCGCAAAGAAATTCTCAAGAATGGGACCTGCAAACCGGATGAGCCCCGCTGAAACTGCAGGTTGATTCTTTTTTTGGACCTTCTCCACATCAAAGCGATCCATCAAATGTGCGAGTGGTTTGCCGAGACATGGTGGCTTCTCCCCGATCGAACCTGAAGCAGAATTGTGGTCTAAGGCTGAAAGCTCCAAATACCACCGCTTGTGTTCCTTGTTTTATTAAAAAAGAAATGGTTTTCCCTGGTACATGCCTGCTTCTTAGTAAAGGGTTGACATGATACCCGAAAAAAGGAGGGTTTATTGGAGCAGGGAACCTTGAAACCCTCGCGTGATCTGTCTGGCTATCTATCCATCTGTCCATCTGTCTGTCGATCTATCCATCTGTCTATCTGTCTGTCGATCTATCATCCATCTGTCTATCTGTCTGTCGATCCATCCATCCATCTGTCTATCTGTCGGCATCTAATCTGTCTGCCGATCTATCTGTCTAATCTGTCTAATCTATCTATCTATCTAGTTGTCTATCTATCTGTCTATTTATCTATCTATCTATCCATCTAGCTATAGAATATACATCACATCTATATTTAGCACACGTCAACGTATAAATGAAACAAGAGGAGACCCAGAAACCGTATGTATCATGTAATACCTCTGCGGTATCTGACCAAGGCTTCACTTTGGGTACTGTCGCAGCGGACGAAACGTGACGTTGTCATAGTTTGACCAAGACTCCATAGCATGAGGGCTCAAACAATGAGAATTTGGTTGTGGGGTGCTGTGAACCCCATTTCAGTCGTGTTGGTAAGAGTAAACTACTAGTGATGATTTAGCCCTTTGAATCATTTGCCCAATTCATTTAATACAAAAATACTTCAGGGAAACACAATGTTTGCGTGGCACATCCCTCAAAACAATATGTTTCCACCAGGGCAGGACAAATTTACAGGTTTTTAAGTCTCTGGGTATATAGATGTATATACATATGATACATATTGTCTTATTTACTACCCGTTGAATTAGCTGTCATTAGAGAGGTCGAGACCGCGCCTTTGAAGCGGACACCCCTCAGTCACCATCCAGTAGGCCGGCGCGGTTCGCCGCGACCGAGGCCTCCCGGAAACAAAGAACGACGGGCGGTGGTTGTTGTTGCATTTGGCTGTGGGTCAAAAATCGGTACAAAATGGACATCTCGTGAATGGAAAATCCAATTGAGTCAATTCTGTGCGCGTGCTTTCTTGCTATTTCTCCTTTCTTGGCTTGGGAAAAGGTTGCTGTTTCCGCCAGTAAGCTTGCTGTTTTTGAAGCGGAGGGGGGGTTGGTCTTGCCGTTTTGCGCTTTGCCTCTTGTTTCAGGACCCCGCTGATTAAATGGAGCACAACAAGGGACCCCCGAAACCAGATTTCTCTGAGGATGTTACGTGTGTTCACTTTGTTGCTCGGCCAAAGGGAACCACAGAGAGAATCAGAGAACCACAAGAGACCAGGTGCTCCATGTTGCTTCGTTGCTTAAACAAAAAAACCAAAGGTCGTCGGCCCTTGGAACATGGATAGACTTCGGTTTTCCTTTTGGCTCCCTTTTACACCAAGACAGCTTGGACCAACTCCAGAAAAGACACGCGCAATTCACTGAAGTGAGGTTTCCCTTTAGTAAATTCCCACTCAACCCAAGCATCCCAAACCGGTCGCTGGGCTTGTTTCACGTGCCAGTTCTTCATTGGAGGGAGGCCCTCCCGCGATGAAACCAAAGGGTCATTGGGTCGATGCGCTGTGAGACAACCTTGGCTCGGTTGCTTTCTGCTCCCCTGCTAAAAGTTTAGCTTTGAGTGGCTTAGTACGGAAAACCCATGAGTTGGATCAAACAAGTTAAAGTCCTAACAGCCCTTGGCAAAATGCACCAAAGTTGGCAGGGGGATCTGGTAGGACACACTCAAAAACCAAGGATTCGGATCCCAGGCCACGAGATCACGAGCCCGATCTGGGAAACCGATTGTGCCAAAAAAAAACTTGCTGGCGCGATAGGGAAGGGAATGCAACTGGGGATTCCCAAAGAAATACAGCCGTTTCTCGGGGTCAGACTCCTGCATCTCAGCTAGGTCCTCCAGTAGAGAGGTTAGGAACCCTCCCCCCCCCCCAAAAAAAAAAGAGAGGTAAAAGGGCGCTACTGGACCTAGTCAGTTCGGAGACCCTTGCAACCATCTCAGGGCAGGCGGGTCGATCCTGAAGCCAGGACTCCAGGATCAATGGCAGACCTGCGGGCGGAAGCTTGGGGCGTTGGACGCCCATAGGCGACCAAAGGCAACTGACCAAACTCCAAAGAAAAATATGACAGCCAAGCCTTATCTCACTTGCCGAGTGGATTGGCCAACCATAGCAGCCAAACTGTGTGTTTACCACTAAGTGTGTCTTCCCAAAAAAATTGGAAGTGAATTTGTTGAGGGCGTTGCACCTATTTAGCCTTTGTGGTGTTATCCTTAAGGGAAATGTCCCAAGGGTCTTTTCCGGAGAAACCCGTAACAAGTTGTGCCTTGGTGTCCCAAGGCGCGAAACCAGATTCCACCAAGTAGTGGCTTGCAACTCTTGTGCTGCTTGGAGATGGTCAGGGGGGGATCTATCCCTGGATATGCCGAGGCCAGGTTCCGGGATAAGTCAAAGATAGCTCCACAAGGGGCCTTAAGAGCCAAGATCAATCCACCTTATTTTCTTCCAACACCCAAACGGCCCCAAAGAAACCCGAACAAAGTGGGTGTTTGGAGTAGCAAGTGACTCTGAGTGATTCAGTGGTAAGGAACCCTGGAATTGAAGGGGTAAGCCACCAAATACCAAGGGACTAGGGTCCTGGACCCGCAAACTACCCAGAAACATCGGGGAGTGCAGACTTCTCGTGTGTGATCCCATTCTTCCCCGGCCCGCTCCCTTTTTCGATACTTGTTTTGAATGCCCAGCCAGGCAGGTTTTGAGACCCCAAAACCCCCCCCCCCCCCCGTTTTTGGGGGGTGTCCCCTGGGTCTTCTTCTGGAAGCCGAAGCCGATCGGAGCGTCGGGGCATGGAAAGCAAAGCCAGACATCGCTCGATAACTTTTGGGCAACGACCATGGTTTTTGGGCAGTTTGAGGGTCCAGGATGATTTGTTTGAGAGTCCAGGATGATTTGCTTGAGAGTCCAGGATGATTTGTTTGAGAGTCCAGGATGATTTGTTTGAGAGTCCAGGATGATTTGTTTGAGAGTCCAGGATGATTTGTTTGAGAGTCCAGGATGATTTGTTTGAGAGTCCAGGATGATTTGTTTGAGAGTCCAGGATGATTTGTTTGAGAGTCCAGGATGATTTGTTTGGAGAGTCCAGGATGATTTGTTTGAGAGTCCAGGATGATTTGTTTGAGAGTCCAGGATGATTTGTTTGAGAGTCCAGGATGATTTGTTTGAGAGTCCAGGATGATTTGTTTGAGAGTCCCAGGATGATTTGTTTGAGAGTCCAGGATGATTTGTTTGAGAGTCCAGGATGATTGTTTGAGAGTCCAGGATGATTGTTTGAGAGTCCAGGATGATTTGTTTGAGTCCAGGATGATTTGTTTGATCCAGGATGATTTGTTTGAGAGTCCAGAGATGATTTGTTTGAGAGTCCAGGATGATTTGTTTGAGAGTCCAGGATGATTTGTTTGAGAGATCCCAGGATGATTTGTTTGAGAGTCCAGGATGATTTGTTTGAGAGTCCAGGATGATTGTTTGAGAGTCCAGGATGATTTGTTTGAGAGTCCAGGATGATTTGTTTGAGAGTCCAGGATGATTTGTTTGAGAGTCCAGGATGATTTGTTTGAGAGTCCAGGATGATTTGTTTGAGAGTCCAGGATGATTTGTTTGAGAGTCCAGGATGATTTGTTTGAGAGTCCAGGATGATTTGTTTGAGAGTCCAGGATGATTTGTTTGAGAGTCCAGGATGATTTGTTTGAGAGTCCAGGATGATTTGTTTGAGAGTCCAGGATGATTTGTTTGAGAGTCCAGGATGATTTGTTTGAGAGTCCAGGATGATTTGTTTGAGAGTCCAGGATGATTTGTTTGAGAGTCCAGGATGATTTGTTTGAGAGTCCAGGATGATTTGTTTGAGAGTCCAGGATGATTTGTTTGAGAGTCCAGGATGATTTGTTTGAGAGTCCAGGATGATTTGTTTGAGAGTCCAGGATGATTTGTTTGAGAGTCCAGGATGATTTGTTTGAGAGTCCAGGATGATTTGTTTGAGAGTCCAGGATGATTTGTTTTAGAGTCCAGGATGATTTGTTTGAGAGTCCAGGATCCAGGATGATTTGTTTGAGGTCCAGGATGATTTGTTTGAGAGTCCAGGATGATTTGTTTGAGAGTCCAGGATGATTTGTTTGAGAGTCCAGGATGATTTGTTTGAGAGTCCAGGATGATTTGTTTGAGAGTCCAGGATGATTTGTTTGAGAGTCCAGGATGATTTGTTTGAGAGTCCAGGATGATTTGTTTGAGAGTCCAGGATGATTTGTTTGAGGGTCCAGGATGATTTGTTTGAGGGTCCAGGATGATTTACCTGCAAGAGGTCATGATTTACCTGGGTGGCTCGTAGGGTCCGAGTGAGGGCGGTCCGAGCTTTGACCGAGCCCCAGGCCAAGCAGCACCATGGCGGTGCGGCTGATGCCCCAGCTTCCTCGCGGAAAGAAGCAACACATGGGTGTGGCTCAAAATTAAACAGGAGGGGCAAACCGCAGGTTTTGGTCCATGTCTCCACTTACCAGGGTTCCATTTTGGTACTGGTTTTTTGAGCCACAGCCACCTTCCACTGAATCGACCACTGGGGAAACTCGCCACCCTAACGCTTCCCGATTCGTTTTGGAGCCTCAAAACTTTGTTGCTGTTGACCCCGCAAAAAGTTTAACTTTTTGTGAGTTGTGTTGTGAGTTTAGTGGAAAACCTCTTGACTTCCTAAAAGGTTAAAGCCTAAAGATCCAACCCAATAGCAGTCAAGAAAATGGGTTGTTTTCTTTCCGAACCCTTGAGGAATTGGTCCGGGTTCTTCATTGGAGGGCCCCTTGTGGGCCTGCATTGGTGGGGTCATAAGTGAGCCTGAGGGAACGAGGACAACCCCGAAAGCTCCAGATAGCTGCTTTTGTTGTGGACACCGATCGTTCTTCCAGGGTCAGGGTGTGAAGGGTTGACTTCGACAGCGCTAAGGGTTTCCGGGTGCCTTCTAAGACATACTGCGAATAGAGTCCTACGGAATTTGATCAATTTGCGAGGTCTCCAACTATATAATCGGAAGGCTGACCAAGACTGCTCGGTGGTTTCCCAGTTGCCCGATGATGCTGGTAGCAAAAGGTTTTGGGGTCGACCAAAAAAACTAGTTGGGAACCCAGCAAGCCCAAACGAACCAAGGATGCCGAACAGCAGCTTGCCCGAGGCACAAAACCCGGAAAAGCATGAATAGCCATCAAACACGCAGGAGTCAGAGCGCCCCAGCCTGGCTCCGGACTAAGCGCAGACTTGGACCCTCTCCATAAAAGCTAATCGGGACAGAACTCGGGGTTTTGAGATGCTTTGTTGCTCTCGCTTCCTGAGTTGATTGGTCAAAAAAAGTCCAAACTTTTTTGTTTACCACCAAAATGGTCTTCCCAAAAAGAATAGAGTCCATGAACTCAGGGAGTGAGTGCTTCACAAAGATTTCAAGCGGGGTTAACTTGCAATCCTTAAACCTGGGTAGCTAGAGAGGAGTGAATTCATTGAGGGGTTAGCTTTAGCGGGCTTACTGGGGGGTTCTAGGGTGTACTGGGGTCTGGGGTTATTGAGGTTTGCTAGGGGCTAAATGATTTCAAGGGGTTACCAGGTAACTTTGGGGTTACTCGGGGCTAGGGTCTGACATGGTGGCTACTTTGGGTTAGCCTCTGGATTTCCTACTTCGCTCACTCACTCGCAGATGGCTTACAATAAACCTGTTGGATGAAATGCCCAACACTCAGTGCCATTGTTCAACCAGCCTTGCTTCTTATTGCAGGGGATTCGCATGAAGTCCGTAATCTGAACATGCGTATTGGCAAGCCTTCGCTTGGCTCACTCCCCGTACAAAAAATAAAAAATGTGACCCTCCATGGCTCACACCATCAAAAAGATCAAGCGCCGCAGCTGCTGTACCTTTGTCATGAGGCGAACCCGCTGCTTTTTCCCGTGGGTTACCGAGGCTCGGGGAAAGCGATCCGCATCGGCAAAACCCGAGCGAAGAAGCAACAGGGATCCGGATGCATACACCGATCGAGCCTTGCAACTTGTAAATGGCGGTGTCCCCGTTATGTTGGGTACGGAAAAAGCAACATTTTTTTTTTTTCTGGTGGGCAAGTGGTATCCTTTGTGGAGCCCCGCCGAATAAAGAACGGCTCGCCTTTTCCGGAATCTGGACTATGGCTGCACCCGCACACCACCCATGAAAATGGGATATCTTTTAAGGAGCCCTGAACAACAACACCTGCTAGCATGAGTGTGTCTGGCAGCGAAACGCGTGGGCTCCCCTTGGGCCATGACGCTCCGCTAGGTTCTTCCAGGTTTTCCCTGCTGTAGATCCCCCAGCAAAAAAAGTGAAGAACTTTTTGCTGGTTAAAAGGAAATATGACGGGAATCCAAGAAGTTAAAGTCTAAAGATCCAACCCAATAGCGGTAGAGTTCCATGGCACGAGTTAGGAATCCTTTCTTGGGTGTTTCAATTTGTAGGTTGGGAACCTAGGTCGCAACCCACTCATGAGTCCCCGAGGTGCTTAACCCTGTCTCAGTTGCCCAAAGGACCCAGAAATAGAAGGTTGGCGTTTTCGGACCATGACTAACAATTGACCAAAACAAGAAAACCGAAAGGTCAAAAGGTTGGTTTTGGGCAGTAGGGAGGTTGGAATAAGGGTACCAACTTTTTCTGTGGTCTATTTTCGTAGGGGAACCGAATCTCCAAAAAAGGAAACGGTAAAAGTTGGCATCTAGCTGGGGGACCTAGTAACCCAAACTTTGGCCTTCCGAACCTCTGAGTTGGTCACCCCGGTCCCCAAAGGAATCCGTAGAGCAGCGAGGCCGGCCCTCTGCGCAGGAACTGCCAGTAGAGACCTGGCAGGCGGCTTTGTCTCACCCGGACGCTTAGCGGCTTACTCCCTACTCAAAATACCACCACCTGTTTCAGTGGGTATTTCTTGTTGAAAACCGATCGGTCTTCCATGGCAAATACCAAGCCCTTTTTAGCAAAGGGCCGACATGATACCAACTGAAACAAATTGGATTTAGAGCAGGGGGTACAACCCCAAACGGGGTTCTGCAGCCAAAGGCCGACGGCTTTCTGCACCCCACTAGAACGGAACAGAACCAGAAAACCCAAAACCATCAACTCCGCAAAAAACATGGCAACATCTGCCGAGGGAAGCAAAATCCCAGTTTCTGACATTCACATGCCGAAATGGTTAAAAGGATTGCTACAGGGTAGCTGCTTACTCCTTACTCCAAAACCCGTAGTTATCCATTTTGAAGTGTGTTGGAAAACTGTTTTTTAGAGTACAGACCGCAAAGCGCCTTCAAAACAAGAGCATGTTGAAAAACCCCTCCTTTCCGCAACGAAAATCCAAGGCTCTTTTTGCCACCAACCGCCGAAACAACAAACACACTTTTAGAAGAGAACGAGCAAAGGGAACAGTCTAAAGGCAAAACAACCTATTTCTTAGGCAACCTTTACAGGCAAAGCTCTTGAGAAAAACAGAAAGAATTCAAACAAAAGAACCCAAGCCTTTCAAGAGAACCCCTGCTTTCATTTGGTTAAGACCAATGGAAAAAAGAGACTATTTCCAGCAGTGATAAATTCCTTTGAAAACCAACAAGGGAGAACAATAATAATAATAAATAATAATAATAATAATAATAATAATAATAATAATAATAAACTTAAGCAAATGGAAGCCTGACAGCTCCACAAGGCCTGCGAGGCAGAGCGCCCACTCCAAAGGCACCTATCGATTCGACGCGGAACCCATTCGGTCGCTGCGATTCGGGAGAATCCTCTAAAATTCCAACGTCTACTGTTCCATACTCCTTCTAATGGAAAATGCGTAAGGAACCCAAACCCTTTCGCAACCCAAGGTACGGATACAATTGCCTCTATGATGTTGACACTTAAACTGAGTGTTTTTCCTGTGTTGGTCATGTTTGTTGAAAGCCAAGTTGTTTTCAGGTCCTTTGGCAAGTGACAGCCAACAGGCATCCATTTAATTCTGGCTTCAAGCAGCGTTTGGTAGGTGGCCTACCCCAGTCTTCATAAGGCTCCCTGCATCCCAACTGGTGTGGCGTGTAGATTTTGAAAGAAAAGGACCGCCACCCGGAACCTCCCACCTTGATGTTTGGCCAAGTTAGTAAGCTGTTAGTTACCCAACGACAAGGTTAATCCCACGGCTTTCTCGCCTAGGTTTCCGATACAACCTACTAACTTGGCCTAGCAGCCAAAAAAAGAGGCGCCTGCACTGGTCGGGCCACCTCCTGTTGCAGGTGCCCGTGCCTGGCCGGGTTTTGTCACACGACGCGAACGGCCAGGGGGAAGCCTTGTGCAGCTTGTGGAGTGGAGTGCTTTGGACGTGTTCACGGAGTTTCTCGTGCAAAGCCTCTACAAGAACCAGGGCTTCAAATCCAAAGCAATCAATCCAAACCACCAAAGGCTTCCCCTTCAACACTGGTTGCTCTCATTCGACCCTAGGGTCGAGAAGTTGGTTAAGTCACCCTCCTCTGCCCTGAGGGCCCGGACTCTGAAGAACCGCAGCCGCGAAACAGTTTCAGCTCGCCTTTTTTGGAAGCCCCGGGACCCTGGGGTTCAGTTGCCACGAGTAAAACCATGGAACGTTCAGATAGCCACTGTGATTTACCTAAGGATTGTCATCCAAATCGGGTCCTTGCCCTTCTTTTTGTCTGGGGGCAAGGAACCCGGGGGGGATGTTTCAGACAAATCCCGGTTCAAGCCGCTAAGACCAACGAGAATTCCAGGCCAACACCGAAAGAATCGCCTCCTGAGTTGATTGGATCCAAAAACGAGGTACCCACCACTGGCTGTCTCTGCGACGAAAACGGCAACCAAACCCAAGAAGTGACGACCAAGTCCATGAACTCAAGATGGAAGTGAGTCCAACGGAAAGCAGCAAGCAACCACCTTTGAAGTTTAAGTCCGAAATGGAACTCGAGTGAGTTCCAGCCCCTACTTCAAAGACCTGCTTTGTTCAGGGTATCAGGTCAACCCTTTTCCAAAAAAGGGACCGGCATTTACAATGCAAACCCGGGTGTTTGCAACCATACCCACTGAAAAAAAAGACGAACAACAAACGCTTTTGAGGCGCCCCTTGGAATTCTTAACTATGAAGGCCTACCCCCCAAATACCGCAAACTTGGGGTCTTGGGGTAAGGGGCGTTGGTATTTCCGGAGCTTGTGGGGTAAGGAACCCTCCCAGCCAACCAACCTCCTTCGGAGCCAAGCCTGAGGAGGTAGCGGCTGAGCCCTGCCACCGCCATTTGCCCACCGAGACGCGCATTGGACCTCTGGCCGAGCCGAATTGAATCATTCCAAAACCGGGGGTGGGTGGGTACGTTAAAAGGGTGGTGGGTGGTTGAGAGGCCCGTCCTTACGGTTCCTTAAGGTTCCTTAGGATTCCTTTAGGCTTTCTTGGGGTTCCACTCCAAAAGGGGGGTGCCTGGATCCGGATCCAAGCTTGGCCACTCTTTTCCAGCCTACTGGAACCCCACTAGTAGCCCCAAATTTGGGGCAAAAGTAGCCCCGGAAAAAAAAAAGAAATGCAACTGGGGCAGGCGGGTACGTCACAAGGGGGATAAATGCTGAGAGGCCCAGGGTTCCTTGCGGTTCCTTCTCATTCCTTAGGGTTCTTCGGGGAATGCGCCCCCCTTGGACCACCCCCCAAAACTCCATAAACAGACCCACTGTCTGAGCCCGCGAGCCTAGTTGACATGATGAAGTGGAACATACCCCCCACTCATCAACGCAACATGTAGGATGTGTACAACATTTGGTTGCTGTAACGACCCCTCTGCAAAATGTGCTCAGCTTTTTCCGGGTTTCATGCAGGAAAAAAAACCTTGATTTCAACCAACAAGTTGAAGTCCAAAGATCCCTTACCCAATGGCAGTAGTCATAGAAACCAGCTACAGGAAACTCTACAGGAAACAAGCCAAACTCCCACCAAACTCAGGGGTTTCCTGTAACACTTCCTGCAGTTGGTTTGATGGAAGTAGAGAACCTCGGCCACTGCGGACTAGCAAATTTCACCCCACTTCAGGGGACTGGGTGGGTGTTCTCGAGCTTACCGCTTGGGAACTTGGCGAAGCGAAGAGGGGCACAAAGCCATCTCCATTTGCTGAAATCGCCCCTGGAAAAATGAGAACATATGTCCAGCAGTGAAAATGATTCCCGGAAAAAGAAAAAAAAGAAAAACAAACAAGAGAACACTATGATTTCAGGTGGAAGAAACACCCAGCCTAGAGGGCCCCTTGGTACCTAAGGAGGTATCAGAGCCATTCAAAGCTCCGAGCCCTTGGCTCCCCTCTTAAAACGGGCTTTTGGGACCCAAAGGCTCCGGGGACCACTTCCTGGGGGTCGGAGGGGGAAAACAAAACACAACCCAAAAACCCAAACAACCCCAAAACCCATCTTCGGAGCCCCATTTTCACCCCTCGACTTGGAGCCTTGGCTCACCTCCCTCCTTGGGGTCCCGGGCAGCGCGCCGAGCCGGGCCTCCGCGAAGCAGGAGGCGGCGATGCCGATGCCTCGGTGGCCGGCCGCGGCGAACGCGAGAGACGGAAGCGAAGCGGCTGCGCGGGCGGCCGCGGCGAACGCGAGAGACGCGGCGCGGGTGAAGCAAACAAAAAACCTAAGGGGGGTGAGGGTGGGTGGAGTGGGGGAAGGTGGGGTGGGGGAAGGTGGGGTGGGTGGAGTGGGGGAAGGTGGGGGGGGTGGAGGGGCGGAGGGGGTGGGGGAGGGGGAGGGGGCAAACTTGAGATACACAGACACACACACACACACATACAAATATATATATATATATATATTATTATATGCACGCATGAGTAGGGGTGGGGGGGTGGTGGCACCAAAGAACTTGCCAAGAACTGTGAGGTGTAGTCAGCCTTGTAAAGTACTGATGGACGACATCCTGCATCACCAGAAGGCCATGAAAATCTTTTGGGGCCATCAGTTGGGCCATCTTTCGGGAGGATCCTTTTTGGGGTTGCCTTAAAGCCAACAAGAAAAATCAAAATATGTTTAAGCAAATGGAAGTCGGGAGGACCCATTGTTCTAGGGGTAATTTCCATGTCCATTCTGTCCAGGGAACCACCAAAAAATCTGGGGGAATGGCTGGTTTTTTAAAAGTTCGATAGCTAAAAAGAATGGGGAATCAACCCCTAGAATTGTTGGTTGGTCTTTGCAGAGAATACTCATCCCATGTTTCTTGGGTGGTGCAAGATGGGTTTCGTCCATCCACAGTACCATTCCTGTTTCCTGACAAGACCCCAGGCTTGAGCGGTGCCAATCGCAAGCGCAGCGCTTGGAGGCAAGTCAAACTGAAATGCGGGGCCTCAATGATGGGAAGGACACATGCGCCAACAGCTGTTCGATATTAAAAAAGTGCACGCGGAACAACAAGCCAAGTTGTTAACATGGGCTACTCATGTTCCTGAAAATGAACAAATAAAATCCCAAAGGGAGGTTCCCAAAAAGGTGATCCGGATCTTCTAAATGCTTGCTGGGGGCTCCATGTTAGCATGTTAAGCGGCGCCGTCAGCCTGCCTTCACGAGGCTATCCGTGCTTTTGACATCCGATCCAACCGTCCGACTACCGCAATAGACTGCCCGGGCGCACAGACTCGTGTTGTCAGCATAGCATAACTGTGCGAATTCCCACTGTGATGCAGCAAAGAGGGCTTCCCAAAGACTACCCTCCCCATATAAAGCGTGAGATTCCCTTCTATCACCATCCCTGGCATAGCAGGTTTGCAATGTGCTGGCTACGAGAACTAATGTCACAACGAGTCCAGTAACGAGTCCAGTTGAGATTGAAACTCACTGCTGTTGTCGCACAGCTTAGGGTTGCCCCAAGTCAACACAGAGCCTTGGTACGTGACAGCAGCAAAAGCGTCCCGAGTTGCTTGGATCTGCTGAACGCCCACCAACTGCTCTTGCACCTGGCTGCTGTCACCGCCATAATTTGAACTGCCCCATGTCACCACAGAACCGTCGTCCAGGATGGCAGCAAAAGCAGACCCAGTTGCTTGGATCTGCTGGACATGCACCAAACGCTCTTGCACCTGACTGCTGTCCCCGCCAAAGCCAGGATCGCCCCAAGTAACCACAGAACCGTTTTCCAGGATGGCAGCGAAAGCATAATCTGTTGCTTGGATCTGCTGGACTCGCACCAGCTGCGCTCGCACGTGGCTGCTGTCACCGCCGTAGTTGGAATCGCCCCAAGTCACCACAGAGCCATCGACTAGGATAACGGCGCAAGCACCTCCTCTTGTTGCTTGGATTTGCTGCACGCCTGCCAGCTGTTCTCGCACCTGGCTGCTGTCACCGCCACGGTCTGGGTCGCCCCATGTCACAACAGAGCCAGCGGTCACGATGGCAGCAAAAGCAGACCCAATTGCTTGGATCTGCCGGACGCCGGCCAACTGCTCTTGCACTGCGGTACTGTCACCGCCATAGCCAGGATTACCCCAAGTCACCACAGAGCCGTCCTCCAGGATGGCAGCGAAAGCACGCTGATTTGCTTGGATCTGCCGGACACGCACCAGCCGCGCTCGTACATGGCTGCTGTCACCACCCAGGGCAGGATCGCCCCAAGTCACAACAGATCCGTCATCCAGAATGGCGGCAAAAGCTGCACAAGTTGCTTGGATCTGCTGGACGCGCACCAATTGCTGTCGCACCTGGCTGCTGTCACCGCCAGAGGCGGAATGGCCCCAAGTCACCAAAGAGCCGTCCTCCAGGATTGCAGCAAATGCCCTCCAGTTTGCTTGGATTTGCTGGACCTGCACCAGCTGCTTGTGCACTATGCTGCTGTCACCACCAAAGCGAGGATTCCCCCAAGTCACCACAGAGCCGTCGTCCAGGATGGCAGCAAAAGCATGTCGAGTTGCTTGGATCTTCTGCACCCGCATCCACTGCATTTGCACCTGGCTGATGTCACCGCCGAAGTCTGAATTGCCCCAAGCCACCACAGGGTCTCCGGAAACATATAGTGCGAATGCCTCACGCGTACAAGCTACTGCACTGGCTGCAAACACGACTGCATCAATGCTGTCCCCATCTTGCACACCCACCTGGCTCAACGTACACCACGGATCCAGGCGCTGACCTCCGAAAATAAGCGACAGGAAACGGCAATTGAAGCGCTGCTGCGCTGCAAACTTCACTTCATAGACCCTCGAGTCCGGTGATTCCACCGACACGCAGCAGCTCTTCCCACTCGGCAAGCACACATTTACCTCCATGGCGACCGTGCGGCCCGGGCTGCCGACTTCGCTGCAAAAACTCTCGATGCGAGCAGCGGAAAAAAAGGTGCACGTGTTGTTTTCCTCTCTTTTTGTTTTTTGGGGGGTTTCCTTTAACAGCACAAAAAATGGGTTCCCTACAATCTCAGTTGCCCAATGGACCAAGAAAGCTTGACCCTGTTGCGGTTACAACAAATGGACCAAATCAGCGAAACCAAAAGGTTAAAAGAGCGTTTCGCTTTGTCTCGGTGAGTAAAACGAGACAAACCCAAATCAAGTCCAGTGGATCCCAGCTAAGCATATGGTAGGTCACAGGCAAATTTCCTCTTCGTCTTGAAAGGGTGGCGGGCTCTTGGCTACAAAACCAGGCAAGTGATATAAACTGGGAGGTCGAAAGCCAGAAGGAAAAAAAAAACCGTCAATTCACCTCCGAAGCCCCCGTGCCAACCGCCTCACTTGTGGCCCGAAATCGGGAAAACCCTAAGGGTTCTCCGATTACAGCATGGCCCTTTGGGATTCCGGTGGCCAGCAATGTTACACCTCCTTTAGTAATAGTCCCCTCTATTGTAGAAAGTGTTTTTCTAATTCAGGATCCTGTGACTGTTTTAGGGGTCCTCTATTGTGGAAACTTTGTTTGACCTGGCAATACTAAAGTAGAATTGGCAATACTAAAGGAAGTACTGGGAATGTGAGAGGGGACCTTGGCAATACTAAAGTAGAATTGGCAATACTAAAGTAAGTACTGTCCCTCCCAGACCCCCAGGATTTTACTAAAGGTCCAGCTGACTGGTTCCAGTGTTCAGGGGGGGTGGTCCGTGTAAAGAGGGTCCAACATTATACTAGGTAGCCAGGCATTTTCAACTTGGTTAAAGGGTAGTTTCCTACAGGTGAATGGATCCACTGGGAAGAGCAATACACGAATATAACCCGCTGAAACCAGCCGTCCTAGGACAACCCTTGGAGAAAAACGGCAGCACTTCAACCTAAGAATTACCGATCAGTTTCCCATGTTAAATATCGGCGCCCCCTTTTCAGTAAAGGGTTGGCATGATACCCGAAGAAAAGTGGGCATTTGGAGTAGGAGGAAGCAACCCTTTGACTTCCTGGACCCCCAAAGGACCCCTTTTTTCTGCCTTTGTACCCCTTTTTTTTGGGTCAAAGGCAGAAAAAAGGGGTCCTTTGGGGGTCCAGGTTGCTGCTTCGATAGGCAATGAGACATGAATGAAATGGAGCCCGAATCGAACCATTGCTCGGCAACGGGATCTCCAGGATCATTCCCGCATATTCCCGCCCATCCTGCAATCCTGATTCCCTACTCACAATTACCCTCCTTGATTCAGGCTACTCTCCAGAACAAGTGCCACCCATGTAGTCAAGGGTTGACATCTGAATCATACCCTTCGAAAAGGTGTGCCCTTTTTGGCTCAGCTTGGAGGGAACAAGTCTAATTCCCAGCACTTGTTCTGGTCGTTGCTCACAAGTTTGTTCGCACATGCAACTAAAACAACTGCATAATGCGCAAATGTTCTGATTGCAATTGGTGGCTCGAAACTGACTGCCCATGTACATCATGTGTTGCGCACCCACCCCATCAAAAGGGCAAGCAACATGTGATCATGTACTCAAAAGTGATATGTCATAGTCACATCGCAAACTCATTCTGAGGAACCCGAACAAATTGGCGACGTTCCTTTGGTTCCCCGGTTCAGCAATCCTAAAACTGACTCCGAAGACATACCCATCCCCCCCCCTCCACATCCTCTTACACCGCAAAACACAGTGAATTTTTGAGGGACACCTGGCTTTCCAAGGTAAGTATATCCTTTTGTAGTCAGGAGTTGAAATACCTGGAACCCCAAGTAGCTACTTGTTTGCAGCCGCTGGAACCCCAATGAGCGCCTTGCTGTCTAGGTAGGATGGACGAATTCAGGCACCCTTAGCAGCCCTGACATGATGATTTTCCTTGCAAATACAAAACAAACAATATCAAACAATGGTTTCAAGCATGGGTTCAAAGTGGTGCGAGAAGCGGATTCCGTCCATCTGTAGATCGATACCCGATCTTTATTCTTAAGGCAGGGCCAAGGACGGCGACTAATCGCCCAGTCGCTGCGGCTAGCAGCTCTGATCACCGCGGACATGAGCCTAGGCGCCCGAGCCTACACCCCCCCCTCCCCGGCCCCTGGCTTGCTCCCCCTCGTATGAGCAGCAGTAGAAATGGGCTTGTGGCAAAAGGGGTGCCAACCAAAGTGGCTTCCTTTTCTTGCACCCAATCCTGAAAAGGTGCCCCCCCAAGAAAAGAAACGCCCACACACACAAACCTGCAACAAATTCCAAAATCTGAATTGAGTGTTCTGCAAGACACGGACCTTCGTCATAAGCTCGGACAACCCCCGTGAGCTCGCCATCCAGCGGGGAAGCAGATAGCTATCCGGTAGAAGGAGGACGGGCTTGGACCAATTAATTTAAATCCAACCTCTGAAAGCCCAAACTGTAACCTTGGTTGCTGTTGATCCCACCGCAAAAGCTTAGTTTGTTGTGGGATTGACGGAAAACTCTTCATTTCCCAAAGAAGCTGGACCCAAGCCAATCCAGTAACTCCACGTCTTCACTTCAGTGTCATGTTTCAAGGATTTTCAATAATTGCCGAAAAACACCGCTTGGACACCCTCTATTGCAATATGTGAACCGAAAAGCAACGGATGTGTTGGCCAGAAAGAGTAAACAACATCCACTAAACGCTACTGAAAGGGTCGTACCGAAAAGTATAAAGTCCAAAACGGTACTGAGGGAGTGGGTCTGAGAAAATAACGCATCCCGAAATTTCAAGCGAGTCCGCGAATGAGCTCGTGAACCAAATTGCAAGAATGGAACGATGTGGGGATTCGATTTGGCTATGGGTGAACATATGTGTCTGCAAAATGGAACCCAGGCAAATGTAAACATGGACTAAAACCTGCGGTCCCCTGGCGTCAGTTTGATCCACAACCATCTTCCCTTCCCAAAAGCAAACGTGTTTTCTGCAGGTACCATTCTTTTCTCTGGCTTGAAGGGCAAACCAAAGGAAAACCACCATTTCTCACTTCCTGAGTTGTTGTGGCCAAAATTTATGTCTTTCGCTCGTGAACCCCCCCCCCCCCGAATCGTTGAGTTCAAAAGCCACAACTTGGTCAACCTGGTTGCTGTTGATCCCTCTGCAAACATTTGTCATCTTTTTGTAGCTTCAATGCGGAAAACTCATGACTTCAACCAAAAAGATCGAGTCTAAAGACCCATTACCCAATAGCAGCAGTCAAGAAATAGGCAAACTGTCTCACCGGCCCAGTGCCGTCTCCGTCCACCGTCCGTCGGCTTCGCCTCTGCGCCAAAGGGTCTTCCCTGGCCAGCTCCACCCCCGCACGCAGCAGCAAAGCGTCCAGTGCCACGCGCCTCGGCTCAGCAAGCGAGGGCCACTTTGGACAACGCAGGCGCCGACGCGCCAAGATAGATCTATATATATATATATACACATACACACACACACATATATATATATGTATATCCAGTAGCGAGCTTAGAATAAGGGTGCCAACTTTATTCTGTAGTCAATTTCAGTATGAGAACCCTCCCCCCAAATAAGGGGAGAGAAGGCACTTTTGGGGGACCTAGTATTTGTGGGGGTCGTGCGAAATGACTTCACCTGAAAACTGCCCTTCCGCCAACAACCTTCCGCAAAACCCTTCCGCCCATGGCAAATCTACACACGAGCTATCACTGGTTTTCGATCTGGCGCTTCGGCATCTCTTCCGCGCAGTGGGAAGCTCATGCCATGTAAGCCTGGAGATTTGGAATACCAAGCCGAATGCATGGGTTTTGGCACGACGCCCATATGTATATATATATATATATATACATATATACATATTATAGATATACCCCCTTCTCCAAGTACCCGCCTTTGTTAGTTGGGAAAACCTTGCTTTCCATGGTAAATGACCTCCATTTTTGGTAGAGGATGATACCCTGAACAAATGCGGGTATTTGGAGGAACTGAGTAGGGGGTATGTATCTCTCTGCAAATTTCACTGTTTGTCCAAAATCTGATTTTGTATTGGGTCCCCAAGCAAAGGATCTTTAGCATGGTAAGCTCGTTTTACCGCCAGGTGAGCTCGCCCTGCCCCCATTGACCAAGGTTGCACGAGTTGCATATATACAAATGTCGCTCTTCTTGGGGGAGTGTCCTTGTTCTGAGGGTGCTCTGGCCCTTCTTGCCGGTTTTAAAGAGAAACCAAAGGAAAACCACATTTGTGTGTGTGTGTGCTTTTTTTTTAAATTTGTTTTTCCAGTTTTGTTCTTCTTTTTTGAGGGCCCAACAAAGACACACACCTGGATGTGAAAACAGAAACATGTGGTGCACATTCTGCACTTGTTGGGTGTGGCCGATTGTCTCTAAGATGCCATGATTTGCCACGCATTGCCTTCTGTGGTTGCAGTATGGTTGGTTGACTTGCAATATGGGTGTCTTGTTTAACCCCCCCCTGTACAACCAAAAAAGGTGTCCTTTTGGTTTCGCTGTACAACCACCAAACAAGGTACCCCCACAAACCAAAAACGGTGTCCTTTTCTGGGATAGGGTCGTACTTATAACTTGAGTTATAAGTTACTACAAGTGGACTTATAACGTGGGACAAGTGGACTTATAAGTTTGCTAAGTCCGAGTCCTAGTTATAAGTTACTTGTCTAGGGGTATCTTAGATAGGCCCACTTATAAGTTCGAGCTAAGTTCCGGGTGCCGGGACTTAGAACAAACTTAGCTGGAACTTAGTTTTTTGCACCATTTCAGGAAAACAGCTTTTTGGCATCCAGCGTTTGCGGAGCAATGCCCAAACCGAGTTTGCCTCGCTGCGTCTTGACGCGCGTCCTCATGCGAAAAAAGCACGCGCGCTTTACTCCTGACGTGTCGCAGAGCACATCGCTGAACGCGAGTCCAACCTTACACCGGGCGATGCGTGCGAATATTTTTTCGAATACGACAGGTCGGCGTATCGCAGCGGCTGGTCGGCTCAGACTGCACTAGGCGCGCGCGCATGCAGTTTACGCTGTTTGTTCGCGCTGCTTCGCACGTTTGGCTCGATGGAGCCGGAGCACTTTTTGCACTGATTGACTCGGTTGAATTTTGTTGTGCGATAATCGTTTCTATAGCGGTGTCTCCGCTGGCGGCCGGTCCGCCTTAATATAGTCGCATGGGGCGGTATCTCCGCCGGCGGCCGGTCCGCCCCTTTTGCTTTTCTCGTTTGATATATCATTGTAGCGGTGGTTCCGCTGGCGGCCGGTCCGCCCAGCTATTTTTGCCACGTTCATTTTCATTCCAAGATGGCACTTGAAGCGGTTGTCCGCTGGCGGCTGGTCCGCCCAGAAATTTTTCAGCGTTGATTTTTATTTCGAGATGGCACTTGAAGCGGTGGTCCGATGGCACTTTGCAATTTTTTGCATGTTTGGATTGTGAGTGCGCGGGTGAAAGCCTGCAAGACTCAACCAAGGCTCCAGAATCCAGACTGCTGACTGCAAACTCCACACTCCAGACTGCAGACTCCAGACTGCAGACTCCAGACTGCAAACTCCAGACTGCAGACTCCAGACTGCAGACTGCAGACTCCAGGCTGCAGACTCCAGACTGCAGACTCCAGACTCCAGACTGCAGACTCCAGACTGCAAACTCCAGACTCCAGACTGCAGACTCCAGACTGCAGACTTCAGACTGCAAACTCCAGACTCCAGACTGCAGACTCCAGACTGCAGACTCCAGACTGCAGACTCCAGGCTCCAGAATGCAAACTCCAGACTGCAGACTCCAGACTGCAGACTCTAGATTGCTGCACACTCCAGACTGCAGACTCCAGAGCAGACTCCAGACTGCAGACTCCACACTCCAGACTGCCAACTCCAGAATCACGACTGCAGACTCCAGACTGCAGACTCCAGGCTCCAGAATGCAAACTCCACAGACTGCAGACTCCAGACTGCAGACTCCCGGCTGCAGACTCCAGACTGCAAACTCCAGACTGCAGACTCCAGACTGCAATCTCCAGACTACAGATTCCTGACTCCGGAATCCTGACTCCTGACTCCAGAATCCACAGTCCAGACCCAAGAATCGAGCATCCAAACAGCCCCGCCCCAAAGCCCGGAAAGGCCGCTCCAGTTTTTTCGAACTTAACAAAACTTAACTTAACTTAACCTGGGCGGGTCGTGTTGAGGCGTGGAGTCCCTATTGTAGCTCAATCAACTTAACCGCCAAAATGTCCCCGCGAGGCCCAGTTGCGTCACCACGACTTAACATAACTTAACTTGGCCCCGTGGCCGAATTCCACCAGAAAATGATCAGGATCCTGGAGTCATGAGTCTGGAATCTGGATTGTGGAGTCTGGAGTCTGGAATCTGGAATCTTGAGTCTGAAGTCTGGATTCTGGAGTTGGCAGTCTGGAGTCTGCAGTCTGGAGTCTGGAGTCTGCAGTTTGCAGTCTGGAGTCTGTGAAGTCCGCAGTCTGCAGTCTGGGCTCTGCAGTCTGGATTTTGGAGTTGGCAGTCTGCAGTCTGGAGTCTGGACTCTGCGGTCTGCAGTCTGGAGTCTGGAGTTGGCAGTCTGGAATCTGGAGTCTGGAGTCTGCATTCTGGAGTCTGCAGTTTGGAGTCTGCAGTCTGGAGTCTGCAGTCTGTGGAGTTTGCATTCTGGAGCCTGGAGTCTGCAGTCTGGAGTCTGCAGTCGTGATTCTGGAGTTGGCAGTCTGGAGTGTGCAGCAGTCTAGAGTCTGCAGTCTGGAGTCTGGAGTCTGGAGTTTGGAGTTTGCATTCTGGAGCCTGGAGTCTGTAGTCTGGAGTTTGCAGTCTGAAGTCTGCAGTCTGGAGTCTGCAGTCTGGAGTCTGGAGTTTGCAGTCCGGAGTCTGCAGTCTCGAGTCGGAGTCTGCAGTCTGGAGTCTGCAGTCTGGAGTCTGCAGTCTGCAGTCTGGAGTCTGCAGTCTGGAGTCTGGAGTTTGCAGTCCGGAGTCTGCAGTCTCGAGTCGTCTGCAGTCTGGAGTCTGCAGTCTGGAGTCTGCAGTCTGCAGTCTGGAGTCTGCAGTCTGGAGTCTGGAGTTTGCAGTCTGGAGTCTGCAGTGTGGAGTCTGCAGTCTGGAGTGTGGAGTTTGCAGTCAGCAGTCTGGATTCTGGAGCCTTGATTGAGTCTTGCAGCCTTTCATCCGCGCACTCACAATCCAAACATGCAGAAAATCGCAAAGTGCCATCGGACCACCGCTTCAAGTGCCATCTCGAAATAAAAATCAATGCTGAAAAATTTCTGGGCGGACCAGCCGCCAGCGGACAACCGCTTCAAGTGCCATCTCGAAATGAAAATGAACGTGGCAAAAATAGCTGGGCGGACCGGCCGCCAGCGGAACCACCGCTACAATGATATATCAAACGAGAAAAGCAAAAGGGGCGGACCGGCCGCCGGCGGAGATACCGCCCCATGCGACTATATTAAGGCGGACCGGCCGCCAGCGGAGACACCGCTATAGAAACGATTATCGCACAACAAAATTCAACCGAGTCAATCAGTGCAAAAAATGCTCCGGCTCCATCGAGCCAAACGTGCGAAGCAGCGCGAACAAACAGCGCAAACTGCATGCGCGCGCGCCTGCGCTGCTGCGTTGAGTCACACGAAAATGTGTGCTTTCCAGCGCGTAACGCTTCGTCACTGCCATGCTTCAAAACGCATGTTTTTGCCAACTCAATGAATTTAGAATGCACTTAGCAGACTTAGAAAAACCTCTTTTCTAAGTTCAAGATAAGTTACTTATAAGTCCAAGCTAAGTGCTATGTCACTTATAACTCCAGCGTAAGTACGGCCCTATCCCAGTTGGTTTCGCTGTACACCAAACAAGGTACCTTCCAAAAAGGCGCGCCTGTGGGGCTTGAAGGGGGGTGTCTTCCATCCCAACATTCTACTTCAAGCAGGCTTGGCAGCAAACTCTGCTCATCCCCCGCCCCCTCCAATCTAGGGAGAAAACCACGAGGCAACCGGGACGCAACGGGCAACACTAGCAATTTTCGGTCTGTTCAGTGACCCTTGAGAAATGGGAGCCCTTTTTGGGGACAGACAAAGGGTGCCACTGGACTTCCCCTGGAGCTCCCACCCTCGGAAGCTGCAACCTGCACCTCCCAGCCGCTTTTTCCCCACGGTCCAACACCCCCTTGCTGTCCAAAAGGCAGTGGGTGAGCGGTGCTGGAAATACCAACGCTTTTGTTTGCGGGGTATGTTTTTTGTCAAAAACCGAACGGTTTTCCATGGTAAACTCCCTTATTTTTGGTAAAGGGTTGACATGATACCCCTTGAACCAATCAACATGTTTCTCTTCAAGCATAGGGCTGGCCCAAACCTGGCAATCCCTCTATCTCCGCGTTCGAATATGCCCCCGGAGGAAAAAAAAGGGGAAAAAAAGAAAAGAAAAAACAAACGCTCCAGTGTTAGATTCCCGTTAAACCAACGGGGGAACATGAACACAACACACTTCTTGAGCAAATGGAAGTATATGGTTTCTTTCTGGGACCCATTTGCTCAGCAACTGCTGAAAAATAAAGTATGTGGCCCCTTGATCCTGAAAACTTGGCCGGCCCAAAATCATGAGCGAAATCATCCCTTTGTTCAGGCGCAGCTTTCTACGGGTGAACTCCCCATTCCTTTCATCCATCGCTCATTTCAAAAAAGCTTCAACCGTGTTTTCCCTGGAGGTCCAAAAAAGGTGTTCAAGAAATGAAAACTTCAAGGGAACACCTTTTTGGACACCCTTTTTTGGAAAACTTCAACCGTGTTCAAGAAATACTTCTCCCTGAAGAACGGGGAAGGTACTTCCCCCATCGCTCTGACGGCCCTTCTGGGGCCACGGGTCCCAGATTTCTCTCAGGCTCCCACAATCGCGGGGCGGAGAGGCGATTCACCGCGGAGGCCTGGCGAAGCTTTCAATGGACCCGACGCCGAAGCAGACACCCCGGGAATTTCTCACTTCCCAAGTTGACTGGCCAAAGAAAGTCCTGGAACTTTTTGCTTACCACTAAAATGGTCTTTCCAAAAAGTTTAAAGTCCACCAACTCAGGAAGTGAGGAATTGGTGCTTGGGACCCGGTCTCAAAAACCAGGTGGTTCGAAGGCCCTAAATCAATCGAATTGGAGCCTCTGGGTGGAAAAAGATGTCAGGCATGGCTCGTCGTTTCAACTTTGCTTTTTCCGGAAAACGAACGCCGACCCACGGGTAACTACCGAGGCTTACAAAAACCCACTGGCCCAAGATGCAGCGGGAAAACTAAGCGCTCCTGTATGGCTGGTCCTTTCCACGGCTCTCCTGGGTTTCCTGGATCGCCCGTTGCAAGCTGCCTTTTTTTCCATCAACAACCAGCAACAGTGACTGAAAAAAGCAAGCAACGTGGCTTTCCTGTTTTGGTTTTTGCTTTTTTCTCCGAATTTCCAATCGCCCACCACGTTTTGGTAACTACCGAGCCTCAAGAGGACAAACACCCACTCCACCGGTGGCTCAAAATGCAGCTGGAATACTACCCCCTACTCCAAATCACATTTTGATAACTACCGAGCCTCAATATGGAAAATAAATAAAAACAGAGGTGGCCCAAAATGCAGCGGGCAAACTCAGCTGACATTGGTTTGGGCTGGCAATGAATTACTTGGCGGAGTTCGTCTCACCCAAAGGCCCTTTGGCCAACGGACATGGACCTGAATTCAGGACTGGTGAAGTTCCCGGGGCCCCACATCGACCCCAAAGGAGCCCCGAAAGGGGAACAAGATTTCCTTAAGAGGCTCTCGATTGGGGCCTTCAAACAACCTGGCTTTGAGACCCCCAACCATGTCCGGGGTGTCTGATGGAGGGGTCGGGTCTCCAAGTGGAAGCCCCAGGAGCGTCTGGGTAAGAAAACGAAGTCACTGAAAGAACAGACCGAAAGAGAAGGAACTCCATTGTGCACCCCACCGAAAATCACCGCATCATCCCTCGGAAAAAGAAAAAGGAACCTCGTTGGACGACCTCGCAGCCCGGGTTCCCCGAGGCTCTGAGGCGCTCGCAATGGAGTCGCCCACCTGGGAGATCCCGAGCTGAGCTCATAGAGTCCCGAGCCCTTACTCCAAATACCCAAGCCCCTACTCAAAATACATGTTTTTTTCTTCTGTTGTTTTGTTTTTGAAAACCTGGTTTTCCACAGCAAATACCTCCTTTTGTTTCGTAGAGGGTCGACATGATACCCTGAAAAAAATGTATTTTGCAAACCCGACTTTGCAGGTATTTACCAGAAGCTCGACATGATACCCCAAAAAACGGGTATTTGGAGTAGGGGGGTAGGGTCTCCCTAGGATGAGGGTTAGCCCTACTTAACAGAGACTTGCAAGTGGGTAGCCTAGATTACCAACCCCATCCTCCAAATACCTGCTGTTTTCAGGGTATCATGTCGACCCTCTACTAAAAAAGAAGGTATTTACCAGGTTTTCCCAAAATTACCCTGACAAAAGCGGGTATTTTGAGTAGGGGAAACTTGGCCGAACATCCAAGTAGGATCTCACCCTCCCCCGTCCGTCGGGATTGGGCTTGTCTCAAGCTGGGGCGATCAACCCATGGAGGAATGCATGTGGCTCGGCCCAGGCAGGTCGAAAGACCCACACACACCCACATACACACACACACACATGTGCGTATAATACATATCCATACTGTGGTGCACCACCTAGGAGAGCCTGGAATGATGATTCCCTTGTAAATACTGGTTTCCCATGGCTTCCAACTGGTGCAGGATTGCGTCCATCCACAGTAGGGATAATATGAACTCCTAGTATGACCCTCTACCACCCTGTGCGTTCTGGCATCCCGTGGGGGAATGGCCAACCAACCCCCAAGCCTTAAGAAGCTGTGTGTTTTTTTTTCTTTTGCCTGTCTCGCAGGAGGCGCCTGCCTCACAGGAGGCTCAGGTCTACCAGCCTCAGCGTGGCAAGCAGCCTCCTGTTGCGCTCGGGCTGCGACTCCACCTTGTGGACCATGGTCGGCATGGTGCATCGCCTGACCCATTCTGGCAGGAGCAGCCTCTTCCTCACTGCATGTGGCGCTGAGCCCAAAGCTATCATCGTCGTCAACTTCCCTATCGGCGGCTGCTGTGGCTGAGGCCACATCCCTGCTGTATGCCGCCATGGGATCCTCTGCATCAGCCGCCCTGCGGCCACCAGTCCTGACATTCGGGTCATCAGCGCCGCCCTCTCTTGCTCTTGCTGAGATGCGCACCACAAAGCGCGCATGCAGCTTCTTCTGCTCAGGGGTGAGCGCAGACCCGGTCGGCTACTCGCCTGCTCAGCTTTTCATGGCAAGGCCAGGAGATCCAAGCAGTGCAGCGCAGGCCGTCGGCCAGTTGGGGGTCAAACATCAGCAGTGGATGCACTTGGCAACCTCGTCGGCTGGCACACCTTCGGCTGCGTGGAGCAGTGGGAAAATTGCCTGGCAGGAGTGCCTGGATGCCCGAAGGGCTCTTGCTTGGCAACGCTCTATCCAGGGAGCGATCGGCGGTGAAGGCAGGATGCTTCGGCTTTCACTCGAAGGCTTGACCTGCAGTGGCCAGGCGGTGTACTTCCGCCGAAAGTACATAGGTCGGTTGCGGGTTCCCAAAGCCCCTCCACATTCAAGGGATTGAGTTCAACTTGCTTCCACATGATGCTTTGGTAAGCCCGAGAACCAAAACTGGGTCCTCCAGTAGAGAGGTTAGAATAAGGGTACCAACTTTTTCGGTAGTCTATTTTAGTTGCGGAACCCTCCCCCAAAAAAGGGTGAGAAACGGCACTACTGGGGAAACTAGATTCATAAGCCCGAGAACAAAAGGTTTCTGTTGAACCCCTGCACCGTAGTCAAGAAAAACAATCAAAACAGTGCGGAGGGTTGCCTTGTACAACGGTAACTGGCATCCACTCGGTTCCTTTCGCGCCGGGCGCTCCCGCGCTGAAGGGCAAGCCCAGGCACTTCGATGCCGCGAGCGCGCCCTGCCGGCATCGTAAGCCCTCCAAATACCCGCCTTTTTAAGGGATTTTTGTTGGGAAACCTGGTTTTCCATGGTACACATCTCCTTTTCATTTGTTCACCGCATTTTTGGGAAAACCGATCGGTTTTCCATGGAAAATTCCAGAGACCTTGTTTAGTAGAGGGTCGACATGATACCCTGAATCGGTTTTCCAGGGTGAATACCGATCCCTTTTTTGGTAGAGGGTCGACAAATGATACCAACTGAAAAAAGAAGCCGGGGGAATTTGGCAGTGGCTCAAACAAGTGGAATCCCAACATGGCACCTTGGCAAATGGAACCCAAGACGAAAACCCGCGGTTTGCCCCAGCTCTTTGATTTTGAGCCATGCCCATTTGGAGTTGGGCCTTGGATGCCTCAAGGCCCCAATGGACTGGCCACACGTGGCGAAAAACCGCGAAAGCTGGCCGCAAAATGAGCGAAGCGTTTTGGTTTACCACGAAATGCCTGTGAAACCCAGCAAAAAGCGGCACCCCTTGCTTGGGTGTTCAAGGGAAACCACCTATAGCCAAGTTGCGGTTTTTTCCCCCCCCCCCCCCCGTTTTTTTTGAGTTCGGTTTGTGGGGTAAAGTTCAGGGAACAAGCGATGGCAACTGGCGATCCAGGTGGAATCCAAACCGGAAAAGTGACTAAAATCCATGAACTCGGAGATGGATCTTTAAGCTATATACTTCTCAGTTGTCCAAACGACCCAGAAATAGATTGGTAAACCATTTTTTTCCGACCTTGATAAAGATGATGGTTGCCACAAAGGGAAACCAAAAGATCAAAAGGTCGATTCGTTCCCCTTGGGCAAGTGAGTGCGTAACCCCTGGACCCTCGAACCCTTAAAAAAGGGAACTCACCAAGCATCATGTTTGGTCAATATTTGAGTGGCCCAAAGGGATCCTGGCCTGGAAAGGGACCCTGGAAAGGGTGTTGCAGGTTAACGAGAGAATGCGAACAGCATGGCTCCCTGCATTTCCAACATCCAGGATCAGGAAACCACCTTGAATTGGCCAAGTGATGTTTAACACCAACGAAATGGACATATAGGAGCACAAATCAAGGAGAACAAGCCTAATTCACAAGCCCAAGAAAATCATAGGAATATCACATGGTTGCCCAAGGACCCAGCAATAAAGGAGAACCTTTGGGGCCCATGACTAAAAATGGAGCAAAACATAAAATCGAAAGGTCAAAAGGTTGGTTTTGGGCAACTGAGATTTTGCTTGAGGGCCAACGTAAGCAATCAACAAAAGAGTCAACCACTCTGTAACTTAGAGGTGGCGGGTTCAACAGCGACCACAAGGGGCACATGCGGCGATTTCAAGCAAGTAGGTAGCCTGGGCTACTACACCAGCAGAACTTTCTGCCGACATCCAGGATGCACGCCCCCCGGGGGCCAAAACGTGAGGTTCTTATCTAGTAAGCCAGAAATTCACTAGATAAGTAGGGGAACCCTCCCCCCAAAAACATGCAAATGGGCACTATTGGGGGACCTAGCTATGGAAAGCGGCCAGCCCAAGCAACCATGAGCCACCCTTCCACTCCAGGGTTTTGAGTGAAGGGCTGACATCACGCTTTTTTCAGGGTATTTTGATGGAAAACCCATCGCTTTTCCGCGTACCAAATCGTTTTTTTAGAAACGGGGTGTGACAAAAACTATATGTTTTTCTTCTTTATATATATATATTGCTATTATTATTATTGTTGTTATTATTATTAATATTTTTATTTATATATATATATACAACTATATATATATACATACACACCTAATTCCCTCCCCATGGAAGTCTTTTTTGGTTCTTATTTCTTTGGGTACCCCCTTCTGTAGTGAATTTCCCTCGTGATTTGCAGGGTACGCCGATGCCGTCGCGAGACCGACGCCTCCGAAAGGCACTTCTGGTAGGCCTTCTTCAGCTCCTGCAGCGGCTCGAGCCTGGGCTGCCCGACGCGAAACCAGGGGAGGTGTTCCCCCCCCCCTAGGGTCTGGGGTGAAGTGGGGTTTCCCTCCAAAAAAAAAACAAGAGGAAAGGGAAAGCAAAGGGGGAAAAGTAAGCCAAGGGTCTGGGGTGAGGTTCCCTCACAAAACTAGAGGAAAGGGAAACCAAAGGAGGAAAAGAAAGCCAAGGGTGGGGTGAAGTGGAGTTTCCCGCAAAACACCCACAGGAAAGGCGCTAGGTCCTCCAGATTTGAGCGGTAGTTTAGTTTTAGTAGGGGAACCCTCCCCCAAAAAAGGGGTGAGAAAGGAAATTGGGGAACCTAGTACGGGAAACCAAAGGAGGAAAAGCCAGCCAAGGGTCTGGGGTGATCTGGGGGTTTCCCGATCCCTTGGCGAAAAAAAATCGTCCCCGTTGACGGCCCGTCTAGGCCCTCGGCGCCGCAGTAGCGTCCGACTCCAGGCCGGGGAAGATCTGACGAATCTAGCCGACCCGTGCCACGGTTTGGCACAACCCCTCCCACTAATGTTGACCCCATATGGCCATGGGTCAAAACACAAATCGTGCCCCCAGTGAACATCCCAATCCCCACTAAAATAGGTACCCCAAAATGGGATCCCATTGGTGTTGACCCACAGCCATTTTGACAGACCCTTGTTTGTAAATGTGGGGGTGTCCATTTCTGGGTTTCGGGGGGATTCTGACCACGATTGGAGGGGCCCCGAAGCCGAAAAGTCGCAAAGGGGCACGCTGCATGCAAGCAAAAACAACACAAAGCAATAGATTCTATTCGAACATAATGTTAACCCCGGATTAATAAACCCCTGGTTGACTAATAGGGGACCCCCCTAATAATGGGACGGGTTTATTAATCCTGGGTCAACATTATGTATGATTGGATCTATTTCGTATGGTTTACTTGCAGTGTGGCAGCCCGCCACTGCACATGAACAGAAATACAAAACAAACCAACAGCCCTCCAGAACGAACGAAGATTGCGAAATCAACCCATATCCGCCGGTTGTCTCTCAAAAAAAGGCTGACTCACATACGCTGCAGCTTCACACGGAGTTCAATAGCAATCCCGAGGGAGCGATCGCCAGGTCAGTGACTCAGGGAAGACGCTGCCCCGTGGAACTCGCCAGGGTCACCCTACGGAAGCCTCCAAGAGAAAGCTGCCCCCAGCCACCCCAGAGCCGATTTCTGGGTAGAGAGCCCCGTAGCTTTCAGCTGGAGAAATCGACTCCCCAATGGATCCCTTGCACCTCTCTTGTAGGCAACCCTTCGCCGGTGTCCTTTTGGCTTTTCCAGGTGGTTCAAAGGGTTCGTACATCTACTAAAAATGAGCAAACACCCTAAAATCTGAAACACTTTAAACAACAAAACATACCAACAACAGTGAAGCTACTACCTAGGAAGAACGCGGGATCACTGGGCTGGCTCGTCGTACCACACGAATCGAACTCGAAGCCGCGCAGGCCTGCGTAAGGTCCTTCTGTAGGCCCTGCAGCCTTAGAACCATGGCGAGGCTGAAGACCCCGCCCCCTGGAAAAGCGACTTCAGGGTCCCAAGACAGTTGAGGTCTCCAGGCTTTTGGGGTTCAAGGCTCCAAGAGGGTTGTGGGGATGTCATGCATCCGGGGCAAGTAAAAGCCAGTCCAAAGTCCTCCGACGTTTTGAGGGCACCCTGTTCAGGGCGGCTTTTTGGAAAGGCAAAGGGGAAAACCACCATTTGGACGGGTCCCTGATTTCAATAAAGTTATACACACCCATATAAACCCCGCCCCCCTCCCTCCCCCCCCCCCCCAGGAGAAAAAAAACAAAAACAAAAAACGATAACTCATAATATAATCCAAGCCCCCCTCCCCCCTCCCCCCCCCCCGCCCAGGAAAACAAGTAACTCGTCTAAACCAAGCCCCTCTCCCCCCTCCACAAAACAAAAACCACATCAACTCAGGCGACTGCCCCCTACACCAAACACCCACTATTTTCAGGGTATGATGTTGGCTTTTTACTAAAAAGGAGGCCTTTACCACGGAAACCCAGGTGTTTCAAAAAAAAACAAAAAACGGGTATCTGGAGCAGGTGGTTAGGCCCGCTTGAGCTCAGCGGCTCCTGGCTCAGCTCCGAAGCATTCTCTCGAGAGGCCTCGGCGGACACTCAGGCGATCGCCTTTCGGGGCGAAAGGTGAGTGCCTCCTACTCCAAAGACCCGCTTGCTTTGGTGATTTTGTTAAGGGACACTTGGCTTGCCAAGGCAAAGATATCCTCTCGAAGCCTTAGGTGCCCAACTATAGCCGACAGCCCTGTTTCTCCTCACGTGGTACCCGTATCACCTCTAAATCAGAGACAGCAACAGCAATGTTCTGCGCAGTGAAACTTTGTTACAAGGCGGGGCTGCCAAAAAGGGGAAACCAAAAAGGTCAGAAGGTCGACTTTGGACCAGCGAGCTGGAACAAAAACGATGTCAAAGGTTGATGTTCCCCTGGGGGAATGGTTTGAGTTTTCTTGCCATCATTAGAGAGTCAGCATTTCAAGTGGCAGGTTAGTAGAAACAACCAAGGTTTCGATGACCCCCCCAGAAACTGGCTATATCATGACCACTAAAAGAGCACCTAAACCCTCACTACCCTTTCAAAAACGGATTTTACCCCAATTTTACGGAAAGAACCTGTTTTTTTTCTCCTGATTTCAAAGGGAAACCCTCCCCACAAGCAAGCTTGGCAAGCCCGAAATCCGCTGCTGCAACTTTCGGATGTCAACCTTAGGCATGTCCAAAAGCGCTGGTCAACCAGGGGTCCGGTGGATGCATCCAACCATCCGGCTTCACAAAGATTCCTTGCACCTAGATCCCCACTTGCCCATATTTTCCAGCTACTCTTGCAAACTTTATGGGCTACTAGTGGGTAAAGTGGCTGGAGAAAAGTAGCTACTCGGGGACCTAGGTAATTAGTCGGCAATGGGTATACAAAGGGTACAGCCATCCATCGTTGCCGCAAAATGGAAAAAGGGCTGCCACAAGTGGAGACCTCCGGTAGTTGTCTCCCCACTCCCCCAATCAACCATTTTTGAGGGACCCGGTGGTGATGGTAACAAGCAATTTTAGTTGGCCCAATTTTCTCAGAAGATCACTGAATACAATCAAACATAACAAACAGCTAGTCAACAATCAGACTTTGAGCAATCTGGGGTTTCCTCAAAACCACTCCTGATCTATGACCATCTAGCCACCGAGTTGGATTTAGAGACAGAAAAAAGCGGATCCTGAGCCACTTCAAGCGATTCTGCCAAGTCGCCCCCTGAAGGCGTGACAGCATTCCCTGCATGGACTGCTTCACCTGGAACTGGACATGTCATTTGCGCCACCGCAAGGCATGTGCAAATTGCAGGTGTGTGACCAACAAACGTTCCTTTTCAGCCTGCCGCCCAACATGAAAAGAGCAAAGCAAGAATCATAAGAACAACACAACAATCAGAACCAAGCAATGCCAGGAACAGGGAAGGAACCCAACAAACAGAACAACAAAAGTGAACAACCAGTGAAGAATGCCAGAACAACAATCAGAACCCAACAAACTACAACCTTGCCAAGCCAAAGGCTGAGTGAAGAATTCCCCCCCCCAAATTTTCCCCCCCCCGTCCTGAGAGAAGCTGGAGCTGCCCCCTTCGCGCGCTTGCGCCTGAGACGGAACTGGAGGGTTGAGTCGAGGAAAAAAACCGCCGACGCGCTGGAGCCCTTGGATGTCCATGCTTCGAGCCTAATGTAGCTAAGTCAGTTGAACATCCAAGCGCGCAGGTGAATAAAGTTAAGCCATGGTTAAAAGGGAGCGTCTGTTTTCCCGTTTAAGCCATCTAGAACCATCATCAGCCATCCACCATGGCCCCATAGCACCAAGCCTCAACCCATAGAGCGTCTGGTTTACCCCATATTCCATTCAGAACCATCATACTAGCCCAAACATACCCCATGAATCCCCATGGTTATAAGCTACTTACCTGACGCGGGTTCAACCACCCATCTCCCATTTAGAACTACCTAGACTCAACCCTTAAGCCAACTCAACACACACCTAAGGGCCAACTAGGTTTCCAGCAAGTCTTGGTCACAACATGGCTCTCCTCAGATCTGCTACAAGTTTAACGATTTGTGGGTTACATGGAATTCTACCACTAAACCAAAAGCCAAGCCCCAGGAGCCCGGAGCCCGGGAACGCCAAGATTAGGGGGGGATGACTTCAGTTGGTAGGTTGAGGCTCCAGGCGAACATCCAAGTGGCCTCGAACGCTTCGGGTTTTTTCACGCGCTCGGCCGCGCCCATGTGCCCTTTTTTTTAACCGGAAGTGGGCCATTCTGCGGCCGCAAGGGCGCTATAGGCCCCTCCCTTCGCCAGGAGCTGGTCGTGTGTGCCTTGCTCCTCGATGGGAAAACCTCCCAGAGCCCGGGGGAGAAAAAAAAACACCAACGGGCACATGTTCCCTCAAACTTCCCTTCAAAAAGGTTTCTCCAACATTCCCCCCTTGTTCTGTGGGTAGTTGACGGTCGAGGCACCCCGCGCTTCAAAGGGAAACGTCCAAACTAGAGGAAACTAGGCCACTGCGGTGAATGACCAGGTTTGTGGACCAAGCGTTGCATCTCGAAGTCAAAGTACTCAACTTTCATAAAGGAGCAAACCAAGAACCAGCTGACTGGAGCTATTCCCGATGGATGTCCAGCCACCCAATGCTTGCTGTTGGGTGAAGTGGTTGGCGCACCCCTTTCTCGGGTAAGAGGTCTGCCCATCCCCTTTCCTCATACCCTAAGCCTCCCGCTTGCTTTCGGGCCCTCAAAACGGGTTGTTTTCTTTCCGGGCCCCTAGGGACTAGGTCCGGGTTCTTCATTGGAGGGGGGCCTGCCTTGGATGAGCCTTAGGGTGGTATTAAAAACATACTGTGGATGGACGAAATCCACACCTAAGACACCCTCGAAGGATTCGATTCCCCTAGAAATACCAAGAAACACTGAGTTTTCCATAGTTTCCAAGTGGTGCAGGATTTCGTCCACCCACAATATAGGCTCTGTGGCAGCCGGTGCCCCGCCACGGCCACGCCTGGATTCCTCAAGAAGACTCTCGGTCGATTTGGTGAGTCCGGGGGTTTGCTTGGTTGCTGCAACGACCCCCCTGCAAAAAGTGAATCACTTTGTTGGGGTTTAGTGGAAAACCCCTTGATTTCAAAAAAAGTAAAATTCTAAAGATCCAACCCAATAGCAGTCAAGTTTGTGGCTATAATTTTGAGCGCTCCAAATCCACGCGGGCATGTGTGGAAACAGGAGTTGGACCTCCATCGCTTCGGTTTTCCATTTGGTCTCCCGTAAACATGGGTATAAAGCCCAAAACAACCAGCCAAATGCGTCTGTCTTTGTTCGACCTTTCTGAGGTTGGTTTAAAGGGAAGCCAAAGGGAAGCTCACCATCATTTCGAAAGGTAAACAAAGACGAGCCATGCAAATGGACCACGCAACAAATGTTCACCGACCGGTCTCGGCGGAACATCGCGGCGGAAAATCGGAAGAACGTCCTGGACAGCCCCGTCTTGGAGCACCAGCACCTGATCTGCCTCCTGGCCGACGTATCCAGCGGTCCGGCCGCAGTCCGCTGACCCTGTCCCAGAAAGCCCCAGCTGAAGAACTTTAGGCCAGCAAGCGGTTCAAAGGGGTTACGAGGCACTTGGACCCAGAGAGCCATTTTCCACACCTCTCTGGGGGTCTTGCAGAGGGTGCTCAGTAGACCGAACTACTGTGGATGGACAAAATCCCGCACCACCTGAAAAACATGGTTGAAACCATGACATTTGTTGGTATGTACAGGGGAATCATCAAAAACCGTTGATTTCTGATTCCACTGGTGCGAAACGGAGTTCGCAACCATCCGCAGTAGGCAAACCAAAAGATCTAAACTAGGTCCACCAGATTTGAGAGGCTAGAATAAGCTGTACCAACTTTTTCTGTTTTGTCTATTTTAGTAGGGGAACCGAATCTCCAAACCAAAAAAGGGGTTAACACGGGCACCTAGCTGGGGCACCTAGTTGTGGTTGAACTATCTAGTTCACCGTGTTTTGCCGTGCAATTTTTAACGCACAGTGACTTTGTTTGAGCAACATCGACGCGGGAAGTCGGGGTCGGAAACTGACCCCAGCTATAGCTAAAGGTCCCCTTTGCTCCGAAGGCGAGGGTTTCGTCCAGTCCTTGGCCATCTGAAGCTGGTGGGTGATGGCCAAGATGGCCGGGGGGTTCCTCAGCCGCTGGGGCATCCCATGAGTATACCACAAATGGGTGTGACTCAAAATTAAACTGGAGGCCCCCCCTCCACTTACCAGGGTTCCATCTTGGTACCGGCTTTTTGAGCCACAGCCAAACAAAAATACTCCACATGCGAACAATGGGTTTACAAGTGGGGAGTGCTAGGCACCTGGGATTGGTTTGTGTTATGGAGCTTCATCCATCCCAACTACCCCGTTTTGCGGGTGTACTCCAACACCACTGCAATCAACAGAAAACCTATGGAGCCTCTCTAAGGAAACTGCCTGGATCCTCAAACTAAACAAGTGGGACATCACCCCATCCAGCACCCCCGCCTACTGCTTTTTCCCAAGTACTGTTCACACAGCAGTGGTCAAAGGGGCGCGGGTGCGGGATTTAATGTTGGGGTGTTTTGGTTTGAGGGTTGTACATGGGAGAAGTTCAGCGTGGGTTTCAACTCGGGTTTTCCCCTCAAACATGTTGGGGGGGTCTCAACTATTTTACCTTTGAGGCAGTTTCCCCCTTTACACAACCAAAGAGTGTAACTTTGAGGATGTGACTTTTATGGACCCAGAATTGTTTTCTTTCTGGCTTCCTAGCAGGGTAAACATCCTGTTCTGGTAAAGCAATCACCACCATGAGCTCCAGTGAACATGGAACCTGACAGGGACCCGATCCCTTTAAAAAGAGGAAAACAATCTTCCAGGCCCCCTGTCAGGTTCCATGTGAGAAGGGTGGGAGGGTGCCTTAAGTGGGAGGGGGGTGGTTTTTGGTCTGGCGCAATTCCATTGATCTAGTCTTCCCCATAGGGATAAAACAAACATTCTGTTCTGCTTTCCTGGGGAGATAAAACCATAAACACCCTGGGCTGTTGGAAGCATCCCGCTTGGTTGCTGTTGACCCCCTGCAAAAAGTGAATAACTTTTTTGGGAGTTTAGTGGAAAACCCAACTTGTTTTCAACCAAAAAGTTAAAGCCTAAAGATCCAATCCAATGGCAGTCAAGTGGGCTCCCATGGTTTCCAAGTTGTGCGAAATGGCTTTTGTCCATCCACGGTATGGGCTACTTAGCACCCCGTCTTTTCCGCCAAGCAACAACCGTTTCTCGCGCAAGGCCTGCAGGCTCTGCAGCAGGAAGCGCCCTGTTTGGGCGTCCAGCGCGCTAGTGGCCTCGTCCAAGATCAGCAGCTCCTGACGTGTGTCTGGGCGGGCTGTCCGAGTCGGTCAGAGACTTAATTCAATTGATTCAACCATTGCCAGTGAATTTGTTTGATTCTTAATATTAATGTTGTATAAGCCTTGCCTCTATCAACAATAAATGACCTCCCTTCTTTATCAGTGCTACGGGGGTATTTGGTGGCTGTTGTTCCATATTAACTGTGGATATAGTAACTACAAATTATTGGCAGGGTCACTACTAGTTCATGCCAAGTTATACCAATTTGATACCAATGTGTGTACCAACTTGATACCAATTTGATACCTATTTCATACCAATTGTATACCACAGTTATACTAAAGTTATTATGCCAAGAATATACCAATGTTAAACACATGGTATGCTACAGTTATACCAATGGTATACATTGTTTGTTACCACATTCATGCAAATGTCATACCATATTTGGGCTCAGATCTTATACCCAGTTGGTATAAATGTTGCATCAAATTGATATACCGTTGGTATGAACATTCTTGAAATTGGTATGAAGTCTGGCCCGTAAAATTTGCATAAATCCAGCAAATCCCGACGGCACGGCCAGATTTCATATCAATGGTTGCATCCCCGGATGTATACCAATTTCATACCAATTTCATATATGTTTTATATCAATCTTTTACACATTTTATGCCAACTGGGAATGACATCTGAGCCCAATTGTGGTAACACAAAATGTATAACATTGGCATAACTGTAACGTACAATGTGTTTAACACTGGTATAGTGATATAACTTTGGTATAAAGGTGGCATGCAATTGGTATGAAATTGGCAACAACTTGATTAAAAAACATTGGTGTCAAATTGGTCTGAAATGGGTACTGATTTGGCATCAAGAGTTATTGTTAGAGGCAGGCCCTAATATAGCATATTATGATTATTATTATCTTCATATATCTTGAAATCAAAATCACTTAATCATGTTACGTATAGCACCTTGGCTGGATACAAATTCCCGGGCATAGATGCCTTATGTATGAGCCCTCATTAAAGCTGTACCTATGTCCAGGCATCAGAATCCGTTGGATTGGTCAGGAGGTGTTCCAGGGGGGTTGCCCTCTACAAAAAGGGATTCACATCCCGCAAACCAATCCAAACTACCAAAGCGATCTCATTCCGGGTGCTATCAACATGGTGTCTGAAACAACCGCTGCTGAACCCCCAAAAGGAACTGAATCTCCGGAACCTTCCTGAAAGAATTCCGGGCTCATGGGGTCTGAAACAACAGGTTCTGAACCCCCACTCCTGAAAGCTGCCCCAAAACAACCCAGAGCCAATCTGGGCAGAGACCCCATAGCTGGATGAAAAATGAAACTACCAATGGTGAATTAAACATGGTTCGATCCAACCCATATCTTCAGGACGTCTCTCATTCTTGGCCCACATCCGGGGTGAATAGAAATCAGATTTGCCTCCAGAACAGCATTTACTCTAAGATATCAACCAGTTTTCGGTCTGGAGCCTCCAGACTTGGCTACCAAACCCACTATTTGCTCAAGCTCCCTCGAAAAACAGCAAACTTTCCAGTAGTAAAAATGATTCTCTTTCAGCCCAAGAGTGACAAGTTCACAGATCTTGGCAGATTTCCGCACATGTCCGGGACATCAAGAAAAAGAAGAAAAAACGAGCCGAACCGCCCCAGGGAGCCGAACCGCTAAAACCGAGACGGAAGCGGCGCGATCGCTCCGCGTGGTCGGAGCGCAGCAGCGCACGGGCGAAGGACAGGCGCTGGCGCTCACCGCCACTGAGCCGCAAGCCGCGCTCACCCACCACCTGGGAGGTTGAAACCTCCGGGGGGGGGGGGCGGGCCAGGGACACCCCCCATCAATGCACGGGCTGGTTTCATATGGGGTCAACCTGAGCGCCCGAGTAATATCACCCCTGGAACCCGCCAGCGCCGAGGCGCCGAGTGCATGGTGAGGCCCTCGCCCAGCGCATCCTCCAACCCGCTGGCGCGGATCGCCTCGAGGGGATGGCGCTGGGGCCCGATGGGATGCGCGAGGTGCGTACAGAAGAAGGGGTAGAAAGCCATGAGGATATGGATATAACATATGGCTATGAATTTTAATAAGGGACCCTTTGGTGGACATCGTTTCGGTGGGGATTCATGTCCACCAATTACTTTTGAGGTGGTTCCCTCTTAAATTGCATGGCCAGATGAATGTATACAATGTATATCTACCACATATCTACCATACATACATATGTATATATGTACATATGGATGTACGCATGAATGTATAAGCGAATATAGTTGTACACACAAAACAACGGATGGATCGATGGATGTGCTGATAGATCGATAGATAGACAAATAGATAGATAGATAGATGGATGGATGGATGGATGGATGGATAGATAGATTAGATTAGATTAGAATAGATTAGATTAGATTAGATTAGATTAGATAGATAGATAGATAGATAGATTAGATTAGATTAGATTAGATTAGATTAGATTAGATTAGATTAGATTAGATTAGATTAGATAGATAGATAGATAGATAGATAGATAGATTAGATAGATACATAGATAGAGAGATAGATAGATAGATGGATGGATGGATGGATGGATGGATGGATGGATGGATGGATGGATAGATTAGATAGATAGATAGATAGATAGATTAGATAGATAGATTAGATTAGATTAGATTTAGATTAGATTAGATTAGATTAGATAGATACATAGATAGAGAGATAGACAGACAGATATGGCAATCAAGTAGCTATATACGGCACATGTTTGATTTTAAACTTCTTAGCATAGCACTGTAAAATAGGCTGTGTAGCATCCCTTTCGGAAAAAAAAAAAGAGGCTGGTAGTTGGAGTAGCCTAGTCCCTTAGTCCCTTAGTGCCTTTAGGTATTTTTCACCCCCTTTTTGCCATCAAACAGCCATCCTGAGGTCGCAAGCTTCTGTTAAACAAGCACCCTCAAATAGAGGCCTGTGTAACGTCCCTTTCGCAACAAAGAGCGGGTATTTGCAGTAGCGGCTACATCTATTAAAGTACTTTACCCCTTTTGACGCCCTAGAGCCAATTCTCAGGAGGTACCAGGGGACACTCGGGGCTTGGACGTTGCTAAGTTCCGCCTCCTGGAGACGTTCCTCCGTTCCGCGGCTTCCGTGTGGGTCTGCGAGGGCCAGGTTCTGACGGAGCGTGGTGTTGAAGACCACCACATCCTGACCGAAGAGTCCGTCATTGATTTTTCATTCTGAAAACCCCTATCTCTAGGGGTTGATTCCTCGTCCATTCTGTTCCGCCATCGTTCTTTTCAAAAACCAGCCATTTCCCCAGGGTTTTTGGTGGTTTTCTAGAAAGAAGGATCCTTGAAAAGAATGGGGAAGTTACCCTTACACTATCGCATGCCAGCCTGCTCCAAACTCCTACAAAAACGAAACATAACCTGGTTTTCAGAGGAGAAACCCGAGTTTCAAAAGGCAAACCCCTATCGCATGCCAGGGTGTTGCCTCTCCATTCCCGCAAACGCCGAATGCATACTGGATGTGTCAATTTGTTTTGCCCTTTTTGGGGGGCGGTTTGAGGGAAGACATATGGGACATCAAGTTCGCTCCCTGGTTTTGTAGAAAATCATGCAATGCTGACGTGGTCCCCTTTTGGTGGGAATCCCTTCTTCCAGACCCCACATTAAGTCGCACATGCCCCCTCCCAAATGAAACAGAGGCTTGTTCCCGATTTCGAGCCTGGATGGCTTGCCCCACCTACTTTTTCCATCTGAAATTCCAACAGAAATAGGAGCCTGTTGGAAATTCCAGGTGATTTGGAGCCTGAAATTCCAAGGAAAAAACGGGGCCCAGACTGCACCGCTGGCTGCACGAGGCTGGGCTGGAAGAGGAAAAACCGAGTGGAGTAGTCCAGCCACAGGGCCCAACATACCCCCGAAAGCTCCAAATACCCACCTTTTTGAGGGGTATCATGTCGAGCCTCTACTAAAAAGAGCTTGGTGCTTACCGTGGAAAACCAGGTTTTCAAAATAATACCCTGGCGGGTTTCTTAAGTAGGGGTATGCTTTGTCTACCCAAGCTAGGAAAGCAGGTCATGGCTAGGTTCTGCCATGTTAACCCCTATCATCACAATACGCTTGTTGCTTGGTTCTGGTCCAAGTGAGCGAACCTGAGCATGTGAAGTAGCAACACAGGTGTCTCACAGGGGCACTTGCTACCCTTCATAGGTGTCCCTGTCGAGAAAATAGATGGCCCTGATTGAACCACCAGACAAACCAGGCCCTCCTTTTTTTAAGCAAACCAACCAAAAAGGACACGGCCCAATCCGACAGAAACACAATCCTCTGTCATGAAAGCGTCTTGTACTGCTTCGGATGCGAAAACGTGCTGGTTCTTGGGGTATCACGCATGTTTGTATTTAATTGCTTAGTGGCTAAAGATCAACCAGGGCCAGACTTAGCACCAAAAGTTGGCTGTGTGCTTTCCGCATCATCGTTGGCAACGCTGTTGGGCAGGTTGTCCAGCAACGAGCCACTGGGATACCCTTCCATCTTTGAGGACTCTCTGCATTTCCAAGAGGATCTCACACCCCAAAAAAAGCAGCAGGGAGCGCCCTTTAAATTGCCTTCAAGTAGGATTTGCCACCGCAACAAGGGTCCCCAAAACAACGAGCCGCCCCTTGTGGGTGAAATGGACATCCAACCACTTTACCGACTCAGAACAGTCAATCACCTTAACCTGACGATTCGCTACCGCCAAGACCCTCAAAAGAAGAAACCCAAAAAGGGGACCCTAAAAAGAGGGTCCCTAAAAAGGGGGACCCTCAAACCACCCTGAAATAAAAAGTGATTGCCCCAAAATTGTGTGGCAAAGTCCCTCGTTCAATGAGTTTCCAGGTAGTTACTCCCCAAAAAAACGAGCCACCCCAAAACGTTCTTTTGGAAAAATAGATGGCCCTGATAAATGGAATAAACTATCTAAACCAGGGCCCTCTACTTTTTAAGCAAACCACCAAAAAGGACACCTATGCAAAAGGGGATTTGTATTGCACCCATGGGCGCGTACAACCGCTCCCTCCCCCCCCCCATCTCCCCGCCTGAGGCACCACCGCCAAGCGCTGCCGCAGCTCCTGCAGATCCGCGTGGCGCACGTCCACCCCGTTGAACAACACGCTGCCTGCGGAGGCGATTTATTTATTTTGTTTCGGAAATATATTTTTCGGAGCGGCGAGTCCGCCATACTTTTGGGCCGCTTTTTCCCCCCCTCATTCCAGGAGTTCACCTGCGGAAGCGATTTTTTCGGAGAGAAACCCCCGCGGCGAGTCCGCCAGTTGAATTTGGGGCAGCCTATTTTGGAGGGTGGAGCTTCAACTTAAAGGTTTGGGGCAGCCTATTTTTCAGGGTAGGAGTTTACCCCCCAAACTAAAAAAAAAATGATTGCCCGAAAATTGCAGGGTGAATTCCCTGTGTTTCAAGGTGGTTCGTTCGGGTCCAGGTACGTGGTTGCCAGGGATTTCCTCGGCTTTCCGATATGCTCTTCCATGTGCGGGTACGTCCCCGGAAAAAGCGCTAAGAACAACAAACAGCGTCCAGTATTGATAGATTCCGAGCAACAAAAACAACTGGATCAAACAGAAAACAATAAGTACCCTTAACCTGGTTCTCCTTATCTACTTGGATGTTGAAGCTACTTAAGTAGACTTCCAGGCTAATCTGCTTAGCAAGTTGTCCATCCAAGTCGGGAGGCTGTTTGGGGTCATGTTTTGAGGGTGGAAAGACATACCCTGGGCTTCCTTGTTGCCAACCGGATTTGTACGGGTTTATGCACCCCGTTTGAGGAAGAGGGGTATCAACATCGGCAAGCCTTTTGGGGTCATCTAATGTTTTGGGGCATAAACTACCCCCTGAAAAAAAAACAGAAAAACAAACTGCTTAAAGTGGGTTGGTAGCTGGGGGAGGCAGAGCGACGTGAACAAGGGGTACTGTATGCTACTATGAGGGAGCGACCCCATTTTCACAATTCCTTGTTACTTCCCCTTGACGCGAGTTTCTTTGCAAAGTCCAGCAACTGGGTAGAGAGGTTAAATACCATTTTTGCAAACCTGAGTGTGTGCTTGCCAGGACAAGCACCTTAGCACTTTTGGAGGTTCAAAGGGAAATGGCTCGGAAAGCCTGTTAACGTCAGAAGGAGGTACCGGACCCCCTTTTCCCCCCATCTTACGTTAAAAATCCAAATGCTGGGGAGAGCGCCAAAGTTGAATACCATCCCTACAATCCTGAGAGTGTGCTCGGTTTAGATCAGGACAAGCGACATTCACCTGGGTTAACTTAAATGAAACCCCACTAAAGACCTACAAGACCTACAAAAATAGACCAAATCCTGCACCACCTAAGTACCCCTGGAATGATGATTCCCCCCGTAGATGCCACCGAACAATGGTTTCCATCTGGTGCGAAATGGATTTCGTCCATCCACAGTATGGGGTCCACGGCTCCCCGAAAAACGGCCCGCGTTGACGCCAAAAGGACCGAAAGGCCGGGCGCCTCGCTGCGCGTCCAGCAGCCGGGGGATGAAGCGGCCCAGGGAGCTCTTGCCGCCGCCGGAGGGGCCCACCACCACCACGAAGGCCTGAGCTTCCCTCAAAGGCGCTGTGGTCCCTTTTGAGCTATGGGTGGCTCGTGTTTTTAGCCTCGGTACCTTTTGTTGCTTAATGTGCTATTCTTGACACCCTCAAACCTGCAAATGATGAGAACTCTCCCCGCGAAAACTAAAAAATGCCAGGAACAGTGAGGTTCGCTCAAAATAGGCGGCGTGGTGCTCTGCTGCTCATTTTGACATATTGGGAGCTTCCCGAGGTGTGGTCCCCTGCTGCTCATGTTGATCGAACTTTTTTGGGGGGTTGGCCCACTACGGGCGAAAGGATTGTGTACCCCCCTTCTCCGGATACCCGGTTTAAATGGTATTTGTAAAAAAAAAAACGTGGTGTTCCATGATGGAAAATACTTCCTTTCCAGGGTTGACATGATACCCTAGTGGATATTTGGGGTACGGGGTGACGGACTGTGGTGTTAAACCCTGGGCAAGCCGGAGATCCAAATCCGTCCAATGCAAATTCCAAACCCTCTAATGGAGGGACCCTCCTGATGCTTAGGGCACGCCTTTTCACGTGTGCCATTCAGGGACCATTTGCGAATGCGTCTCCTGGAAAAAATGGAAATATGTCCGGCAGCCTGCAGTGGAATCAATTCCCTTTAAAACCAACAGGGGAAAAAATCGTTGCACCTCCAAGTACCCGTGAAATAAGTCACTGCCCCAAAAATCATGGTTGGTGAATTCCCTGTTTATGGGCAGGGTACTGAGCAAGTGGTAATAACCATGCTTGCAAGCCACCTGCCTATCATGGATACAAGTCTCCGTTCAGCGGGTTATTTCACGAGGCTTACTAGCCACTTACCGAGTACCCGATCGCCCCTTTAAGTAGTTTGAGGGCCCAGGTCGTTCGAAGCGACAGCGCCAGGCGAAAAGCTGAGCAGCCCCTGGCTCTATGCGGAAGGACAAGCCCTTGATCACCCATGGCAGGTCCTGCTGGTACCGGAACCACCTCAATCGGATTGATGCCGACTCGCCGACCCCGAAAAAACCACCCAAAGAAAACAAAGGGGGAAACCAGGACAGGTACCAGGGGGACGTGTATATATATATATATATATATGTGTGTGTGTGGTGTGTGTGTGTAAGTGTAAGTGTAAGTGTAAGTGTAAGTGTAAGTGTAAGTGTAGGTGTGTGTGTGTGTGTGTTTATGCTCACCCAATGCAAATCGCATACTGAGCCCGGTTTGCTCTAAACGTTGTTCTCATGTTAAAAGCACATTACACAAAAGTAATGTATACACATATATATATATATATATGTGTAAATATTGCTTTCATTTTTGGAGGCAGAGCAACACGGGCACTTCAGGGGGGTGACTGAAAATAAATAAAATAAATAAATAAATAAATACATAAATAAATAAATAAATAAATAAATAAAGCATTAATAAACAAACAAATATATTTATCTCTATATATATATATATATTTACACATGTATCAAGGTTTCTCAAAATAAGGGACCCCCTGTTTGGATGATTTTAAACGTGACGCCAACAACAAACTACCTACCTGGGGGTGTCCCGAATACACCCAGCATTTGTTTGGCTCTGCTGCTATGTTGGCACATGGAGGGAAGCGGTTAAGCCGTGCATCCTGTCGTGCCAAGGCGCACATCTTGAAACTCTACCAGCGGGCATCCCGGCACGGAGGGTGGCAGGTTGTGTAGCTCGCTGTCCGGAGTCCTGGCGTTTGTGTTGTGCTGATTTTTCCCTGGGTCCCTGAAGACCCCCCCCTACTCCAGACTCCAAATACCAACTATCTGGAAAAGCGCGGCGTTCCGTGGGGAGAGTGCCTCAGTGCCTCCTTTTTTTGCATGATACCCTACCATACCAACTCAACAAGGTGGGTATAGGAGGGATGGCTTTTGGTCACAACCGAGGTCAGCCACTTTCGTTCGTAAATGAACTGAAGGCGTGGCTCCCAACTTCGCATCCCGAAACTCCAAACCCGAAATCCATTTGGGCGTGTCTTGTTTTGAGGGTACCCCTTCTCTGGTGGTTTCAAAGGGGAACCAAAAGGAAAACCGATGCCATCTTGGAGAAGAAAATCAACCACACAGCTGACCATGTCCCCTGTAAAAGCCCCAGCCGCCTCCAACCCCCTAACTGCCCTCCTCAACCTTTCACACCGCCTCCCTCGAACCGACCATTTGACCCCTCGTAACTTTCCCCTTTTGGCCTATTTTTTAAAGGGAGCCACGAGTCAAAAGTAACATCTACCAAAACCACAACTTTGGCGCCTCCTCTTCAGCTTCCCTCCGGTTGGTGTCGCGGTCTTTTGGAGCGGCTTCCCCTCTACCCTCTACAAGAACGAGGCTCAAATCCCAACACCCAAGCCAATCCAAACCGCGTTCGGGGGTAACCTGACAACATGTCCCGCAGAATGCCTTGGAGTAAAAACCCGACAAAACCCGAGAAAAACCGGAAAACAAAGAAAGCCAAAAAACGAAGAAGAAACAAATCAAGAAAATTGAGAAAACCAATCCAGAACAAAATGAGAAAGATAAAAAGAAAAAACGGAAAAAAATGAGGAAACCAACAACGAAAATACATATACATATGTATATCATGAAAAATGAGAAAAGGCCCGCGCCCTCCGGCGCCCCGAGTCGAGTCGCCCCCGCGCTCCTCGCCTGAGGGCGAGCTCCGCGAGCTCCAGGTCCGAGGACCTCTGCGCCAGCAGCGCCCGCGCCTCCTCGAGGTCCACCAGCGCCTGGCGCGCCTGCCTCGTCGACTCGGGCGAGCTCGGGCGAGCTCGGGCTCGCGGACGTCGACGCGGAGTCGAGGAGCCAAGGAGCGCGCAAGTGAGATGGGTGGAGAGGGGGGGTGGAGCTATTTCTTCTTGTTGTGGTGTTCTCTTTAAAAAAAAGAAACATAACACAAACATTAAACATGGTTGATGTTGTTTGGCTTGCGGCTTCTTGTTATTTGGTTTGTTTTGTTGTATTTGGTCTTTATGTTCATGGGTATTCTTTTTGGGGTGTTTTTCTTGGTTTGCTTGTGTTTTGGTTTCATGTGTTTTTTGTTAGTTTTGCTTATTTTTGGTGGGGGGTTGCAAACAACTGTCAGAGGTTTGGGTTTCTTGGTTGCTGCAAGGACCCCTCTGCCAAGAGTGTTCGACTTGTTGTGGGTTCAATTCGGGAAACCAACTTGATTTCAACCAAAAAGTTAAGGTCTACAGATCAATCCCAACAGCAATCAAGGGTTTGAGGCACATTCTAATTCGAACAGGACGGATTGTGAGGATCCCTCAAATTCCAGCAGGACCAGTAGAAAAATAGAAAGGCTATGCGAATATGCGATGCCCACAACCGATACCTATGCAAACCGACAGGGGTATCACCCAAAAACCAATCAATAGGACCCAACATGATGGTGTCCGTCTTGGTTTCCCTTGAAGCAGGGAACTCTCACAGCCCAATACTGATTACTAGTGTTTTTGGTGGTTTGGAGCCGGGTGGTTTGGGGGTTTGGGGTGGTTCCCACTTAACAAGAAGTGCCAATTAATCCAATTCCAAGCCACCAATCCAGCCGCTGGGGGCCGTTCTAATCCAAGCCACCAATCCCAAACCACCAATCTTTGCGTAAGCTGATAGTCTCTAACCGCTGAAAACCGTTCCTTCTCATGGCTCCCGGGCTCCCCTTGGCAGCCCTGGCTTTGAATCCATATCGGCTCTTGAGGCTCAAAACCCAAAGGAAAACACCCAAAGCCATTTTCCCAAGACAGACACCCAGCCTGAAAAACCAAACCCCGACACACCTCTCTGTCGGCCCGCCTTCTTTTGTTTTGGTTTTCGTTGTTCAGAACCACTCCCCCCCCCCAAAGCCAACTCCGAGCTCCGCCGTGGGGATTTTTCCGTCGCTCCTTACCTATATACCGCGCGAGGATCCGAGGACCACTCCGCCGGGGCGCCGGATGTAGAACCCCAGGAACTGCAGCGGCGCCCAGAGTTGGGAGATGAGGCCTTCGTCGATCGTGCGATGGGTTCAATCCATGCGATCTCCCGCGGGAATCGAAAAAAACCCACCGGGGGAAGGGGGGGGGGTTAAGTGGAGATCCAGGTGGGGTTTCCCTCTAAACAGGGACAAAGGGTACCAAGCAGCTCTGGGTGCAAAGCATTATAGATGTTTTGAGACTCTGTTTCATATTTGTTCTACCCTAAAATGGAGCATGGCTTTTTGGAGACCGCTGCAACATGCATGTTTAAGACCGCTCCTGTTGGCTTTACTTGCGCCAAGGGCCACCAACCCCACCCCCTCACAGCAAGTGCTTCACCAACCAAGAAGGGGCAGCAAGTCACTTTCTAGCTGCGCGTTTCCCCCCAGTGCAAAACATATTTGACTGTTGGCAGGTTCCTGGTCATTGACCTTGGCATGGACGCCAGTGGCTATCAACGTCCACCTACCCCTTGTGAGAGCACTCCTCAACAAAATTCATAGCCACATTGCCCCAACAAGACACAAATCCTGCAGATCCAAGCAATTTTGTCTCAAACCAGGGGGTGGTTGTCTATTTGGTTTCCCTTCAAAGCCATCCACAAAGGGCACCTATACCCTCAAACTACCCTTCAACATGGGAAATCACCCTATAATTTCCAGGGCAAGCATAAGTTTTAATCACCTTACCCTTAGTTGGTTTGTTTGGTGCCGGGGGCACCTTCCCCACTTGGAGGGCTCAAACCCCAAACCACCAATCCAAACCACCAATTAAGGGGGTCCCGATCTGAGCGTCCCGGGAGGGTCCCTACCCCATGAGCTATGGCTTTTGGGAAATCGAAAAGAAGCCGTTTGGTACCTGCCTGGGAAAAAAGAAAGAGAGAACACTGCGAAGCACTAAGAAACACCCGCTTTGTAGGAAACAAAACCTCCCAGGAGGTCCCTTTCTAAAAAAAAACAAGGGTCTAAGTACCTCCTTAGGTACCAAGGGACCCGCTGGGGTAGTTTCATGGAAGCGCCAACCACACGCACGGACCAATATCCCTGGCGCCTTGCACCATGGGCACGTCACCCACTGAGGCGGTTCCCAAGCCTCACGAAGCTTCCACGGAGCAAGCCGCAAGGTCGGAACATACCGAACCCAACCCTTGGTATGGGTAGCAGACATTCCTGGTTTTGTAGGTTTCTACTACAAATGATGAGGGGCAAAAGAAAAATAAACACCCAAACATGAGGATACAACACAACCGTTGCGTCTGCTATGATTGCTGGAGGCGCGGACGCTTGGGCAATAAACATGGGGGAAACCGATCGTATGTTCTGACTATGTTTCATATTCAGAGAACCATATATGAAATACGTTTCCCTCCCACGTTGACATTGCATGAATTTGGCCCCTTTGCGGATACATCATCATATTGCATTTTTTGGGGGGATTCTACCCCGGTGCCTTGACCTCCCTTTGCAACCACATTAAAAAACACGCAAACATCTGGAAGATTCCCTGAGCAAAAGGTTGTTAGGCCTTTTCTATTGGAACAGCCACTCGGAACGGGCGATCCGGACCAAAAACTCCACCCGAATTCCAAGCCACACACGCGCCGTGCCACCAGTAGCAGTGCCACCGCCAGGCCCGACGCAGTGATGGCCTGGCGGACGTGTTGTTGTTGTTGTTTTTTGTTTTTTTTTCCCGCTTTTCGTCGCAAGGATTCGGTGGGTTGTGAAACGCTTGTTGGCCATGGGTCAAAACCCCGGTTATCCCCCAGTGAACATCCGATTCAACCCCCACTAAAACAGGTTCTAAAATGGGTGGTGCACATATCCCAAAATGGGATCCCATTGGTTTTGAACCATGGCCTGTTGTTTAGGCTTTGCGTTCTTTGGGAGGGCACCAAAACCCCCCCCAAACTGCCCATAAAACTGGGCAATCACCTGGTATGTTCAAGGGCAACAACTCATAGGGGGTGGTTGGCGGTCCAGGAGCCCTTTTAGGGCTTCAATAAGCGCGCGCCATGCCTTCAAAAGCTGCAATTTACTGGTGGCTTCCACTGAAACTGCCACTTTTGGAGGTTCCAAAAAGGGAAATGGACAAAGCAATGCCGTTGGGCATTGAAAGGACATCAAGCCAAGCCGAAACCAATAGACCACGCGTTTCCAGAAGGAAACTTACCAAATGGCCCCCCTTGAGGTGATGTTTGAGCCAAACGAGCGGAAACGTGGGGAGCCAAACCCAAGTGATGATTTCAAGGACACCTATAGGGAGGATTGCTGACTCGGGAACCAGACATTTGAACGGCAGGCCTTGGCTTCAACAAGAAGTCGCCTCATTCGCAAAACCAAACGATGCCCTGCACTTCGCGTCGGACAACTTTTGGCCAAACCCCCGGTTTTTCTTCCTCCTGTTCGAGAAGCACCTGACTTCAGGGTTCCCTTTCTTTCGCCATGCAAAGAGTCAGCTGAAAACAACAATCCAGGGCCAGACCGAATCGCCATCGGGGTGATTTCAATCCGACCTGTGGAACCCGAAACCGCTTGAATAGCGTTCCATTGCAACATATTGCAACCCATCATGTTTCTTTGCCACTCCCAGCTGTAGTTCTTTCGAGGATACCGCTAGTGGGCCCGTTTTGGCTATAGGACCAAAGCAAAACAGACTGTTACCCCCTACTCAAAGTACCCGCTTTTTCCAGGGTATCTTTGGCAAAATTTGGTTTCCCGTGGGAAATACCTCCTTTTTTAGTAGAGGGTCGACATGATACCAACTGACAAAAGCCAAGGTCTTTGGAGCTTTCGGGGGCATCTGTTGCGACAAAGCCTTTTGGAAGAACCCCTCGGCGTCTCTTTCCGTTTTTCCTTGCCTGCTGGCCTGTGGCGAGCACCTGAGGCGTGAATGAGAGGGAGAGGAGGCCCCCAGAGGTGACCTTTGGCCCAGTGGTGGAAAAAAACAGTTGTTGACCTCTTGGCACCGCTGGTCTACCATGTCCCTAACCAAAAACTCCATTTCATTTCGCTTGGTTCAATTGGGGTGGGACTAGGTTTGGTCGGTGAGTTTAGGCTGGGCTTTTAATTTAGGGAGCCCTCTTAAGCCCGGTTTGGATACTTGCAGCTCCGGAACGGCTTCGCCCTGTGCCCCAAATGTGTGGTGAAAACGAAGCATTGGGAGCACGCGGGAGCTAGCCCTCTCTCCAATATTCATGGAAGACTCGGCAGGGCGGAAGACTACTGTCCTCTTGACGCCCCAAACTTCCACCATGATTGTCCTGGGCAAATGAATGGCTACCCCCGAAGGCTCCAAATACCCAGGCTTTTTTCAGGTGGTATCATGTCGACCCTCTGCCAAAAAAGGAGATATATTTACCATTAGAAGAAAAAAAAGGCTAACAAAAACAGCAGCAAAACAAAACCTAGCTTTCAAGAAATACCCAGAAAAGGGCATTGGAGTAGGGGGGTGTATTTTCACATGCTGAGGCTCAGGAATCCGAAGTCACGGACCTTCATCCCGAATAAGAAATCCTCTAACCCGAACCGGTGAGCTCGTGAGTTTTTTTTCTTTTGCTGAAATGGGAATGGGAGGAGAAAGGCGAATCCACCTCAACCCACCTTTTTCAGAATACCCTACAAGGCAAAAAACAACATAATTCATGCCGTGCCCAGTGCTCCCAGTTACCAGAAAAGCAGGTAACCAGGGTTCCTTACCTCTGGGCTCAACATGATGGTTTTCCCCGGTTACCTATATAGTGGAAACTGGAAGCACTGAGATAGTTTTTGACAAGACAAGAAAAAGAAAAGAATGGAAGACAAACAATAACCGTGGAAAACCAGGATTGACACACTATGGCTGCTTAGTTGGGGCAGCTGGAGTAGCCCATGCTAGAGAGACTTTGCTCTTGGCCCCCTACTACCAATGAGCCAACAACCAAACCGACTGAAAGGAACCAAACAAGCAAGCCAAAAGCTTCAAGACGGAACAGAACACAACCGATCATATAACCCGCAAATCTTGTGTTGGATCGGTGGGTTGGAACCACCCAACCTCCACACCGCCAAAAAAAAACAATTCGGCTCCAATCCACCCTTTTTGAGGGAAGCTCAACCGAACAATCCACCAAAAAAAACAAAACAACACATGCCAGGGGCATGGCTGTCTGGACCAGGGCTCCGTTTGTTGGACTACCCCAAAGTCGACTTGAACCCAGGGGTGGTAGTCCAAAAAAACGGACCCCTGGTCTGGACCGTCTGGGCTGCCTTTCTGGCCCCCTTCGCCCAGGCGCCGTGGCCGCCATGTCCGAGGAGATCTGACCCTGACGAGGGCGTGAAGGGCCAAGTTCGTCTCAGTTGTTCAGTGACCCTGGAAAAACACGGGAACCCTTTTTGGGCAAGACCATTCTTAGCGGGGCAGCCACCAAAAAAAAAGAGAGGAAAAAGGGTGCCACTGAACAACTGAGTAGTCAGTTGGTAGCCTGTCGGCACATGAGTCACAATCAAAAAGGGACCCAAGTCGGAGCCTGATATCCACAATATTCTTCCATTTGGTCAAGGCCCCAGGAAAAAATGAGAACATACTTCCAGTAGTCATGAATTCCTTTTAAAACTAAGGGAAATAGCTGATGTCGGGTGACTCACAATCAGAACCCGGTACTAAAATGGTATACCCAGAGCCATGAAGCGGATATCTGCAGCTATGTATGGTTGGGATTGTCCCTTACCAACCTTTATCGATCCGGGTTTTGATTGTGGCTCACATGATTAATAAACACCCAACAAAATCTGGAATTCCTGGGTTAGCCCTTTAGTGGGTCACACACCCACGTCCACAAACACGAACTTGGCAACAACCATCCAAGCAGAAAGGGGTGGACCAACTTTGCTGGGCTGTCCTCAGATCCCCTGTCGGATGTTCCAGAACAAGGTCCGCGAAATTCCGAATTCTCACGGAATTTCCCCAAAGTTGGTGGTTCCCAGCCATCCGAAAAAGCTTTTTAGATGTTTAGGGTTTAGTGGTAGTTTTCATTTGACCCACTAACTAGGCTGGAATTAGGACCCCAGCAAAGAATTATTTTTTTGCCTGCTTAGTGGAAAACAAAGGGACCAAAAAAAAGAAGAACACAAAAGCAAGAAGGGGAACTAATTCTTGGGAAGCTAAAAGGTGAGAAACACCCAGCCCGCCCAGCCACCCGCCAGCCCGGGGCCTTCTGCAAGCCCCGCCAGAGCCGCGTGAAGCGCCGGTGCACTTTGGGCCCCGCGCAGAAGACCCGCAGCGACTCGCCTTTCTTCGGCGGGGATGAGCGGAGCGGGCGACGGACAAACGCCTGCCTGGATCCCCAGTTGCCTAAGTATTTTCCAGCACTTTCGCCAAATTATGGGCTACTAGTCGGGTTCCAGTGGCTGGAAAAACGTAGCTACTTGGGGTTCCAAGTGGACACTCCAAGTACCTGTCAAAACCACCTGGACACTCAAACTACCCGTAAAAACAGGTGATTTGAATTTCTGTTTTAAGGGTAGTTTGAAACCATGGGTGAAACCCTTGCTTGTTGGTATTTACAGTGAAATCCAATCAGTCCAGGGTTTCGTGGATAAACCAAGGCTAGTTTGAGGGTTCAGGCACCTGTGTAACACCGGGCTCCTCCACATGAGCCATACAGCAAAAAAAAGAAACGGCTTGTTAAGAACCAACCCAAAAAATGAGAGCAACACATGAGCCCAGTCAATACTTATTGTGTCCCAGACTGACATGGGATGTTGGTAAGGTTTTCCAGCGAGGCGAAAAGTGTGGTTTGCTGAGGCTTTGTCAAGGGAACCCTGAAGACCCTACAGCTCACTACTCAGCCCCCTTGTACCTAACCCCTACGTGTGTTTAATTTGTTCATCAAGTGCTGCAGGAGGCCCTTGGCGCTCCGGCAACCATTGGCCCACATGGGCATCAAACGTAATATTCTAACTGATGCTGGTCTAAGTTTGGTCTAATACCAAAATTTTGGAGATCTCAGCTCAGGAAAGGTTGCTGCCGTTTTACGTAGCAATTAGGTAACGATATCACGCGCACTCGGGTGTGACAGTTTTTTGACCTAAGCTACCTGCTCACGAGGCTAGGAAAAGTCAAAACTTGCTGGCCATGAAATGACGAAGAACCCTGGCAACCAAAAGTTTAAGGACAACCCATTTGCTATTTTGAATTGTCAGGAGAGTATGTAGGCAGATTGGGCTGATCGATGAGGGTCGAAATCCAGCATGGGTGAGAAAAAAAGGCTTGGTGCTTGAGAAAAAGTCAACTTTGAATGCACCAGGTATGTACTAATCCTGCCTCCAAAAAAAGAACAGCTTCACCGAATATATTAAAAAAAAAAAAAAACAAGAAGAACAAAAAACGCCGGAAAGCCCACGTCTGAGCTCATCTTCGGCCGCGCGGCAGTTCACCAGGGCATCGTGGGCCGCTGTGGCCTGGGCGTCGTCGAAGCGGTTCTCGGAGCGCCGAGCCTGCGCCACCCAGTTCAAACTCATGTAGGTGGTGAAGAGGAAGTAGGCCGTGACCTGAGAAAAGTTGTGCACTTTCAGGCGGGGAGTTGAAAAAAACCGTCGCAATAGACAAACTGTGTGAAAATTTAACGGGGTGGTGAAGAGGAAGTAGGCCGTGACCTGAGAGCGCCGAGCGACGAGCACAGTCCCCCCCCCTGACAGAGACCCCCCCAAAAAGTGTTTTGCCATGGTTAGGGGTTGAACGCTTGATACTGAAGGAGGTGAAGAGGAAGTAGGCCGTGACCTGAGAGGTATGCCGATTTTTCATGGGCTCCCTTTACTAAAGTTTTGTCCATGGTTCCCCTTAAAGGTGGTGACAAGGAAGGATTCGGGGTAGGAAATCTGTGGACAAAATGGTTCACGTGATTTACGTTAAAAGGTACCTGGACCCTTAAACTGCCCTGAAATACGGGTTATTGCCTACAATTTATGATATTTTTTGGGTTGATGTCCCTTTTGGGTATGGGTAGTTTTGGAAGGTCCAGGTATGGTGTTTCAAACCCCGAGACAACCCCCCAGCCAAGGAGCAGTGCAAAGCACGGTGACCGCCACATCCATGCCTGAAATCGACCCGAATCGACGAAGGCCCGGATCAAATACAATCGCCTTTAGTCGCTATTTGTTGGGACACATGGGAAAGACCTGCGACCCGAGAGTACCCTTGGCGCTCACCAAAAGGGTGGCCATGACTACAAATGGGAACCCGCAAAGATCCGGCCGATTCGCCTAGGCCTGGTGGGTTGCAAAAGGCTTCCAGATAAGCGTCCGGATGCTACCTGGATGTTGGCGAAGGGTCTCCAAAAGCCGGACAGAAAAAATGCAGCCATTTTTTGTCGACCCTCTACTAAACAAGGTTTTGCATTTACAATGGAAAACCGCTCGGTTTTCCCAAACATACCCTGAAAAAAGCGGGTGTTTATCAAAAAAATCTAGGCTCAAAGTGAATTGTTCTGTAATGGCACAAGGGCCGAACATCATTTACACGCTGATATCTGCAAAACGAGTCCCCCTTGAAGGTACTCTCAAGCAGATTCACGAGCCATCCATATGGGTCTGTGCCAACATAAGGTGCTCGAACTGGGAAGTTTGAATGGGGGGTATGGTTCGCGAGTATGATTCGAGGTATGATTTGGGGGTATGATTCGTGGTATTGTTCGCACAGGTCGAACTTCCATCCTTTACAAAACCCTGCGCACCTGAAAAATGCACACACCCATATGTGAAGGTGCGCCCTCAACAAATGTAGATGCCGGCTTCCTTGAATAGACCTGCGATGTGGTGATTTTCGAAACCGCCTTCTTGAGGGGAATGTAGGGACCCCTGCTGAAGGGTTCAATTTTAAAACATGGTGCCATTCATGTGACACCCGCAAGGTCACCGTCCCAATGGCTGTCCATTTGAGAAAACAATGACCCTTCGCTTTGGGCGAAATTGGGTGAATGGTACAATTCAAGGGACCCCAGAAAATCGATACCTTCGGTCTCCCATATTCTGCACCAAGGTCCAAGCCCAAAAAACTGTGAAGGACTCGAGATGATCTTTCGTAACTCACTTCCCAAAGGTGAACACCTGTTTGAGGCCGCGACCAAAAACGGACCAACCTTGGAAGACCAACATGTCAAAAGGTCAGGTTGGGGCACCTCCAATGCAGAACCTTGGAGATCCGAGAGTTCTACCGCCCCAAAATCACTCAGCACGGAAAGGGTCCCGGGATCCCACCAAGATTCAAGATGGTCTGACTTCCGATGGCAAGTGGCTTCGTCAAAACAAGTAGTGCCATCTGAGTGCGGAACAACCCACGCCCAAAAGTGACATCCTCAAGATTGACCTCAAAACGCTGACTCACAACCTCAGTTGCCCAAAGGACCCAGAAAGACAAAGGTGCTGACCTTTCGGGGCCGCTAAACATGGTTGCCAAAACTGGCAAACCAAAAGCTCAGATCGGCTCCGGTTTGGGCAAGTGAGCAGAAGTGATTTTCTGCACCCCTGAACAGTTGTCGCAGACTGCAGGCAGTGGCGGGGCATGTCGCGCCTGCTTTTTCGAGCAGCAGGAAGAGAACAACGATGGACTCCTTGGCAAAAGAAGTGGCGAGTCGCCACTTAAGCAACCCAATATGATGAACATCCTGTCTGCAAGGGTCGCTGGGTGATAAATAATGCTGACTCCAGATTCATCAACCCCTGTTTTTGAACCTATGGGTGTTCCCCTAAAAAAATGGATTCTGAATCCCCACGCTTCAGCAGGGACACCGCCGTATTCATCAACCAGGGGCTTAAAACAATATGGGGTTGCCATTAGAGGTCTAGAACACCAATCCAAAAGGCCAGGGATCCCAACCAAGCAGAAACTGGACCCAACTAGCAAATAGGTCTATGCTTTTTGGAGGGTGCCCTTTTTAGGTTTCAAAGGCCAAAAGGAAATCGACAACTGTTGGGGAAACCCCTTATAGATCAAATGGGACCTGAAATGCAAGACGGATATTGCGATTTGGCGCCATGAAAACTTCTGGTGCAGTGGTCGGGCATTTGCTTCCAAAGGTGTAAGGGGTAGTAAAGGACCTTCACAGAAGGAAACGCGGGCTCACGATGCGTTGCCCAACGGTATCTGGGACTTATGTCTGTTCATAAGGGTTAAATGCGTGGCTTTCCTCTCGGCTTCCTTAACCCACCAAAACAAGGGGGTGACCCTCAACAAAAAAACACCACCTGGTTCTCTTGCAATATTTAGGGCAGGTGCAGAATCTCGGGTTGGCAACTATTGCTTGCCTGAGAGCCTGGGAAAAGCTCAAGTCTCTCAATCAGGGCTGTGGGGAATGACCACTTCTGTGATACAACAGAAAGGGCTTCCCAAAGACTATTTTGGTCATATAAAGGGGGATTTCCTTGTATCACAGAAGTGAAGAGAAACCCCTTGATCCCACAACCCTGCCCTCAAGGCTATGCATCCAGGTGTCATAGGCGATGGGCACCAGCGTGAACAGCAGTGCGCGGAGCAGAGTGTCCACCTTGCAGCTCCCAAGTCTCCGATCGAGAGCTCGGGACGTTTGCGCCCAATCGATCCACCCCAACACTTGGTTGCCGGCATCCGGCGAAACAAAGCACGATGTACAATTCAGCAAGGCAACGAAAAGGTGCCCACTGATATTCAGCGGCACCCAAAACATACCACGTCAGGCTGCCGGAAGGCCCTATCCCATTCCAATGCTGTAACGACCCCCCTGCAAAAATGAGCTTCACTTTTGGGGGGTGTAGTGGAAAACCCAACTTGATTTCAACCAACAAGGTAAAGTCTAAAGATTAACCCAACAGCAATCAAGAAGGAGTGGCTGGAGCAAGTCAAGCAAGGGGGGTCTGGAAGTCCACTTCTTTGGTTGGCGGGGGGTGGGTGGGTGGGTGGAAAATGGACTTTGGCTGTAAAAAACGGGGTTTGGGAACAATGACAAATCACTCATCCCCTTTTCTGTTGCATGGGGACATCGTGGGTTCTGTATTGAACATGTGTTCTGTGCGAGGTTCGGTGAGTCAACATGTCCAGTATGGTCCGTTTGGGGACGCTACATTTCGTAACATCAGTGCACTCACTAAAAAATCGCTCCTTTGCCGCAGAATTTGACTTGGCAATAGGGCCCCTATTTTCAAGCCTCCCCCACTGTTCCCACCCCTTGAACAGGTCAGTTTTTGACATGGAATGTCACCTCTGCCCTGTTCCCCGCACTTCTTGAGTGGATTGGCCAGCAAAAGTCTCACCTTGTTTACTAAAATGGCAAACCAAACCCAAAAAATGACGAAATCACCCGAGTCTTGGAACTTTGGTGAAATCTTAAAAGTGGCTCAAGTTTGTGTTTTGGAATTTAGGAAGTGAGTGATTGTGTTCTTCTTCTTTTTTTCGGCGTGTTCTCGTTTTTGGAGTGTTGTTCTGTGTCCCGAGGCGAGGAGCCGCGCGCGGGGGGCGTTCCAACTTGCGGAGCACCTCCCCGGTCTTGCGCAGGGCGTGGAACCTCGCTGCGCCGGGCGCCGGGGGGGGGGTCCCTTTGAGGTCCCTAAGGAACCCGTTTTGGGAACCCTGAAAGGAGCAGGGTGCTTAGTCATGGTTAGATTATAACCCACTGCCATCGTAAGTTGGTTATAAGCATGCTTACTAACCACTTACTAAGCACCCTGCCCCTTTAAGTACGGAGACCGTTTTTGGCTCTCAACTACCCCCCCCCTAACGTACCTACCCCCCCTTGCACATTCCACAATCCCACGTCATTCCCTTCAAGGTTGGGCGCTTTACTCCGTTTTTAGTGTCAGTGACTGGATTGCCCCTGGAAAAGCGGCAGTTGACTGTTTTCCATTCAAACTGGGGTTAGTTCTTTTCATGCTCTTGCCTGGGTGGGTTGAACATCCAAGTATGGGCAAACATTCAAATATGGATATACCTCACGTTGTTTTGCCTTACCAGGGTGCCTGTTACGGAGAACACCTGGACCCTCAAACTACCCATTGTTAGGGAATTCACCTGATGTTGGTTGGCAACCCAGTAAGGGTGGTTTCCTGGGGTCCGGTGTGAATAGGTAGGAGGTTCAGCAGGGAGTTCCTGCTTCTCACTTGCCCAACGGATCTGGAAATAAAAGGGGCCCACCGTTTGGAACCTAAAGACGTTTGGTACCCAAAGACTAAAAATGGGAACCCAAATCTGGAATTCCCTTTCAACAGTCCATCAATTTACTTGTGGTGTCCAATGAAACGATCGCCACTTTTGGAGGTTCCAATGGAAAATGGCTGTAACCCACTTACAAGTCCTCCATTCATTTATTCATTAGTTGGTTTTAAATCCTTGGCGTTTTCCACTTACTAACTTGGCAACGAACATCCAAGTAGAAAAAGGGGGGCATCTGGACCCTCAAACTGCCCATTGAAAGAGGGACATTACCAACCATCAATTTGAGCGCTAACCCATCTGTATGGCTACCTGGATCGCCAGTTGCGATCGCTCTCTTCCATGAACTTTACCCCCAAAAACAGCAACTGCGACTGAAAAAAAGCAACTTGGCGAGCTAGCTAGTTTCCAGGCTCCAGTCCTATCTTTTTGGGGTTGACCGAGCGGGAAAAAAACACGGGTACCGTCCCTGCCGGATCGATTCAGGCGCTGCAAGTCCAGCGCCAGCAGCTTCTGCAGCAAGCGCTGGGCCAGGCGCCTGCGGCGCACGCGGAACGCGGGGAAACCGACCGACGGGCCGGGGGGCGATTTGGCAGACCCCCGGAACCTCCTTAAATACCCGGCCTTGGCCGTTTTTAAGTTGGTATCATGTCGACCCTCTAGTGTCTACCTCTGATTGATAAACACCCCCTCCCCCCTTCTTCCAACTTGATTACGAACTGCTAAGTATTGCTCACAGATTTGTTTGTGGTTCAATTGATTTGGTATTGCTGGTGACAGTTCTTTTTTTTTTTGGGGGGGGGGGCAACCAGGAATCTTTATTTAGGGGGGCCTCTAAATAATGCTTTTTCAACCCAAGTACTACCCCCCTCGTGGGGTTGATTGGGGGCCACTTTTTAAACAAGAGTATGTGAATAATTTGCAGTTTGGGAGCTAGTATTTTTTGTAGATCTGAAATTTTAAGGCAGGCGAGGCAGATACTGACCAATCAGACCAGCTAGTGGAAGAGGTTGAGATGATGCTAGCGGGTGTGTGTGTGTGTTGTTTAGTGTGTTTTTGTGAGTGTGTGTGGATTCCCCGCGAAAAAAGAAAAACAAACTTTACTTCGGGGGGGGGGGGGTTATTCATCAGTGCCGGCCCACAACATAACTTTAATTGGGGGAGGTTTTTTTAATCATAGGTCGAAATTACTAAAAAAGGAGGTATTTACTATGGAAAACGAGGTTGTCCCAAAAAGACATCTAAGAAATGTTACTTTGAGTAGGGGGTAGTGTTTTTTGTTTTGGAAACCTGACGTCAAATGCTTGGTTTACATGGTTTCCTGGGAAACCCAAAGTCAAATCATTTGGTGTTACCCTCGAAATGGTGGTTTTATGAAGGAAAACACATCCAAAGTGAAGATGTTGAGAAGGGTTTCACTGTCAGGGACCCAGTTCTTTCTGGCTACTGGACGGGGGCACTTCTAATATAATGTTGACCCAGGATTAAATCAACCCGTCCCATTATTAGGGGGGTGTTCCCTCCAAAAGTGGTCTGAATCCAACCACTAAAAGGGGACACCCCCCGATCAAAATCAACCTGCTTGAAGAGGACCAAACACAAAGTTGTTTTCAACGGCGACCACAGTCAGGTGGCTTGTTATATTCTGCAAAACCTCACCCGGGGTTAACATTTGTGCGAACGACACGGGATAGACAGCTCAGTGGGATGGACCTCAATTTGGGCCTCATCCCAAGAGTTGTGGCGTCTTTGGATGGATTCAAGAAAAAAAAGAAAAAAAACGCCCAGGTTCTTTACGAAAGGTGGGTGCCAAAACGCGAAGACCAACAGGTTAAAAGGTTGGCTTTGGGTGAAAAGAAGGTAACGGGCTTGTCTCAAATCCGAATGGCTGTTTGTAGAGGATTGGCTTACCTGAAGATGCCGAAAGGGATAGTCCTGGTGGTGGATGGTTGTGGCTCTGGCAAATGATGTTCAATTGGCTTTCTCGAAACTGGCTTCAGAGCGCCAAATTTCAAAATGAACAAAGAAGCAAACGGGTCAAAATTTGGGAACCCCGGGTCACCCCCCAAAAAAAAAAAGGAGAACGCGGGTGTCCATTTGGCTTCCCTTGAACGCAGCGCCAGGAAGTCAGCTTCGTTGTGTGGTGGTTTGCACCCCTACAAGAACCAGGGCTTCCAATCCAAATCCAAACCAAATCCAAGACACCAACTTAGGGTTCTCTCATATTTGACCCACAGGCCTACTTGACATCAAGCGTTGGGGAGTCCCCTTACATCCAGGAGAAATGCTACTACATTTGTTGGACACCCACGGCATTTCTTCAAAAGGTCACCCGGACCAACTTTGAATTGCTTGACGTACTTCCAATTCTTCCAAGGAAAACCCAACCAGAAACCAATTAATAAAGACCTTTTGATTGAACCAAATTTTCTCACGGACCCTCCCAACCATATTTTTAGTTGGTAACCCATTCTCAACGCGAACTTCTGCATTTTGGTCCAGGTGCCTGGCAAAGGTGCTCTTTTCGCCTATCGTACGCTTTTTGCCACCCAGCCCAATTTTTTCAAGCTCCTTGAAAAGAGAGACACACCCATACCCCAACAAAACAGTATAAGGCTTGTAGGTGTGATACTGTGGATGGACGAATCCTGCACTTGGAAATCATGGACAACCATTGTTCATCGGTTGTTGCAGGGAATCACCATTCCATATTTTTCTTGGTGGTGCGAAATAGACTTCGTCCATCCAGAGTATGTCCACTTGGTATATGCAAGTTGGCCCTTAATGGGATCCTCGGAGTAAACCCAGTTTGTTCATATTGGGTGTCCCTGGGATTCGTGGGAAATCACCACTCTTGGTAGGGCCCCCACCCCCCTATTCGTTTGCTCAAGCCCCCTGGGAAAACAAATAAATATTTCCAGTAGTGATAGATTCCCTTCAAAAGCCACAAAGGGGAAATATAACATGTTCTAAAAGGTTTAACTTTTAGTGGTGTAGAGGAAAACCCACCAGTTGGCAAAAAGTTAAAGTCCCAACAGCCAAGCAAAATGCGGCAAAGCTTAAATCTTAGCTTCCTGGACCCCCAAAGGACCCCTTTTTTCTGCCTTTGTACCCCTTTCTTTTGGGTCAAAGGCAGAAAAAAGGAATCGGTCCTTTGGGGGTCCAGGTTGTTGGCTTGCTTCTGGGGGAGATTCAAATCGGTGGTGAGCGAATCCAACAAATCGCCTTCCCATGGGCCGCGCGATCATCGCCTGCACGGCCGTCTTGCTGTTGTTCAAGGCCTGGGATAGACCTGGCCGCGCCGAAGGAACGAAGTACCTTGGTTGCTGTTGACCCCCCCCTGCAAAAGTTTGACTTTTTTGGGGTTTAGTGGAAAACACCTTTATTTCCCAAAAAGTGAAATAAAGTCTAAAGATCCAACCCAATAGCAGTCAAGGTACGTTGCCATGGCTTTTCCGCCAGCTGCGTTTTCCGCCAGCTGCGGTCGAATCTCTTTTTTCCAGGTTGTTTTACCCCAAGAACCGATCGCAACAGTGACTGAAAAAGCGATCGCAACCTGGCTATCTAGGTAGGGTATTTTTGTCGCGCTCGGCGCTTGGCCTAGCCTCATACGATCCTGTTTTTGGCTTGGAACCTCATCTAGGTCATCCAGTAGAGAGGTTAGAATAAGGGTACCCTTTTTTCTGTAGTATATTTTAGTAGGGGAACCCTACTTGCGGATTTGGGGAATCTGTATCTGACGAACCCCCTTGCGCCAAACCCAAAACCGTAACTGTTGGGCACTTGGACCACTTGGACCCTCGAACTTGCCCGAGAAGATGCCATGGTGGCATGCTTATGGTTGGTGTACTTGCAGTATGTGGGTGCTGGTCAAATTAGGACCCCCTTCAGGTGGTTGGTTTCCTTTTGGTTTCACCTTCGAACCATCCAAAGTCTCAAGTACTGTCCAAAAAGCAGTGGTTGGCGGGTGGGAATGTGCATAGAACCGCCTAAGTCACTCGCAGCTATCTTCCTCAGGAGTTCTAACGCGGACCGCGGATGAATCCAACTGGTGGATTTATTGTTGGGATGTCCCACCGAAAAGTTACTAGAATGAGACAGCGCCCATGAACCAACCAAGGGTCCATTTATCTGGGGTCAACATTACACGGAGCTCTGAAAGTGCAGAGTCGGACCGGCGTTGGATGCTTGAAATGAGGGTACCGGCCTAAGCCTGCCATATCCTGTCATACATGTTCCTGCGCCGCGCAAAGGAAACGTGTGGTTTGGTGGCAGCTGGAAGCACTGGCAGGAACACAAAAAATCGATGATTTGTTGATCAAAGGATTGCCTCGGGAAAATTGGCTACTTGCTGTATTCTTTCTGGAGGAAGCCACCGGAACAAAAAAGAACCCAGGGGCTCCATCATTATGTTCTTTCCTAGTACCCCTACCGGCACACTGTGGATGGACGAAATCCTGCACCACTTGGAAACCATGGGAAATCATTGTTTGTTGGTATTTACAGGGGAATCATCATTCCAGGATTTCTTAGGTGGTGCACGATTTCGTCCATCCACAGTATTTGCCATGTGCAACATCCCAAGCAGTGTCCAGAAAGCAGTGGCTGGGTGCTGGTAGAAAGCCAATTTGGAGCTTTCCGGTGGATTTCCTTCGCGGCCCCCAAACCAAAGTTTCAAGCATTTCAATCAGGTGGGGCCTCGGGCTCGCCAAGAAAACAAAACGGCCAACCTAATTTCTCGGAACTCCAAAAGTGCTCAGCCGTTGAACTGACAAAACCTACCGCGGCCAGGTCGCCACAGGGAAGAACAACTTAACCACTGAAAGAAACCACTGAAAAAGATGAGGTGCCCCACCCCCAAAAAAAAGATACGCCTACAGCCACCAAAAACGGCCTGGGAGCCAGCCCATGTCTCAGCGTTGCAACGGACGGGAAGGGTCGTCGCCTTTGAGGCCCGCGAAGATGAGGAGCCAGCTGATGCCCTGCAGCTGCCGCTGGCTCAGGAAGTTCACCGCGATGCGCAAAGCGAAGGGCGCAAGGAAGCCCACGGTCTTGCTGCTGCCCACCTTTTTTGCTCCGGGTGAAGGGAGCAGCCATCGATTCGGTTCGACAGGTAAGTGGTAAGCAGGGTGAAATAACCCACTTAGGAACCTTATATACAACCATGGTAAGACAGTTCAACTCTAAAACCAAAGGTAACTTAGGTTGACCCTCCAAGGGTTGGCCATTTGCCCTGGCGTGGCCTTGTTTTTTTCTTTTTATTTATTTTTGTCGGGGGGGAAGGCCAATAATTCAGTATACCTGCGATCGATTCAGTGCGCGACCAGGGAATGAGTTGGAATGACCCTTTTCTTTTTTTCGCATCCCTTTCCGGGGGGGGCTTGAAGAAGGGCTTGAAGGGGCACTTCAAGGACTCTTGGGGGGTGAAGGAGGGCCCTAGGTGTCTGTTGTTTTCTTGTTTCATGTTTCACGTTTCCAAATTATTATTCGTATTATTCGTATTATTATTACTATTATTATTGTAGTTTTTTTTGGGGGGGGGGTTGGCCACGTCTATAACGGTTGACTAGGGTTTCAACTAGGGTTTCAACTAGGGTTCCAACATGTTCCAACTAACTAGGGATCCGACTAAGGTTCCTTGGTTGTTAGGGAAAGCGGGATACACCAAGCCGTGGTTGCGAAACATACCGGAAAATGAAGGGTTGTCCGGCCCAAATAGTATGAAAGAAAGACAACACCCCGCGGGGTTGTGGGGGACAGGAGAGCGCTGAGGAGTAAGGGAGATAAGGCTTTTCAAGGTAAGGCAAACTGCCCACCACGTGCGAACGAGAAGATAACAATGCATTCGGATTGAGTGCAATTTGAGACCGTAGCCCGCGATCGGAAGACTTTTGCAGGAAACCAGCGGGGGGGGGGGGTGAGGACTACGGAATGTGGGAATGAACCCAGGCTTTGGTCCCCTTAAAGGAAACCACCAATTGGATGGTCTAATTTTAGGGGTCATTGAATTTCTCATTCCCTGCCACTGCTGAGCACCAGCAAGTTCTTGTTGCTGTTGTGTGGTTCTGATTGTTGTTGTCGCGTTTTGTGTTCTGAAGCTGCTTTGTTGGTGTTGTTTTTGCGTTTTTGTATATGTTGTGGTTTTGTGGTTCTGCTTGGTTTGGTTGTGTTTATGAGTCGGCAACCCCAAAAAAACACACAAACATTGGGCTTTTGGCTACCATAGCAGTTTGGGTTTGTCTTTTGAGGCTACCTGGACCCGAAGAACTTCTCCCTGGACCCGAAGAAACACTCTTAAAGGGGAGTTCACCCCATCATGTTAGGGCATCATGGATCCCTAAGGGGGGCAATTGGGGGGGCTATTGGAAAAGCCCAGGATCAGCCCAGGATAAGCCCTTAATAGGCCCTGACGAAGGGGTTGATAAGGGGTAGCCCCCCCCTCCCCATAGCCCTTGTAGATCCATGAGGGCAATAAGCCATGAACCTTCGGCCACAAATCCAAGGATTCGGAACTTTTGGATGTCCACTTCGGTGTTTGCAGGCTGAGAGTTCTTCTTGTTGCTGGTTGTGTTTAATCTCAGCTGCAAAGAACCAAGTTTCCTCCCTACTCTCAATACACTTAGGCAGTCCTTGGCAACTACCAGCGTTTTAGTCAGGGGTTAACATGATACCGATACCTCAAACAAAACAACCAGTATTTTTGGATGGGGACTTGGCTAACATATCATATGTTCCTTCCTGTTTTTGGGGCTAGCACGGCGCACAGCCAACTACCTATCGCACCAGCACGTATAGTGGTAACTGGCAGCACTGGGTTTCTTCACAAGTGCGTATTTGCAGCGGGTGCGCCTACCAATCGCACCAGCAAGAAAAACCCAAGAGCCAACAAAAGAAATAAACAACAAAAACTGACAACCAAAAACAAACAAAAAAACACAAACCGGAGAAAAAACAGCCAAACAAAAACATCAACAACGCCGTAACTTCCAGCTGCGGCGCCAGTAGAAGGCCGAAGCCTAGAAGCACCCAATCCCGGCCACTCGCCTCAGATTCGATTGGAACGACGCGCCGGCGCGCGGCGTGGGTCCTGTGGGTCGACGACATCCTACACAGGGTCTTTTTGGGAAACCCGATCGGTTTTCCATGGTAAATACCAATCAATCTGTCTTGCAAAGGAGAAATGTGTCATACCTGAACAAGGCGATGGGGGGTAGTTTCTAGGCTTTAGCGTCCCGTGGGATCCATGTGGCTGTGGCTCAAAGACATGGAGACATGGCACCTTGGCAAACGGAAGACCTGCGTGACCCGCCAAGGAAGAAACCTTCTTTGAAGGGCGAACACCTTGGCCGCCAAAAGGCTGTGGGTCAAACATAGGTACACAAAATGGATCCCTGCAACTGGAAACATGGACTAAAACCTACAACCAGCGTTTTGTTGGTGGTTTAATTTTGGACCCATACCCAAAAGATGGCAAACGGTCTTTCAGGATTTGTTTGAGACCCCGGCCTTCCCCGTGTTTCCCCCATTTTGGGCTAACCCACTTGAAGGACCCAAGGTACTCACCTTTTCGGACCGTGACGAATTAAGCATATATCGACTCAGGGAAACCAAAAGGTGAAAGGTGGGTTTTGGACAAGTGAGCAAGACATGGGTGCATCCCAGTTTGGAGGAGTGAGCTAACCCCCTACTCCAAATACCTGGCCTTTTTTCAGGGTATCATGTCGACCCTCTACTAACAAATGAGGTTTTCACCACGGAAAACCAGGCTTTCAGAAAAACACCTTGACAAAAATGGGTATTTGGGGAGTCGGGAACATCAAACCCCCAAAATCATCCATGACCCAGGCTGCCCGCCCCCCGCCCCCAGGCCCAACGCTGCCAAGGTGCCAAGCTCAGCAGCAGTTCGCAGGTGCCACGCGCTTCCCGCTCCTGAGACTCACTTGCCCCTGAAGGACCCAGCAAAAAACAGGTTCAGCTGATGGACGGCCAGCTTCCATTTGCTTAAGTCTCCTGGAAAAGAAATATAAAATAATCATATTTCCAGTAGTGATAGATCTGGGCTGCCCTCAGATCCCCCGGCTGAGAGTTTAACTTTTAGTGGGTTAAATGGAAACTACCACGAAACACTGAAAGGCTAAAAGGCTAAGGGGATGGCTGGACAAAATCCTGCAGCAGCTACAAAACTCTGGAATGATGCTTCCCCTGCAAATACCATCAAACAATGGTTTCAACCATGGTGTCAAAGTGGCGCGAAATAGATTTCGCAACCATCCACAGTATTACCTGAGCCAAGCCTCTCGGGCCATGAACAAAAAATGGAACCCAACTCAAGAAAGCCAAAAGGTTATTTCAGGTCGATTCGCTTGGGGCAACCGAGAAGAATCTAATGGACAAATCTCACGGCTTTCAAACAAACATGGACCCCTGGCTCTTGCAGTTGGCACCAACTAGGAGATGCCTGACGCTTCGTTGATGATCCCATACTTTCTTTCAGGAGATGTCTACCAAAAGGGTCGAGTCACCGAGAAGTGGTTTGCCTTTCGCGCCAGCAGCCGGGATCCCCATGGCTTTCGCTCGTTTAGAAACAAACAAAAACGACTCGGTGGAACCGCTCGTCGTTAAAATACCCCCTACTCCAGATACCCACTTGTTCTAGGGTACTTCTTGAACAACCTGTTTTCCCATGGTAAATGCCAAACCTTTTTTGGTAGAGGGTCGACATGATACCAACTGAAGAAACAAACGGGTATTGGGTGTAGGGGGTAGGCAGACTCCAATCGCTTCTGCGGAAGAAAAAAAACCTTTAGTGGGGATTCATCGCTTTTGGAGGGACCACCCCCCCTAATACTGGGACGTGTTGATTAATCCTGGGTCAACATTAGGCAGACGCCACTCGCTTCGGCGAGATTTTTTTCCGAAGGCTCCAAGGACTTCTCGACCTCCGCCGGCTCCGGGGGCGGCACGTCCACAGAACTCTCCGCCGAGGCCTAAGCCGAAGAAACGAATTGACCTCCGTCAGCTCCGCAAGGAAACATATGGCCATGGGTCAAAATCCAAATCGTACCCCCAGTGAACATCCCAATCCCCACTAAAATAGGTTCTAAAATGGGTGGTGGGAAACATATGTCCTGCCTGGATCCCCAGTTGCCCCTATTTTCCAGCTACTTTTGCCAAATTATGGGCTGCTAGTGGGTAAAGTGGCTGGAAAAAAAGTAGCTACTTGGGGATAAGCATCTGGCTGTGGGTCAAAACCAATCGGATCCTATTTGGGGTAGGTGAATTCACCACCCATTTTAGAACCGATTTTGGTGGGGATTGGGATGTTCACTGGGGGTACGATTTGGATTTCGACCCATGGCCATATGTCCTACACACAATACCCCCGCTTTTTAGTTGGGACAACCCTCTGATCGGTATTTACCATGCAAAACCAGAGTGTCCCAAAAATACCCTGAAAAAGGTGGATACTTGGAGAAAGGGGCATGTCAAGTAATCAGCAACCCGGCCCACAAAAAAAAACACGAAAATGCGCAAATCGGTTTCTGGTTCCCCTACCGTACCCCGAAAGCTCCAAATACCTATGCAGCACCTTCTTTTGGTTTGCAGTTCTTGGAAAACCGATCGGTTTCCCGGAATAAATACCGATCCCTGTTGGTAAAGGGCGGACATCATAGCCTGAAAAGCGTGGGAACTGAGTGTAGGCAGTCAGCCTTGGCCGTTTTGCTTGGCCACGTTCGTTTGGCCTCTCTCAAAAAAAAATGGGACTCCATCCACGCGGTGCCGCCGAAGATCCGCCTCCGACCAGGCCGGCTCGGCCAGCAGCGGCTTGCGGAGGACCCTGCCAAGGTAACAAGGGGAAGGGCGTTGATACTACAATAATCGTTGAGCCTGGCCAAAGAACTTCGATCCTGGACCTTCAAACTCCGGCAAATTTCTGGGTGTTTTAGGAGACCCCTACGATTTACCGAATTCCAGTGGTTTAGCACATTTGGGGCAACAACTCATACGATTTACGTCAGAAAGCAAACACACCTCGCAGCACTGCCCAAGGAGCCAATAAACACAATAAAATGCCTTGATCATTCAAAACTACAACTTTTCTGATTTGCGGGAGTTTGCGGGTGTTTGCGGGAGATTTGCGGAAATTTGTGGGCGTTTTGCAAACAAAATGGGTACGTTTTTCCTGCACCGCACAACTTTGGACCACCGTTGCAGGTTTCGACAAACTTGCGGGCTGCATCAAGCCGTTTATTCATCAAAGCTTCCTTTAATCTGTCAAAGGCTGCGAGCAGTGCAATAGTGTGCTGTTTAGGAGTTTTAGGAGTTTCCGGTTTTTGCGGCAAAAAGTGCTACGATTTCCCGAATATCTAGCCAAAGGCGGAAACTGCGTTGTTTTTTTTCCAGGGGGGCAAAGGTCCAAAAAAGGACACCTAACCCAACGGAGAAAACCCAAGACCTCAACCACCCACCCTGCTAAACGACCCCCTTTTTGCCCCTAAGCCATCCTCAGAAGATATTAAGGGACCCTCTGGGCGAACAACTGCCCATCTGCAGTTGGCTTCGTTTACTCACCTCCGCTCGAGTGGATTGGCCCAAAACAAGTCTTGGTCAGAGCAAAAAACGTCAAAATCCGAAACGGAACTCCCTGCTCACTCGGATTTGTCCCATTCGATTACCAAAGGCCGGAAAGGGAAGCCTTCATCAGAATCGTGCCCAGTTCCAGGGCTAGAACTATTTCCATGGTGACTTTAACCTTCACCTGCGGCAATTTGAAGTGAGTTTCAACTTGTTGGAGTGCTGAACAGCACCATACAAGGCCTTGAGCAGGTGGAATTTCTGGTGAGTCAAAAGGACGACTAACGGTAGGGATTTGGACCCCAGCGGAGATTTGGAGCCCGGCCGACATCTGCCTTGGCCGAAGCTGCTTCGGCCGACTCGGCCGCAGCGGCGCCGGCGAGAGCGGCGGCGAGCTGAAACGAAGCGCAAGGGTCAAGGGAAGCGCCATCCAGCTGGAAGGTCTAACTCACATCATACATTTTATGTTTTTCCCCCCCCCCTGAGGTTCACGTGTGCTCTAGCGGTGCGGGTTTGCAGTTCATTTTATAACTGGCAGCCTTGAGTTGGACACCATCCGATGTTTAATCGAATAGCTGGGCTGTTCCCCTTTGATCCCCCGCTAAAAATACACTTAACTGCGCGCGGTTTCGTGAAACTACCACTGAACTCCACTGAACCAACAAAAACACAACACCTAAGAAGATGGCTGGGAACCACCAAGATAGGGACCTTTGGTGGACATGGGGATTCACGTGCACATGTCCACCAATTGCTTGTGAAGTGCTTCCCTATTGAAATGCGCAGCTAAATTCCTCCAGTGGCGAAGCCGGGTCTCACTTCCCCAAAGGTTACCCTTTTGGGGCCGTGAGTGAAAATGGACCACCAATTGGAAAACCAACAGGTCAAAAGGTCAAGCTTGAACTGAGTGCTCCACAGTGGTGAAGCCCGGCAGAGCAACAAATGCTTGCAGGCCTCCATAATCGAAGAGAACCATGGAAGTCAAGAACTAAAACATACCCCGTACACCCAATACCCGGCCTTTTGTCAGGGTATGATGGCGACCCTCTACTAAAAAAGGAGGTATTTACCTTGGAAAAAACAGGTTCTCCCCAAAATACCAACTGAAGCAAACATTGGTATTTTGTGTAGGGGGTATGCCAAGAACGGTGCCGAAAACCCGGGTTTGGAGGCCCAGTTTGGTTGGTTGAAATTTCATTTTTAGTGGGCCCCGAACCCCACAGAAACAAGAAGGGATTTGGAGGGCCGTCCACAAGAATAAGTACGGTTGGTCTTGTTGGTTGGCCCGACCCACAGAACCCAGCACACTCAGCCCGGATGGGGAGAGAGAAGCCAAACATGTTCCAAGTCTACCTCCCAAACCACTTGAGCGCGGGAGGAGGGGGGGCCAGGCAAGCCGAGCAAAAGCGGCTGCGTTCGAGCGGGCGGATTCGGGCGGATGGCGCTCGGAACTCTATGAACAAGAAGGTTTTAAGACAGAGGTGACTGGATTTCCCCCCTTTCAAAAGTTGTTGAAACTGCCACTTGGAGGTTCCAAGAAAGGAAATGGAGGAAACCCTGGAACCCTTCTGGGGAGGGGGCCATCGTATAACCTCCTTTGATGGTAAGGGTTCTGTCGAAGGAACTGTCTGGCCCCAGAGGCCTTCGGCTTTCTCATTTTCTGATGGATTCCTCGCAAATTCCGACTCGTTGCCCTCTAAAGTTACGTTCCCAGAAAAGTTGAAAGTCCAAAACTGGGGAAGTTAGTTGTTCGTTGGCTGTTGGATAGGCGTGCGCTGGCATGATACATCCCTGTCAGGTCAAAAACGGGACCTGGAAATAAAAGATAAGGGTGGTTTTGAGTGGTTTACCCTTTTCGAACCTCGACGAATGGGCCAGGCGGAAACTAGAAGATCAGTCTCAGATGCGGTCGATTCGCTTTGGTGATATGAAAACATGGGCAGAAGTTTAACCCCCCAAGTGAAGTGTCGACGTTGTCTAGTTTTAGGGGACCTCCCAATTCAAACTTGCTTTCAGGGTAGTTTCTTGGGGTCCGGTACGTGAGTTCGGGGTTCAAAAGGCTGATTAGCATTTGGTGACCATCAGGAATGGAATTTCCCAGTAAAATTGGTGAAAACTTACCCGTGGTCCTTTGAGGTCGCGGAATATAGCCTTTCTCTGAACCTTCCACAACGAATTCCGAAGAGTACACCCTCATTCCACGTTCAAACGCGCAAAGAGCAACATCAACTGCCAGGGCTTTCCTAGGGCATGCTAAGCAGCTACGTGTGAAGAGGTGCGTCTGTCTGTCTGTACCCTTCACGCGCGTGATTCAAAGGGACATCAATCAAGTGCACAATAAACAGTTTGGGTCCTAGTTATCCTAAGGATCCTGATGGAATTTGGGGCCCAAATGGATCGCCTTTCCATGCTGGTCTCGACCAGCCACTCATCGCCAACAGTTGGATTGCTCCCAAAAGCCAAGAACAAGGGTGGATGCTCGTCTTAGACCGGCATCTCTACCAATACCAACTATAGCGCTGCAGGAGCAAGGGTGGAAATCTTGCTTCTCAAGATGAAGCAAACAGGTTCAATGCCACCCGTGAACACGTCAAACGAAGTGGTTTCCTTTTCACTCGTGCAAAACAAACTCAAAAAAGGGGAAAGCCAAACGCCGACCACAACTCACTTGCCCTTACCGGACCGGAAAAGAGCAAAGGTTAACCAATTTCGGGAGCTTTACTAATCATGGCTGCCACTAAGGCCGGATGTCATGTAACTTTGCTTTGCACATGCCCCTTACTCAAAATACCCGCCTTTTTGTTCAGTTGGCATTTTTGGGAAAACCGATCGGTTTCCCATGGTAAATACATCCTTTTTTAGTAGAGTGTCGACACGACACCCTGACAAAAGGCCGGGTATTTGGAGGTTACGGGGGTAGTTCAGTCTGGCAACGCTTCTTCTCGGCTTGATGCCAAGGCCTGCGGCACAAAGAGGGTCGTCTTAATTAAGTGCCCGACAGCAAGGTACCGCTGCCGCAGCTGCACAACTGGCGGGCAACTTCGGGCGAGAAGATCCGGTGTAGATGGACGAAATCCGTATCGCACCACCTAAGAAACCCTGGTGTCTGTGGATTCTCCTGTGCATACCGGAACAAACATTGGTTTCCCATGTTTTTCAGGTGGTGCAGGATTTTGTCCATCCGCAGTAGCTATTGTCTGCATCTGTGGCTGTATAGTGCTGCGTGAATTGGAACAAGCACCACTCGAAGACACACCACTATACGTGTCCATGACTAGGTCCTCCAGTAGAGAGGTTAGAATAAGGGTACCCTGTGTTTGTCTGTTGTCTATTTTAGTAGGGGAAACCTCCCCCAAGAAAGGGTAAAAGGGCACTACTGGGGGGACCTAGAAGCACCACTCGAAGGCACACCACTGTACCGGTCCATGATGACTCCATTCGCCAAAGCATGTGCCATCAAATTGTCACAAGCCAGCGTCTGAAGTATACTGGAACTCCCCAGCATCACATGACTTCCGATCAAACTTTCCGTGGTTGGCTCTTCATTCGTGGCAATGATGTCGTTGCTGACTCTGAACAGTTAAAACGCTTCAAGAGGTCATCTCCAAATGCCCTCAAAAAATGCCCAACACATGCTGTGGACCTGGAAATGAGAAAAGGTGATCACCTTTTGGGGCTATGACTCTACAAAAAATGAGAAGGAAACCGAAAAGATCAGAGTATGACTTTGGACCAGTGAGGTGCTGTGGATAAAAATTACAGTTCGAACCACCGTTTAGAAACCAACTGGTTAACCTGATTCCCTGCCAACAAACCATGGGTTTCAACCACGATTTTTTACAGTGGCGCGAACGGATTGATTTCAGCCACTCATGTGAAAAAATGGGCCATCCCAAAGCGGGGGGGATCCACCAGTAGCTGGTTTCACTTTGACATGGAACCCAGCAAAGCTTCGGAATCCTCTTTTGTGGCCACTTTCCTTTTCTTGGTGCTTCATACTTGGCCCACCCTGGCATATACAATAGTCTTGAAGGAGACCCCAAAGAAAACCATATCGCTTGCCCAACTAAAAGGTGACACATGGGAACCAGCGAAACCCCGAAAGTTTCCAAAGCTTTTCCTTGGAGAAGTGAGAAGTTCAGAAGACCTGGACTGGTGAAATTTTGGTTTTTTGAGGCCTCCAAGCAAATCTCCCCACTTCTTTGGCCCAAAAGAAGCCCGCGGACTATGCCGGCCACCTTGTTGCTTTGAATTTTGAGAAATGGCTATGGGTCAAAATCCAAATCGTACCCTCAGTGAACATCCGATTCAATCCCAACTAAACTAGGTTCTAAAATGGGTGGTGAATTCACCTACCCCAAAATGGGATCCCATTGGTTTTGACCCACAGCCAAATGGAAACCTCCAACAAAATCTCCCCGACTTGGTTTTCTTCTTCCCCGAAGCCTACGGAATACGAGAAACCCGAGACCTGCGCGGGACATTGGCGGCCAGCCGTGGACCAAGAAGGCCTCGTGGACTTTTGAAGCGAAGCTGCTGTCGGGCATTTTCCACCTAAAGACTCAAACACCTCAAAACCAGGTGAAACAAATACACCAAGACCAGCGCGTATTTGGATTAGGGGGTACCTTTCCCAGTGCTTCCAGATACCACCTTATGGCAAGTAGGCATTTGTGCCTCGATGTTGATTTCCGCTAGTTACCTAGTATACTTGTTGGTTGTCAGAAGGGAATGAGGAATGACCCCTATGAACCATCCCTATGTTTGGTTTCCTTTGAGGGAATTCCTAGGTTCATTCCCAGAACCCGAAATGTCATTCCCCAGCTTTCGCATCATCAAGTATAGTAACGGGAAGCGCTGGGTTTAAACAAGTGGGCAGTTGCATCGGGTGCTCCTCACGGAGGTACCGTAGGACAAAATCCATCTCTCGCACCACTTGAAAACCACAGGACTTGGCTGGAAAAATCAGACCCCAGCAAAAACGCGTTGTTGTTTTTTTGCCTGGTTAGTGGAAAACAAAGTAATTCTGGGGAAAAGGAAACCATTGTTCATTGAGGTATTTACAGGGCAATCATGATTCCAAGATTTCTGAGGTGGTGCAGGATTTTGTCTATCCATAGTATGACTGCTTCTGTACCACAAAGACGGCTTGTAAGGCAGTATGCGCCCCTTATTTTTTTCGTGGTATATAGCCTGCTTACGCCATAAGCCCGTATCTGAAAATACAATCAACTCTGTGGTAACAACGTTCTGGAAATCCCACCTGTCTGCCAAGGATCTGGGAAGAATGACTCGTGCTTCATCCCCTTTTATCTTGTGCACGGAACATTAAACTGAGCAAAATGGGTCTGTCTTTGTTTTTGGTACTCCATGTCGTTTTGTGTTAGCAAAAAACATCCAAAAACAACAGCGGAAACCACTTTGTTTTGGGTACCCCATGCTTTGATGTTACTACGGGAAACCACCATGAACATCACACAATTGTCCGGGTCCCAAAAAAAAGAGAGACGACACACCCAAGTGGCAATTTTAAGCACCGGTAGACGCCCTAACCTTCGTTTGAAGCATCTGCAAACCTACCCCCGAAAGCTCCAAAAACCAACGCTTGCTTCTCCTAGGTCCTCCACTAGAGAGGCTAGAATAAGGGTACCCTTTTTTCTGTAGTCTATTTTAGTAGGGGAACCCTCCCTCAAAAAGGGTAAGAGGGCACTACTGGGGGACCAGTTGGCTATGGGAGCTTGTCTGATGGCGATAAATTATGGCTGAAAACGGGATCGGCAATTCCGATCGGTTCTTCAAAAAATACTCACCGACAAAAGCGGTGATATTTGGAGTAGGGGTAAATTGCATTACAAATCATTTGAGGGCTCGCCTATTGCGCAAATCGCAAGAAATGGGGCATGAATCTCGGATCAATGTATTTGGGGTTAGATAGATCCGTCATTGTTGAGTGCGTTTGCTACCTTCACTTTGTTCGGCGCCTCATTTGCTATATTTGGCAACTTGAGGCCAACGGAAAGAGCCAACCTGGAATCCGCTTAAGACCAACGAGGAAAAACAAATATGATGGGTGTTTCCTTTTCTTTTGGGGGGGGGCCCTCCGAAATGCTTGCTTTCCTTTTGGTTTCCCTTGAAACCAACCAAACAAATAGCTTCGAAAACAAATCAAATGAGCCTTTTTCTTGTGCACTCTCAGGGCCCCTTCTTTGGGATCCGCGTCGTTCCCATGTGTCAGGCTGGGCCGCCGAGCTTGCCAAAAGAAGGCGGAGTAGGGAAAGTACCTGCAAGAGGCTTTTTGGCTTCGGCCGAGAGAACGCCCACGCTTGGGCGAACTGAGAAAAAGGCGATGAAACCGCGAGCAGCCGCTTCACCTACTCCAAAAACCGTTTTTTATGGGTGTTTTTTTTCTTCCCAGGGCGTCATGTCAACCCGTTACTAAAAAAGGAGCTCTTTACCAGGGGGGGGCCCTCTTTAGTATGGAAACCCAAGGTTTCCTTCTCCAATGAAGAACTCGGACTCGCCCCGCAAAAAACCCGCTTTTGCAGCCCATGGAGTAGTGGGGGTGGGGGGAAGGCGGGGTGATTCGCCCAAGCCGGCCGATTGAAGATGCGCCCAACTCCGGCCGCTTCGAATCGGAATCCGAACTGAGTCACCTCCCAGAGAAGCAAAGCACCAGGCCCACCACCGCTGCGATGGCGCCTCGGACGTGTGGCATGCCTTGGATGGACCTTTGGTTTTGCGGTCAGGAAAGAATGCGTCAGCCTCCTCGAAAAATTGAAGAAAATGTCTGCAAACTCTCAGTATCTAGGCTCTCATGGTAGTGATAGATGATCCTTTCTCCCGACCGGGGAGTCCAAAAAAGGGGAGTGCAACATGTGAACACAGGAGGCAACACTTCTCGGGGAGTGTCACTGGATTTTGATCTGCCCCCATGGCCCGGCCATGGGTTTTCTTTCATCCGGTGCACACAGCACCTGCCCCAAACGGAAGCGCCATTGTGCAGTGGTTGTATCCCAAACTTCTGGGAGCCGTGGTTTGTGGGTAAAAGAGGGGCATTTGCAGGCAGTACATAGTCTCTGTGATCATTTGCGAGGTACATGAAACATATCTTGCAAACAACCCACTGAAACGGTGTGGCAATTTCAGTCCAAAAAGGCCAAAATACAAGGTTCAGCTTTTGTAACCTTGACCTCGCCTCATCACTTGATCATCATCAAGTCAGGCCATATGTGGTAGCATAAAGGGAAACCACCCACCAGATTCTGACTTTGACACCCCCATGAAACAAAAACTAATTAACTCTGCCAAAAAAAACCGTGTGTTTACCATGAGACACCTCGTTCTTCCAAAAATCGACTTTCACAAGCGGGTATTTGGAGGGGGTATGGGCCAAAAACCGGGGAAAAACAAAAAAAAACCTTTCAGGTCGAAAGGTGCGTTGGGTTTTCGCTTTGGCTGAGCTTTCCCCTTGCTGAGCTGAGCTGAGCCATGTCCCCATCCCCCCGAGTGGGGAAACTCAAGCCCGAGAAGTGGGTACTTACCCCTACATCCCCCGACTGCGTTTTCGTCTCCCTGCCACGGGGATTTTTGTTGCATGGTTGCAACCTGGATTTTTTAAAGGACCCCCTTTTTCAGCCTTTGACCCAAAAAAAAAAAGGGTACAAAGGCAGAAATCAGGGGTCTTTTGGGGGTCCAGGAAGCAAGCAAGTTGGGCCCAGAGTGGTGGATCTGGTTCTTAGATCATTTCGGAGCCGAGATGAAGCGCACCATCCGCGGCCCATTTTCGCGCCCGGCCATTGCTGGCTGTCAGCGCTGGTAGTAGTATCTCTGCATCGAGGAGACCTTGGCAGCCGGATGACTCCATTTCGCAAGCTCCGAGGGTGGCGGTTGACCCCTCAACAAGTCGTCCACTGGTTGTGGCTTCAACTCGAGAAAACGCATGTTTTTCCCATGCAATAAGTGGAAACCACCTTTATTTTTGGGGGGTTTAGTGGAAAGCCAAACTTGCTTTCAACCAAAAAGTTGAAAAGTCTAAAGACCCGTTGCCCCAGAGCAGTGCACTCCCGCCCCAAAGTCGCAGTTTTTTTGGGACACCTGCAGCTTGCGAAAGGCTCCCTGCCAACCGTCTGCCTACCCCCTACTCCGTATACCCACTCTTTTCAGTTGGTATTTTTGGAAGAACCTGGTTTTCCATGATAAATACCTCCTTTTTTAGTAGAGGGTCGACATGATACCCTGGAAAAAGAGGGTATTAGGAGTAGGGGGTAGTTTTCAGTGCTGCGAACGGGCGAAAAGCGAACCAAAAAATGGCTCCCTTCGGATGCGACACGCGGAAGGGTCCTTCTGGTGGCGACCAAAAACCAGTTCACCCTGCGAACCAAAGTTCCTGATCTTGCGGCCCGGGTGGTTCCACCCCCCTACTAAATGAACAGAACCAAAACCGAACAATTTCGCACCATGAAATGAAGCTGTCGGAAACCATCTTTGGTTGGTGTTTCAGGGGAATCCTCATGCTACGGTTTCTTAGGTGGTGCGAAACGGATTTCGTCCATCCACAGTATCAAACGACAAATGTAAGACAACATCTAACAACAGAAGGTTGTGGGATCCGCAACAATCGGCGGGACAAAATGGTCCGGTATCTTTGGGGACTGGATCGTTTCGTCTCAAAACTGGCACATCTACAACATGTATGCAGACGAGTACCATACAGTATCCTTCTCGACCCTTGCGTCCAAATCTATACATTATACGTGCATATATATATATATATATGTATATATATATATATGTAAAATGTATGAATTTTGCTCTGACAGTTCTATAGGCATACTACACACACCTTTGCAATCATGTGCACATATGCTGCCTGATTTGCTTCACAAAAAGGTCACCTGTGAGAATCCGCCCACACCCGAGGCCCACAGCCGAAACTGTCTTGAGACTTTGCCATGCCAACCACTGCCTGTTGGACAGCACTTGGGAGTTTTGGACATGGGACAAAAAAGTAGTTGAGGGTGCTGGTGGGTTTTAACACTCTCGCCTCACTTGTCAGGACCCAGAAATCAAAGGCCAACCTTTTGGGGCCAAACATGGACCAACGGGAAACTAGAAGGCCGGCTTTGGGCAAGTGAGCAAAAGTTGCGAGGACGAAGCTTCACCGAATGTCCGGCGTAGGTGTCCTTGTAGAAAAAATGGTGCGTTTGAATGTTAAATGGTGCATAAAGCCCATTCAAACCCAGTGGAACCCATCTATTTCTATCAAACTGGACACCTATGAATCGTGGCTGTTGAATAGCAGAGTTTCCTCAATTTCTCTTTTGGATCGTTTCAATGGACACCACCTGCAAACTAATCAACTTTATTATGGACCCTCAAGGGGGGCTATAGGGGGGATAGTATCCCTCATTGACCCCTTAGAAAGGCCTTAATGCTGTTGACCCCTCTGCCAAACGTTGTCCACTTCTTGTGGCTTCCATTCGGAAAACCCAACTTGATTTCCACCAAAAAGGTTCAGGTCTAGAGATCCGTTGCCCAAGAGCAGTCAAGTTCCGCTTGGCTTGAGAGAGCCCCCCCCCCGGCAGCCTGCCCCAGGGGCCCCCCCACTTTTGGCCCGGGCACATAGCGCTGGCCCAGCCGTGGCCCCTGCTGCTCGATCCATTGCAGCAGGCTCCGGCGCTCGCGGATCCGGGGGTCCGAAGGCGCCTCCGCCACTGTGAGGCCTGCGAGTGTGTGGACGCATGGGGCCTGGGGGGTGGAGGAGGGGGGGGGGGAGGGGGCCCAAATAAGCCCTCAAGGCTTTTAGAAGACATCATGGTCATTTTGGATCTTTCCCGCTTTGGAGTTCCTTTTGGCAGAAGGTTCGCGACGTGGCGAGTCGGAAAGCCGAGCGAGGTGGTGTTTACCGCGATTTAGCCTGGTGGAAGACAACATATGTGAACCCATGGCCATTTTGGATTTGGGGGCTGATTTCCCACAACAAAGCTTTAACTAACGGTGAATTATCCGATAAACTAGGGGTTCATGCCAGGGGTTCATGCCAGGGTTTCACATATGGACATCTACATTCAGCTTCGTTTTCTCACTAAAGTACTGGGCAAACCATCCATGGCTCAACACCTGGAGGTGAAAAAAGGCGAAGGGTTACTGGGCCCTGCAGCGGAGAGGTTGGAATAAGGGTACCTTTTTTCTGTAGTCGATGTGAGCAAGGGAACCCTCCAACCAAAAAAGTTGGTCAAAGGGTTACCTGCTACCGTGAGCACTGGAAAACTCTTGACATCAGCCGCAAAGACTTCAGCGAGAGCGCGCGCGCGAGCTGGCAGCCTTGGGAACGCGCGAGTTTTTTCCTGAAAACAAATCCTGGCACAGGATCAGTCAATCAAGATATGGAGCTACCTAGATGGCCAAGTGGCTGCTTCTTTCAGTCACTGCTGCTGGTTTTGGGGTAAAGTTCATGGAACAAAGCAGCAGCTGGCGATCCAGGTATGAATTTTAGTTAGGGACCCTTTGGCGGACATCATTTCGGGGGATTTATGACCACCAATCACTTGTCAGGGGCCAACCATTGAAATTCATTGCCATAGAAGTGATTTCCAAAATAGGGGGACTCCCAAATGGTGGATATACTTTTGGATTCCATTTCAACAGTGGTACCCCGAATTCAGACACACCCCAAAAGGAAACATGTGTCTGCAAAAAGCCAAGCGAATCACGCCCCCTCAGCCGAACGGAGGCTATGCTCGAAATGTCACCAGTCCAAGGGAATTTCCAAATTCCCCCTGAGAGCGCCCCAAGTCACTACCGACCCAGCGTAGACAAATGCCGCAAACGCCTCGTTTGTGTGCTGGATCTGCTGAACTCCGAGCAACTGCTCTTGCACCTCGCTGCTGTCGCCGCCCTTGCCCGGATCACCCCAGGTCACCACAGAGCCATCGTCTAGCATGGCAGCAAAAGCGCAGTGACTTGCTTGGATGTGCTGAATCCCCAGCAACTGCTCGCGCACGTGGCTGCTGTCACCGCCAAAGTGAGGATGGCCCCAAGTCACCACAGAGCCTTCGTCCTGGATGGCAGCAAAAGCACTCGCACTTGCTTGGATCTTCCGAACCCGCACCAACTGCTCTCGCACCTGGCTGCTGTTGCCGCCATGGTTTCGACTGCCCCAAGTCACCACAGAACCGTTTTCCCGAATGGCAGCAAACGCATATCGTGTTGCTTGGATTTGCTGGACGTGCACTAGCTGCTCTCGTACCTGACTGCTGTCGCCACCGCAATCAGGAATGCCCCAGGTCACCACAGAGCCGTCGGCCAGGATTGCAGCAAAGGCGAAATCAGTTGCTTGGATCTGCTGGACGCGCATCAGCTGCTCTTGCACCTGGCTGCTGTCTCCGCCATGGTCACGACTGCCCCAAGTTACCACTGAGCCGTCGTCCAGGATGGCAGCAAATGCAGCCTTGGTTGCATTGATGTGCCGGACTTGCGCCAACTGCTCCCGCACCTGGCTGCTGTCACCGCCATAGTCCGGATCGCCCCAAGTCACTACGGAGCCATTCTGCAGAAGAGCAGCAAAAGCACTTGTACTTGCTTGAATCTGCTGGACTCGTACCAACCGCTCTTGCACCTGGCTGCTCTCACCGCCATAGTCACCAGAACCCCAAGTCACCACAGAGCCATCGTCCAGAATGGCAGCAAAAGCCAACGCAGTGGCTTGGATCTGCTGGACATGGACCAGCTGCTCTCGCACATGGCTGCTGTCACCGCCATAGGAAGATGCGCCCCAAGTGACCACAGAGCCGTCGTTCAGGATGGCAGCAAACGCACATCTGGTTGCTTGGATTTGTTGGGCGTGCGCCAGCTGCTCCCGCACCAGGCTGCTGTCACCACCAAAGCCAGGCTTGCCCCAAGCCACCACCTCGCCCCCCGTGACATGAAGGGCAACTGCCCAACATGTGGAAGCTAGATTGACCGGCTGCACGATGGCATGAATGAAGTCCCCATCTTTCATGCCCACTTCACTCACCGTAGACCCCGGGTGTAGTTGCTGGCCTTGAAAGGCAAGCCTCAGAAAGCAGCGCTGCAGCTTTCGTTGTGCCTCCATCTTAAGCTCACCAACATTTGACTCCGGCGACAGCGCAACAGAGCAGCTCCTGCCACTTGGCAGGCACACATTCACATGCATGCGGCCAAATGCGAAGAAATGCGCCCGAGCTACCCCGCGGCAGAACGCGGCGAACGCTAAGCACAGCTCGAGGCAAGGCGTTGTGTTGCAGGTTTGCCCAGAGAAAAAAGAAAAAGAAAAAGAAGAAAAAAACAAGGCCCCGGCAAAACAGAAGTTCAGCACCAAAAGCCATCCCGCCCCCCACCCCCCCAGGCTTGGCAACCTGTCCTTGGGGTGTTGGGGTCCAAGGGCCTGAGAAAAGCACCACGATCGAGGTACTGGACAACCCATCCACCACCCGAGCGATCCATCCACCAGCCACTCGAGTGACAAACGTCCCGGAGCCCAATCTGTTGGGCTGGCTTGAAGTAAAACCAAGAGGAACACAAAAGCCCAAAGTACTCCCGATCTTGCTGGCATGTGCGTTGACAATTTAAAAGTGGACAGTCGTTTGGGTTGTCACTCCCCCTCATAACCAGGTGAGTCCGATTGTGAGTGGGTTATAACCTGGGTTACCAACAGCTTACTCGTCACTGGACTACATCCCGAAAAACCACGAGTCATTCTTAGGATCGGAATCTGCTTTTGGGTGACCACCTTGGGTTCCTCCCGCCAATTTGCAAGGAAGTGTCCCGTTTTCTAACCCAGGGCGGCCGCTTGGGCACCTAATACCCAGCAGACTAAGTGGTTTGGAGGTTCAAATCCCAATCCAAACCAATCCAAACCATCAAATCGGGGTGACCTGAACTTACGGGACCTTTCTTTTGGACCCGTGTTCATCCAACCTTCCCCAATGACTTTCTGGTTCCAGCACGCAGTGGAGGAAACCCACAAAAAACGAACAACCGGTGCATCCCCAAGGCTGCTCCAAGACTACTGTTGAGCAAAACGCCTCCCAAACCCAGCCCGGGGACACCTGTAGCAGAAGACATCAAGGCTTTTTGGGGCAGGGATCTCACTTCAGATGGAGTGGATCGGAAACTACCTCAACCCTCAAACTACCTTTGAAAATGGGCTATTGCCCTAAAATTATGAGGAGAATTCCCAGTCATTCCGAGTGAGCCCGAAATGAAACCAGGATTTTGTAGAAAGTCAATCAGCATGGGTCTGTGACCCAAATGCAATTCGGAGATTTGGTTGAGTCACCCCATGAATTTCATGGGGGCGTTTGAGGGTCCGGGTGCCTTTGTCACATTTGTTATACTTGCCCGCCAAAAACAACCTCGAGAATTCCTCAGCCAGTCCACTTTCCAAGCATTTGGCAAGAAACGTTGCGAACTTTGCAGCCCCCTGCCATTGATCAACACTCAGCAAAAAGCAAACTTACAAACCGAAACAGCAACTTGACGTCTAAAAAAACACTTATGCAAAACACAGAAGCCACCAAGACTAAGAACCAATGCGTAGGTAGGGCGCCTGAGCACAGCAAGTCCAGGTCGTCTTTGTCGAGCAAAATGTCCCCAGTGTACCAGTTGATGGGCTGCGTCAGTTTGGTCACCAGGCCAGTCGACAAGACCTCGATGTTTTCAGGCACGGCAGGAAAAAGGGGGGCGCCCTTGGTGCTTAACCTGGACCTCACATAAACTATACCCTTGAAAGTTGGAATTCGCCATAACTTTAGGGTAATTATACCTGTTTATTGGGTAGTTGGTGAAACCCCTCCAACAAACAGAAAGCACAGGCCGAAAGTTTGGCCGTCCTCCCTGGCCCTTAATTAAAAAGCGGGCTGTCTGTCTGGATTGACTGGGACCTGGCAACCACAAAAACAATGTTCACCGAAAAACTGATACATTCAGATTCTGCTTCATGTACACAAACTATCACAAAGAAATAAAATGTTGCCGAGGAGACCCCGGAATATTCCACCATGGCCAAACCTTCCGCGCCGGTGATCCATTTGCCATCCATTGTTCGGAAAAATAGATGTGCGATCCGTCCCCATCCGTCCCCCCAAGCCAGCCAGTGGTTCCCCTTAACCATGCAAGCGGAAACCTCCGCCTTAATTACCCCAGTAAGTATCCCTGGACAAATGCTAAGCACTCCAAGAGGAAACCCTAGAATGACCTATAGAAAAACACGGTTGTCCAGGGTAGCTGCCCCCTTTCAATTAGCAAAGCGTTGACATGATACACCCTAAAATTAGTATTTCGGAGAAATGTGGACACCCCATATTAATGAGGGTTCATTACTCCTTTCATTTTCCAGCTACTTTTGCCAAATTATGGGCTACTAGTGGGTAAAGTGGCTGGGAAATAACGTAGCTACCCCCTACTCAAAATACCCGCTTTTTTCAGTGTATTTTTTGGAAAACCGATCGGTTTTCCATGGCAAATACCTCCCTTTCAGTAGAGGGCCGACATGACACCCTCAAAGAAGGCCGGGTATTTGCAGTAGGGGGTACTTGGGATGCCAGGTTGCAAAAACGGCGAGACCCTCAGCCCATGTTCGGCTGCCCGTTAAAAGAGGCACGCGTCATGGTCAAAACCCGCCTGGGGGGCGCCGACCAGTGCCCAGCTGCCCGTGGCCTGTGCGAAGAAATACGCCACTTGGGTTATAACCCACACGTCGGACTGTGGATGGTTGCGAAATCCGCTTCTCGCACCACCTGAAAAAATGTTGAAACAATTGTTTGTTGGTATGTGCAGGGGAATCATCATTCCAGGCTTCTTAGTGATGCAGGATTTCGTCCATCCACAGTATGATATGAGTGGGGTATAACCTATAGGTAACAACTTACTAACTTGGCGAATCCAACACCCACGTACTGAACAAAACATGTGAAGTGCCCTGGAAAGATGTGAGAACAGTGTATCCAGTAGTGGTAGATGTCGACAAATATACTCTTAAGCAAATGGAAGTAAATAGAAAGGGCTGGACAAGATGCATACAATTCTATACCCATGCCCTGTTCTAACACAACTGAGGTTGATTAATATGGGGTCAACATGTACTTAACCAAATGCAAGGTAAACAGGGCTGCGGGAAATGACGGGAAGGGACACTCAAAGACACACCCTCCATTGTTGAGGGGGAGATGCCCTTGCATCACAGCAGTTTTAACATTCAGTGGGTTAAATATGGAACCCCTCATATAAAATAATCAAATGTCTTTCTGGAACTGGGAACGCCCAAGCAACATATCTAGGTCCTCCAGCAAAGAAAGGTTAGAATAAGGGTACCCTTTTTCTGTAGTTGCTTTTTTGGTAGGGGAACCCTCCCCCAAAACAAGAAACGGTAAAGGGGCACCGATCGCTGGGGGACCTAACACTTCTAGAAATCCTTCGTGTTCCCTAGAAATTCCTTGGGATTTTAGTGTTCCTATAGATTTTCTTAGGGTTTCCCCTAGATATACTTCACCAACTGGTGGCCCCTCCGGCGACCCGCAGCCCGCACCGTGGCCTTTGCCAGCGCCCGGAACAAGTCCACCGCATGGGGGGCGTCAGGGCCGCAGGCGTCCAACTCTTCGTTTGGAGCGTCCTGGCGCTGGCTGGGGATACTTCCATTTGGTTAAGGCCAAATAAGAAAAATACAAAGATTTCCAGTAGTGATGAATTCCTTTTGAAACCAACAAGGTAAAATAACAAATTTTCTTAAGCAAATGAAAGGATATTGCCTGGCTGTGGACCCTCGAACTAGCAAAGTGACTCATCGCGCCGGGAATTTGGTGGCAGCATCTCTTCTTTTTTAAATAATGGGTGGTTTGTGGGTCTAGCGGTGGGTCTACCAGTGTTGAACAAACTTCAAACCTGCCCAACAAAAAAAACTTGGGCCTGGAAAAGCGTGCTTCATTCAACCCAGGGGTGGGTCTTTCGGTGGCGGTCGCAAGCCTTAGGCTTGTGAATAAATTACCCACCGACTCTCTCGGCTCCTCATTTCCGAGGTGCCCCATCTGGAGCAAGAGCTCCTCAGATCTTGCGCGAGGCACGCTGATTCAATGACAAAACACGCAAAACGAAACCCCGAATCACCCGAATTCAACTCACTTTTTTCCACCCTGAACCCTCAAACCTTTTCAAGAAGCAGTAATTCACCATGATGTTGAGCGGCCTCTTTTCTTGAGGGTAGTCTTTCGGGTCCAGGTACCCTCGCTTTTAGGGATTTCATCTTAACTCCGGACCAAAGAAGGAAATATATATATATATATATGTACATATATACATGTGTATGTATTTCTATGTATTTATTGATTTATTTATCTATAATACTTATCCATGTACAAATAGGTATACACACACACATATATATATATATATACACGTATACACCCCAAAAAGAGAACAAGTGTTGCCGCGGCTCTGCCATGTCCCGGACGTGGATGGGCTGAAACCGCTCTTCGCCACTGCCCGCGAGCAGAAACAAAGGGCTCCGACGCAACACCCAGGCCTCAGCTCAAGCTGAAGCTGCGTGGGACCTTTAAACTACCCTCTACACCCTATACCCACTTTTTCCAGGGTGTGATGTCGACCCTCTACAAAAAAAGGAGGTAATTTACCATGGAAAACCGATCGTCCCAAAAATGCCCTGAAAAAAGTGGGTATTGGGTGTAGGGGGTACCCTTTGTTGTGTTTTCTGGGAAGAAGTCCAGTGGATTCTCAAGCCAAACCCAACAGAAGTCAAACCCAAGCCACCCCAGGCCTGGGAAGTTTTTGCCTTCGTATCGACCGCCAAAAGCAGAGATGCCAGCGGTGGTTTCAGAAAAATCCCTTCAAAACCCAACGACCTGGACCCTACGAAGTTTCCCGTTTGTTTTAAGCCAAGAACCAATTGGACTGGGTAGTTATTTTTTGGATTTGAGGCTACTCCCTCACTTTTCATGAAGCTTGCAGTGGAAAAAAACCTTCTATCATCACAATCTCCAACATAGAATTCGAGTGGTGTTTGGCGGGGGAGGTTCCCTTCAAAACCAACTACTCCCTAGTTGAACCTGGGTTGCCCTGTCGAACCCCATTTGTAGGATCGGAATCTTCTTTAGATCATGTTGCGTTGGGGAGCGTAAGGCTGGCTGAGCAATTTTGGACAGTACCCTTTTGCATGGGGGAGAATTCTTGGACCCCGGCCCGTGCTTCAGCAAGGATCCCGCACTTTTTGCGAATACGAACAATTATATGCCTGGACCTTCAAACGAGCACAAATTTGTGGCAAATCTTCTTTCAAACTGTTTTTGCTCATACTAGCAGTTGTTGCTTAACTTATTCGAGCACTTTTTCAGGAAACAGATGCAATTCGAGCAGAAATCTACTTCCATGGGATTTTAAGGAGTGCGTGTGAGTTGTGCTGCCGGGGCGCTGGGCCAGGAAATTGCTCAAGCGGTGCTGTTCGGGCAACAAACGCGCTTAGAGTGGAAGCCTACTAAACCTGCACATGTTTGGCGTGCTTTTCGGCATTTTGGGGGAGCTTGCCACCCGCAACCTCGAGCGCAATTTCCCGCTTCTAAATTTGTTGTCCCGCAGCCAAAGCACGCAAAGATATCCAGGTGCTCGAAAATGAAGATGCGCTGTCCACTGTGTGACATATTGAGGCACGCTTGATGGGTTTGCGTGAGGTTTGGCACCTCCCACATGCAATGATGCGCAAGCAAAACGCTCGCTCGAGCTCTTATTTGGCCTCGAGCGTACTTTGCCTAAACAAGCGCTTTTGGGAGAAACCGGCACTTTTTGCCTCGAGCGGAAACTTGTGCGCGTTTGGGGGTCCAGGTGCGGGTAAGTGCGGGTTTGTTTCGTAGGGGGACACGCGCGCTCTTTAGAAAAGCACTAGTTGCATCTTTGGGAGGACCAGCGCCCAGAAGAAATCGATGCCAAGGTGCTGCGTTGTTCATCAAGACGGACTCCTGATGTTGAACCCAGGGCGGTCAAAAACTGAGAAAACATCTCATCCCCTTTTGGTGTTACCTTTTGGCTGAAACCATTGTTCATGGGTATTTACCGGGGAACCATAAAGAGTCATGAGACATCAGATGGTGCGAACTGAGTTTCGCCACCATCAGTATATGTTCCGGCCGGCCGGCGCCGCATTTTGTGCCGGACAAAACTGGGCCCCCTCAGATCCCCCGCTGGTTAAGTGGAAACTACCACTAAACACTAGGTGAAAAAGCTACGGAACCGGATGGCTGGGAGCCAGCAAGAAAAGCGGGTCCTCTGCAGAGTCCCCGAAGATGCCGCAGGGCCTTGCGATGCCAAAACTCAGCCCCGAGCTGCGCCTCAGCTGCCCGGTGTTCGGAGCCGGGACCCCAAGAAACTGCCTTCAAAGGAATTGATCCCACCTGGATCCCCAGTAGCCACAATTTTCCAGCCACTTTTGCCAACTTATGGGCTACTAGCGGTAAAGGGGCTGGAAAAAAGTAGCTACTGGGGGTTCCAGGCAGAAGTTTAGTTGGCAACAACCTCCCAACTCTTATGGGTAGTTTGAGGGTTCAGGTGGAAATCTTGAGGGTAGTTTGAGGGTTCAGGTGGAAATAACGGGTTTACCTTTTGGGACCTTGACCAAAAATGGCGGCCAAATTTTGCTTCGCCAGCAGAGGTGCAGGGCGCTGCAGGCTTTGGCCTTCCCCGCGATGTAGCGGTAGGGCGACTGCCTTGGCTTCGAATCGATCGCAGGGTTGGGGACACTCCGCGGATTCACGAAATCCATTTCGCACCACTTGGAAACCGTGAGAAACCAGTATGTCTTGGTATTTACAGGCGAGTCATCATTCCTAGGCTTCTTAGGTGGTGCGAAATGGATTTGGTCCATCAGTAGGTACCCCCTTCACCCAATACCGTTCGTAACAAAAACATTTGGTGAATAACAAACACTACTGTGGATGGACGAAATCCACTTCTCTCACCTCCTAAGAAACCGTGGAAGAAATCAGTGCTTCTTGGCATTTACTCATCATTCCAGGGTGTCTTAGGTAGTGCAGGATTCTGTCCATCCACAGTAGGTGACCTTGTGGACAAGTACCCCCTACACCCAATACCCGGCCTGTTTTCAGGGTATGATGTCGGCCCTCTACTATTTGTTTGGCACCATGGAAACCAAGGTTGTTCAAAAAATACCCCTAGAAAAGTTGGTATCTGGAGTAGGGCGTAGATGCCCTTGGTAAATTGAATAAAACCCATCTATACCAGCGCCATCTATTGTTAACCAAACTAGCCCAAAAGGGCCACCTGTGGTTGAACGATGAAGTTCTTTCGGGTGCAATATCGAACGCAGCCATCTGTCTTTTTGTTTTAAACACCATTCCGGGTTGAACAACGGTGACAAAATGAGGATGGGCCAGCCATTTGACATGCTCCCAGACCTCTTTAGCCACATGGAGTCGCAAACTCAAGGAACCGGATTCGGTTTTTGGCTTCCTTTCAGCCGAAGTACCGAGCCTCACCAAAATGGACATGCCCATTCTGAGGGGGTCAACATGGCACCATTTCTAGAGGAACCCCTCTTTTTGGGGGACCCATCGGCAGGGGTTGTCAGAGTTACTTTTGGGACGGTTTGACATGGGTTGCAGTCGAGCCATTTTCAAAATCGGAATGTCTTAACCGCTGTTCGGGGTTCCATGATTTTAGCAACTGGCGATCCAGGCAGTTTTTGGAGGCAAAAAAGGAACGAAGCTTGTTACCCTGCCACCAATTAGCAGCCGGAACCTGGACCCGGTCGCTTTCAAAGGAAAATGGGCCAAACCGGGACGTCAGGTTCCGGCTGTTAACTGGTGGGAGGGTATTTGCCACTAGCTCTGGAATTCCCAAAAAGTGACTCAAGTCTATGAACTTAGGGGGTGAGGAAGGGCGCACGCAGCACATAAAGGGACACCCAAAGGCTTGTTTGGAGAAGCCCAAATGTGCAATGGTCAAAGCTCCTCCTGAGGGTCATGGTGATGGTTGTCGAAACTCAAGGAATCGGTCTTGTGACCATGGCACATGTGCCTTAAAACAAACGACAGTCAAACATGGGATTCGGTCTTGCCTTTGATTTGCCCCTGAAACAACGCCCTACTAAAAAACCAACGCCCTACTAAAACACCCACTTCGCTTAGAGTTGTAAGAAATGCCAGTTTGTTAAAAAGGGGTGCCCCTAGTCTTGGTGGGGGTTGAGACCACTGTTGGAGGGGCTCCCACCCCCAAATTGGGTCAAATTTAACATATCTGCACATTGTACAATCTGTTCACCTGAAACAAAGGGATTCTCGGGTCTGGAGTCTTTACCATGGTGACTCGTCTTCCCCCGAAAATGAGCTCGCAATATTATATGCTTTGGCTCTGGGGCAGAAACCCACCCGAGGCTCCCCTTTTTGAGACGCCCGTTAGGTTTGACTGACGCCGCGACCGTTGAAGCTCCCAAACTCGTGGTTTTAGATTCACGCAGCAATAGGCGGCTACATGCTATGCACTCCTGCAAAGGCACCACCATGCCATAGCTAAACATATGCAACAATGGTAGGCGGCGGCAGCTGTTTCTGGCTGGGACTGCCCCTTACCAACCTTCATCTACCCGGGTTTTGATTGTGGCTCATATGATGGCAAGTATCTCACAAGGAGTCAAGATGACTCTGAACCCGGCTGCTGTCACCGCCAGCGGTAGGAACACCCCAGGTCACCACAGAGCCGTCGTCCAGAATGGCGACAAAAGCTGCATCATTTGCTTGGATCTGCTGGACTCGCCTCAGCTGCTCTTGCACCACACTACCATCCCCGCCACCGGCAAAAAAGCCCCAAGTCACCACAGAGCCGTCATCTAGCATGGCAGCAAAGGTTGCAGAAGTTGCTTGGATCTCCTGCACTTGCACCAACTGCTCTCGCACTCGGCTGCTGTCACCGCCACACCTAGGATCGCCCCATGTCACCACAGAGCCGTCGTCCAGGATGGCGGCGAAAGCTCTCTGAGTTGCTTGGATCTGCTGGACGCGCACCAACTGATCTCGAACCTGGCTGCTGTCACCGCCAAGGTCAGAATCGCCCCAAGTCACCACGGAGCCGTCGTCCAGGATGGCAGCAAAAGCTGCAGAGGTTGCTTGGATCTGCTGGACTTGCCCCAACTGCTCTTGCGCCTGGCTGCTGTCACCGCCAGAGGCAAAATACCCCCAAGTCACCACAGAGCCATCGTCCAGAATGGCGGCAAAAGCGGTAGAAGTTGCTTGGATCTGCTGCACTCGCACCAACTGCTCTCGCACTTGGCTGCTGTCACCGCCAGATATTGGATCGCCCCAGGTCACAACTGAACCGCCATCCAGGACGGCAGCAAAAGCAAAGTTAGTGGCTTGGATCTGCTGCACTCGCACCAACTGCTCTCGCACTTGGCTGCTGTCACCGCCACACCTAGGATTGCCCCAAGTCACCGCAGAGCCGTCCGCCAGGATGGCAGCAAAAGCACTCTCGGTTGCTTGGACCTGCCGGACCTGCACTAGCTGCTCTTGCACCTGCCGGGTGTCACCGCCAAAGGCTGTGTTTCCAAAAGTCACCACAGATCCGTCGTCCAGGATGGCAGCAAAAGCTTTCGCATTTCCCTGGATGTGCTGCACACGCACCAGCTGCGTTTGCACCTGACTGGCGTCCCCGCCGCTTCCAGGACTGCCCCATGCAAGCGCTCGGCCGCCCGGAACATACAGTGCAAAAGCAAGCCCTGTGGAAGCCAGCCTCACGTGCGGCACGATGGCATCAAGGTGATCTCCGTCTCGCACGCCCACCTCACTCAGCCTAGACGACAGGTCGAGCTGCCGCCCTCTGAAGGCAAACCTCAGGAAGCGGCGCTTGAACTGCTGTTGCGCTTCAGCCTTCACTTCAGAAATGCTGGACTCCGGCGACAGCGACACGGAGCAGTGCTTCCCACTCGGCAAGTACACATGAACTTGCATGGGGTGGTTTCCCACCCTACCGTTCACAGGTGAAGTGGGCCGGCCCTGGAGGCAGGGAGACACCCCATCAGGTAAAAAGGCACGGAAGAAAGATGTGTCTTGCTAATGACCTGCAGGTTTTACTGAATGAATCCAAAACCTGACATACGACTTGAATCCCCACGTGAAGGGCCCACATCACGCCTTTTTGCTCGTGGCAAAATCAAGTGAGCTCGTCATGAAAAAAAACACATCTTAAAGGAGTTCGTAGCGCGTCCACAGGGCGCCTTCTTTCCTGCCAAGATCAGCACAAGCGGATGGCGATTGTCTATGACGCCCTTGTCCATACTGATGGAAAGGCATGCACTTTCCCGACTTTTGCTTCAAGCTAAAGTTCCAAGCAAATCAAGTGAGGCAGTGCCACAGTGAAAACAAATGGGCTATACCCATAATGTGGCGATACTAGCTCAATTCCCCACTCTCGACCCGATAGAAAAAGAAATCCCTGCCAACTGAAAAAGTCAGGGGACGAGCGTCACTTTGAAGTTTCCCTGCGACTCGCTGGGCTGTGGTTTTGTTTAGGCTACTGGGTTTTTAGAAAAAAATACCGAGAAAAAAAAAGAAAAGAACAAAACAAACAGAGAAAACAACAAAACGGGTATTTGGTGTAGGGGGCGCACCTGCACCACCTGCCCCTTGCAGAGCAACGCCAACACGGGCTGCCCTACTTGGAAGCAAACCCATTGGCTGAGACGAATGTGAAGACTCTTGTCTATAGGCGGTGCTGGCCGTGATTTTTTTCGGGATAGATTAATATCGGCGATGAAATTCCATAAGCCAGCCACTGAGCAGGTGACTCATCTCTCCAGTGGATTTTCTTCCAACCAATCACGCGAGTTTGGGATGGGTGGGCAACTCGGAAAATTCCTAACCTGAGAAACGTTTCCATCCGCGAGCTTGGTCACAGCAAGGACCAAATCCATCAGTTGCTAGGTCCAAAGATTAATGTGGATGGGTTGCAAAATCCACAACTCTCGCAACACCAAAGGAATGTTGATTGGTACTCATCATTGGGGAATCTAATCAGAAACCAGTAGGTGTCTGAACGGCGCAAGATTCGCGGATTTCGCAACCACCAATCCACAGGGCTTGATGCTCAGCTGGTGGAGATCGATTGATCCAGGGTAAGGCCATATCGATCACACTGAGCTACCCCAAGCTTTCCTACACCGAGCTTTCTTATACCTTCCTGCAGTTTGTAGGTGGTCTTTCCGACCCTCGGTAGCAACAAACTGTGCTTCTGCCCCCTGCTAAAAATACAAAGGGCCAGCAACAATAGCAGAGAACACCTACACACATATCCAACAGTGGTGATTGATAAATGCATTTGGCTCATGCTGTGGATGGACGAAATCCCGCACCATCTGATAAACCCCGAAATGTTGAGGTTTCAACCATGGTTTCCAACTCTCACTTTTTGCGTGGATTGGCCCAAACAAGTCCAAACTTTTCATTTGCCACTACAATGGTCCAAACCCAAAAAGTGTGTAAAGTCCGAAACGGACCTCAGAAGAAAGGTGCGCAGTGGATTTCGCAACCATCCGCATCCTCGTTCAAAATGAGGAGGCCCACTGCCGAGCCCTCCAAATCTCATGCCGGGCGTCTCTGTGGCATGAGTGTGGCTGGTGAAAACCACCCGCTGCACCCCGGCCTTCTTCGCAGCTGCGAACCTCGGATCGCAGATGCCTTCCCCGTCAAACATCAACCCTCTTGAGGGAAACTCACTTAAGAATGGTCCAAATGGTGATGTTCAAAACTACACGTCTCTTTCTTCGGACTGCACGTGGCTAAGGAGCACGGACTCATGTTCAAAACCACCAGAGAAGACATCTAGGGAAACCTGTCTTTGGGGCTAGCTTCAAGGGCGGCACATCCCCGCCCACGTACCGATCGCCCCCCCCAAAAAAGGGCGCAGGGCGCAAGCTGGCGCAGCGCGCCGCCGCGCGGTCGAAGGTGTCGCCGTCCTTCTCGAAGCGTATCCAGTAGGTGCACCAAAGCACCGAGCCTGGCTCGTGGGGACGCGGTGCTCTAGATGCCCCAGCCAAAAGTGCTTGACTGGGGTTGCAGGTTAAAAGAGGAAACATCATAGACAAAGGGGAGCATCCAGAAAAAATGGGTATCCAAAAGATTAGTTGTGACAGGAAATAACCTGCAACAAGTTTGGACATATCCAATAACCTGGCCAAGGGGGGTATCCAGAATGCCAAAGTCCAATAACCGTAGAGGACTATAAAGACTTGTTGTGCTGTTCCTTGAAAGAACACCAAAAAGAAGCTTGCCTTTTTCTCACTTGCTGAGTGGATGGCCACAAAACAATCCAAACTTTAAATTTACCACTAATATGGTCTTCCCAAAAAGTTTAAAGTTCATGAACTCAGGAAGTGAGTTTCTGCAGCATGCAGGCGAGTTGGGCCACTCGCGTTCCAGCTTCCTTGATCCCAGGTTGAAAAGACCCCTCCTACCAGGGGTGCAGAAGTGGTCTGAATCACATGCGGCTTTGTTCTGCTGGAAGTCTCACAAGAAAACACAAAGCAAAGCCGCAGGCTTGGCTTTTCTTGCTTTGGGGTTGTGAAAAGGGGGCGCTGGGGAAGGCCAAAGGAAAGTCACTCTTTGGGCCCCCGTAACTTGACACAACATCCAGCCTCCCCAACTTTGTTTTTTTTGGGATGTCTTACAAGAAGCCTTTTCTGTGCAGAAGTCACGGAAAAGCCATGAGTACTTCAGGCCTCAGGGGCCTACCCACCTTGCCCAGGCTGACTGCTCAACTGCGGCCTGGGAGCAGCCCTTGAGCGCGTCTGTCACCTCCTCCTTCGCACGGGAAGCCCGGTGTCTTGGAGCGAGTCAACAGCGGAGGTGGCTTGAAACCACATGCCCAGATGCAGCCACAAACCACTGCAAGATGAGAAGCTGGAAGAAGCTGCAAGCTCTTCACATCTTGGCGGGAAATTTAACCCCTACGAGTTGGAAAAGGGCTGAAACACTGGACCCTGCGCTCGTTAAGGTCTCTTGCACGGCTTGCGCCTTGAATGCTGAAAGCAGATAAACTGCGTTGGAAGGGCGCTTTGTTAAAGAACAACTCTCCTGGCAGCTTAACCACACATGCCCACGTCGCCCGCCCAAAGCCGAAGGCCAAATTCATTTTACAACCACCCCCTCCCCCCCAACATAAAAACTCTCAATGCCCTCAGTGCTGACTTTTTCTGTGGAGGTTGGATCCTGTGAAAACGGGGGGCTTCCAAGCAAAAGTTGCCAAGCCTGGAAGCGCACAATCCGAGGCCTTGATGTTTCAAAGTTTAGCACGCAAAGAAGCACGTGGCACGTGAAGGAACCCCCTAGCCCAAACAAGGGTTTTAGATGGTTTTAGGCCCCAAGTGGAAAACCCGCGCCTACGTGGCATTTTTGGCCCGCGTTGGCTGCATCCAGGGCTTCCTTCTCGAATCGGCGTTGCGGAAGATGGGAGAGCCAGGATCATAGTGTTGAACCCATATTTTTAAACCCCTGTTGGCGTCCCTGATTTTTTGCAGAAGTGGCTCTTGACAACCGCCGCAAGATAGTGAGGTAAGGTTCAAACCAAGCTTGCAAGGAGCTCAGCCCAGATATCCCGTTGTAACAATGATTCAAAGCTTCTTACCCCAAACAACACGGGGTTGCGAAAGTGGTCGGATTCCAGTTGGACACCCCCAAAGAGGTTGCTGAACCCGGGGATCAACATTCGGAAGGGTCTTCTGGATTAATGGTGTGCTGGTTACCCCCTAACTGAGGTTGATTAATCTGGGTTATACATGGGTTTGTTCGGTGGTTAAAACAGGGGCAAACCCATAGGTGGCCCGGTAAGTGGAAAAACACCATCTAAACCAGTGCCATCTATTTTACCCAAACTCACCTAAAACGGATCCTTACATTATACACCTGAACATTGCCTTGTAAATGGTGGTTTCCTTGGTTTTGGTGTTGAAAAAGCAACATATTTCAAATGGTTGCAAAATGGAGATCTTTTAAGGAGCCCTGCCTAAAGAGGACACGTATGGGCAAACCCCTTTTACCCCTCAACTCAGATCCGCCCCTTGGGGCTTCCTCCCGAAAGCTCAGTGGGCGCTGCTCCACCCGCCGCAGCTCGGCGTCGCTGAAAGCGACGGAAGAGGAGAGTTGCTGTGGGCGGCTGGAGAGGTTCACCACCGTGTGGCCTGGATCCCCCCCGCATCTTCCTCGAAGAAACAAAAATGTGAGAATTTAGCCCTGGCTGATCGTTGGGATCCCCCCCACATCTTCCTCGAAAAACACAATGCGATAAGTTTGCCATATGTTCAGTATGTCCATCAACAATAAACAGATATACACATACATGCATACATATATATATATATATATGTAGAATGTGTGTATATATATATGTATATATGCATGCTATATACATAAAAATACATATATATATATATATTCCCTCTTTCTCTCTCTCTCTCTCTCTCTCGCTCTCTCTCCCCCTCTTTCTCTCACATTCAAGTACTGTCCCGCAAGACCGGCCATGTAAATTGGAGGGGAGGAAGTTGCAGTATGTCAGCATCCAGCATGAAACCCTCCATGTTTTTAGCGTGTGATGTCAAACCCCTGACGGGAAAAAAACACGTTTGCCATGAAACAATGTGTAGAGACTAAACAAGCTGGTTTCTAGTTGGGATAACTCAACCCTAACCCTCTGACCGTATTATGCCAGCAATTGTAAGGACTTCCAAATTCCGGGGTCTCCTCAGAAAATATGCGTTCTTGAAGCGAGGGGTACGGCAAAGCTCCTTTACATGAACTATTTTTAGCAGCACCCAGCACCTGCTGACTTTTGGTACACTAACATAGAGTCATCTCTACTAACATGGTTGTAGAGGTTTACATCGGGTGTCTTTTCTTTGAGGGTACCTTTTGTTGGGGTGGGATTGAAGGGAGACCAAAGGGAAATTTTGAAATAACCTATTCTATCCCCCCTAATTTGAGACAAGTTCATATATCCACATCCCTTGCTCCAGAAGTTCTCCGATCTGTAGAAGCATCGAAATACCCCCCCCTTTTCTTGGCACCGAAAGGCTCCCGAATGCTGGGGGCCTCGGACAAAGCCAGGTTGGTTTGCCCCCCTCGGACCAAGGAGAAAAAAAAGAAGAACCAACAACCCAACCCGACCGGCCCTGAACCACCTTCAGCCAAGAGGTGCCGCGCCTTGCTCCAGCAGGCGCTTCGCCAAGTACCGCCCCGAGTAGCTGAAGGCTCCAGTCACCGCAACCCGAGCCATGGCGGAGCGACGAAGCGACGAATCCCGGAGCGCAGGGATTTCTTGACAGGTCTGGACCTTAGGCCTGCGGGGGTGCTGACTGAGTGCTCCGATTTCGGGGGCCGACTCCGATTTCGGGGACGAATATTTTAAGGTAGCCGGCCGGGGTGACAAGCTGGGACAAAGCTTGACAAACAACCAAGATGGATCGAAAAAAATGGCTTCAAAGTATGGGCATCTTACCTCACAGTGGAAGGTTGGAATTTTCTTGTTACAACCACCCTCCGGATACGTACATATTCGCATATGGGTGGTGACTTCACGAATCTTCGCGCTCGTGGAGGGTTGATTCCCCCCGACTGTGCTCTGGATACCTTAAGGTGGGTATCATCTTAACCAACTTCTTGCTAAAAAAGAAGAAACTCTGGAAAACCTCTTGTTTCTCAACCAACAGCAAGTAAAACAGAGGGCATTTGGCAATACCAAGTAAAACAGAGGGTATTTGGAGTAGGGGGATGTTGTGCAGGGCATGCCCAAGGTGTGCTGAAGATTCGACGCTCGTGGGGCCGGGCCGCAAAGGCGCACGCATGGCTCCAACACTCACTTCCTTTCGACCCAGCGGATTGGCCCCACGAAAGGCACCAAACGACCGAGTGGATTGGCCCAAAAAAGGAACCAAACAGTTCAAGTGGCGCTGCAATGGTCCAATCCCCTCAAAAGTGACGAGAGAGCCCGTTTCGCCGTTGAGCAAGCGCTCCTCGCCGTTCAAGGGCAGAATTGAAGAATTGAGCCAACGAGTGTCTCAACCAAATGGCATGCATCGTGTGGGGTGCCTATGGCGAGTCGGGGCTTTTCTGCTTTCCTCATAAACTCACTTCCGATCGAGTGGACAAGCCCAAACAGAGCACCCAAACTGTTTGCTCGCCAACTAAAACTGAAATCAGAAGCAAACCCAAAAAATGTTAAGCCTAAGGCTCATGATCCCTGCAATGAAGAACACGGACCAATTCCTCAGGGGCCCTTGGCAGCCAACGCTTTTTCAGGGCCCACAAATCATTGAATTGGAGCCTCAATAAAGACCGAGCTCCGGAACTCAGGAAGAGAGTCTAGGTCCTCCAGTAGAGAGGTTAGAATAAGGGTGCCCTTTTTCCTGTAGTCGATTTTAGTCGGGGAACCCTCCCCTGAAAAAATGGTGAAAAACGGCACTACTGGGGGACCCAGGAGTCTTAAGAAAACAGCAGTCAAGCCGACCTCAGTCAGCGCTCGTTGCACGTCAATCAGCTTCCCTCAAAAAGGGTGCTTTGGAGCCCGGAAGTGTGGCTAAGGGCGGTTTCCCTATGTTTCCCCCTTTACTCTCTACAAAAGCCAGGAATTCAAATCCCCAAGCCACCAATCCAAACCACCAACGAGGGTTTCGTGAGTCAAAGAACACCTCGCGGATGCTTCGATCCAAAAATGGACGGGATCCATTACATTGCAACACAACTCGGACATCGGCATGGGTGTGTCTTGTTTGAGGGACTCAAAAAATTGGCATTCCTGTTGGTTCCCCATTACTACACAAAACAAGAAAAGCTTTCAAGAAAAGACAGACCCACATATTGCAAGCAAAACACGAAGCGGAACTTGCCATGGTTGTGTGGTTGAGTATTAGCTTGATTGCCGCAAAGCCATGAAGACACAAGAAACACAAGTAGACGGCCAAGCATCACTGTCTGCGAAGCGAGCATCACTGTCTGCGAAACGGATAGGTCCGGTAGACTTTTGCCCGGCTATCCGGACAAGGAAAAAGAGCACAACATCCCAAAAAAATGTCAAACCCCTGGTTGACTAATACCGCGTGCCCCCTTTCAGTGGGGATTGTATCATTAGGGCGGAGCTACCAATCTGAGGTCCACAAATCCTGCACCACCTAAGAAGCCGTATAACGAAACTCTGGTAAACCAACGAAGAATGGCTGCCCATGGTTTCCAAGTGTTCCCATAGGGTCCAAGTACCTTGTGAGGATGGCTTTTGGAAAGTACAAAAGGGTTTTTGTATTGGAAATACACCCACTGGGCATTGCCCTCATTTAGGCACATTTCCGGATAAAACCGTGCTATTTTGAACCAGGTTCATTTGCCAAGGGTGTAATTTCTGGATCTCGCCACCCTCCACGACCGCCGGCGAAATTGGGGCCCGTGCCCTCGGCGGGCTGCAGCGCCGCCTTCATCCGCCGCGCGGAGGCCTCCGCGAGCGAGGAAGAACCGCGGCCCAGGCCCAGCGTGCGAAATGGACCGCCAGGTGCGATCGTTGTTTTCGCCGCAAAAAACACCTCGATAAATCGGTAAATCGTAGGGGTCCCCTAGAACACCCAGAATGTTTTGCCGGAGTTTGAAGGTCCAGGCATGAGCTTTACCTCAAAAACCGATCGCAACAGTGACTGAAAAAAACTGGAAATGCGATTCATCCAAACTGCGAAAAGCAGCACGATCCTCGTGGCGCAGACCAGCCAGCTCGTTCTCCAAGTCAGCGTGGTCCCACGCTTGGTCGCGCATCGCCTCCTCGTACTTTCCCTCGATCACTCTCTGCTTGACCGCCCACCCAAGCACCAGCTTGTCCTCGCAGGCAATTGGCCAAGTCGCGCCACAGCCTCCGGCACGCGAGCCTGCTTAGCGATGACTTCGTCCAGCTCTTCAGTCTGGCAAAGTCAGAACATCAGGGCACGGACCGACGCAAGGGCATGCCTTCGCGCGCAACTTGCCCGCCATACCCTTCTTCTTGTTTTCAGGGTATGATGTGAACCCTTACTAAGAAAGGAAGTATTTATTCCGGAAAACCAGGCTTTCTCACAAATACCGGGGAGAAAAAAAACAGGAGGTCTCTGCCTAGATAGGCGGCAAGGGGTGTCTGTCCCTCCCGTTACAAGTTGTCACCTTCCACACGAGTTTTCGCCCGATGTCCTTTTCCCCTGAATCGATTCGAATCGCGAAGACCGAAGACCATACATGAGAAAAGGGGCGGCAAAAAGACCATGCGTAAAGAGCCCCAATTTTCTCAGCTCAAACCGAGCAACTGGGCTTTCTTAACAGCACCTGCTTAGGGGAACTGTTTGACTGTCCTTCAAGGGACAAGGCAAAAGCCCAATCACCCACCCCCTGGCAGAAAACCGGGAGTCCTTAAGTGATTGTTTTTTTGGGAGGTCGAGAGGTGGGAACCCAAAGGAAACGGGCGCCACCAAACAACTGGAAATGGGGTGAGCTGCTTCCGCCACTGCCCTTGGCATGTCCTTATGTTGATTTATTTTGAAGGTTCCTTGGATGGCGTGCAGTTGACAAGTAGTTAAACTAGCACCAGATATGAGTCGCCCTGTGTGTAGGGAAAACCCTACCTTAGGGACTTCCTATTTGTAAGCTCTTGTCTGTTTTTAGGATGCCCTCCTTTTTTTTTAAGGACTTGTTTCCATTTTCGGAGTTCCCCTATTTTAAGATACCCCCAACCAGCTCTTGGTTTTACTAAGATGGCAGGAAAGGTTTGCACAGTAAAGCCTTATGTCCCATGTTCCATAGCAAACACCTTCCATTTGCTTAAGCCCCCTAGCCAAAAAAAGGAAAACTATTTCCAGTAGTGATAAAGTCCCTTTAAAACCAACAGGCTGGACCAACAGGGGCAAACAACATGTGGGCATTCACAAAGCAAGTGGAAGAAACCTGGTGCCCTAAGGCTCCAATTCGATGATTCTTGGGGCCCTCAGGCCCCTCAAAAATTGCTTCGGGGTCTTCCCTGGAGGGCCCATAAAAGGGGCCATTGGAGGCTCCGGCCACGAGCCTTAGGGAGGTACCAAAAGACTTCTTTTCTATTGCCCAGAAGCCATCCTCATGAGGTGCCTAGGGACCCTCCTGGTACCTTTAAATCTGGAACCTCTTAAAGCAACTGGGGTGCGGATTTATTTTGGGAATTTGTTTCGTTTTGTTTTGGGATTTTTTTTCGGTTTTCGTCCGGGCCAGCAAAATGTCGTATTTTACTGCATTTTCTCGCGAAATTGACGCATTTTACACTAGCTCGTCAACATCCCCAGCATCGTTTTCAACATCCCCCGCATGTCCGGCCAACATCCCTAGCATCACCAACAAATCGTGGGTAACAAAATCCAAAAATGTAGCTGGCGGGTTGACGGGGTCAAAACAATGATGCTTCAAACAGGAGGGCATTTCAATCCCAGCAAAAAAATACAAAAAAACAATTAAGAAAAACAGAGCGGGGTAGTGATGATTCGAACAGGGGTGCAATTAAATCTCTGCAAAAAGTCTAAAAAGTAGCGGGGAGGTTGGAAGAATTGATGATTCAACTAGGGGTGCAATTAATTAAATCTCTGTAGAAAATCTAAAACGTAGCGGGGGGGTTGGGGGGGGGCGGCAGCCCCCCCATGATGTCGGAAGAAGTGGTGATTCAAGTAGGGGTGCAATGATTCAAGAAAGGGTGTGATAGAATTTAAAAGGCAGCGGGAGGGTTGGCGGGGGTGGCTTCCCCTATGATGTTCGAAGAAATGCATACATACAGACATACACGGACTACACAGATTACCTAAAATGTCGTATTTTGCAGCATTTTCTCGCGAAATTGGATGCTCGAAAAAGTGATGATTCAAACAGGGGTGCAATTCAATCTCTGCCGGGCCAGTAAAGTGTCGTATTTTACAGCATGTTCTCGCGAAATATACCCCGCATGTCCCACCAACATCCCTAGCATCACCCACAAATCGTGTGACGGGGTCAAAGAAATGATGATTCAAGTAGGAGGGCATGTCAATCCCAGAAGTGATGATTTGAATAGGGGTGCAATTAAATCTCTGCAAAAAGTCTAAAAAGTAGCGGGGGGGTTGGGGGGGGCGGCAGCCCCCCCCATGATGGTTCAAGAATTGATGATTCAACTAGGGGTGCAACCCCCCCATGATGTTCGAAGAATTGATGATTCAACTAGGGGTGCAATTAATTAAATCTCTGTCGAAAATCTAAACGTAGCGGGGGGGGTTGGGGGGGGGCGGCAGCCCCCCCATGAGGTCGGAAGAAGTGGTGATTCAAGTAGGGGTGCAATGATTCAAGAAAGGGTGTGATAGAATTTACAAGGCAGCGGGAGGGTTGGCGGGGGTGGCTTCCCCTATGATGTTCGAAGAAATGCATACATACAGACATACACGGACTACACAGATTACCTAAAATGTCGTATTTTGCAGCATTTTCTCGCGAAATTGGATGCTCGAAAAAGTGATGATTCAAACAGGGGTGCAATTCAATCTCTGCCGGGCCAGTAAAGTGTCGTATTTTACAGCATGTTCTCGCGAAATATACCCCGCATGTCCCACCAACATCCCTAGCATCACCCACAAATCGTGTGACGGGGTCAAAGAAATGATGATTCAAGTAGGAGGGCATGTCAATCCCAGAAGTGATGATTTGAATAGGGGTGCAATTAAATCTCTGCAAAAAGTCTAAAAAGTAGCGGGGGGGTTGGGGGGGGCGGCAGCCCCCCCCATGATGGTTCAAGAATTGATGATTCAACTAGGGGTGCAACCCCCCCATGATGTTCGAAGAATTGATGATTCAACTAGGGGTGCAACTAATTAAACCTCTGCAGAAAATCTAAAACGTAGCGGGGGGGTTGGGGGGGGCGGCAGCCCCCCCCATGATGTCGGAAAAACGCCACCTGCCGAAGAGGAACTGGGAATGCAGAGGATGCGAAAAGCCAAAAAGCCACCAAAAGCCGCATAAACCAGCAAAAAGCCGAAAAGCCTAGAAGCCCAGAAGCCGAGAAGCCAAGAAGCCGAAAAGCCGAAAAGCCAAGAAGCCAAGAAGCCAAGAAGCCAAGAAGCCAAGAAGCCAAGAAGCCCAGAAGCCGAGAAGCCGAGAAGCCAAGAAGCCAAGAAGCCGAAAAGCCAAGAAGCCAAGAAGCCGAGAAGCCAAGAAGCCAAGAAGCCAAGAAGCCAAGAAGCCAAGAAGCGAAAAAAATTCCCAAAAAAAAACGAAAAAAAAAACCTAAAATAAATACCCCTCCAAGCAACTGCCTAGATCGCCAAGTTGCGACCGCTATTTTCAGTCACTGTTGCCATCAGTTTTTGGGGCAACGTTCATGGAAAAATGCGAAGAAGCCACTGGCGCTCCAGGAGGAAGAAACCAGGTCGAACCCACCCATTTGGGTGGCCTCCGCGGAAACGACCGCCGCCGGCCTCCAGAGAGTCCAGAATCTCACCGTCCTGCGAAGCGAAGCAGCGAAGCCGCGCCCCAAAGCCCACAAAGGGGTACACGGAACATGTTCAGATGCTGTTTCGCGGTTAGGCACCCTCTATAGACACATATATGAAGTTGGAGCAGACAAACGCATATGTAACAAACACATATGTGCATATGCATATATATATATATATATATCATCCGTGTGCGTGTGTGTCCCGGACCAGGTCCGGCAAACACCACCAAAACACACAACAACCACACATCGCAGAGACTAAACCAGGCCACTGGAGAGATGTCCAACCCCTGGCATGGGCTTGCCCAAAAATAAGCGGAAAGCGGTCGCTTGTTGCAGCCGCCCCCCCCCCCCCCCAAACAAAAAAAACCGCACAGAGCCCAGCAACCTAACAACTGAAGGGCGTTTCGGCAGCCCACGAAAAACGAACGGAACCAACACAACAAGTAAATAGAAATAACATGATAAATGATAAACAAATAAATAAGTAAAAACAAATAAATAAAAATAAAAACATGATGAATAAATAATAAACAAACTAAGCACATGCCAACAGCAGTGAAGCGACGTCTGCCTGGGATATGTTTTTGGAGTTGCCCCAATCCAAGGGGACGAAAACTGCGCAAGCCTCTCTACATAGGGTGAATTGGGTACATCATACCCCAGTGCTTCCATTTGCTTAAGTCCCTTTACAAGTGAGAATGCATTTCCAGTAGTGACCGACTCCCTTGAAAACCAACAGGGGAGAAGAACACTGGGGCTCCACCAAGCAACAGTTAGCAATTCTAAAGCCCGTATATTTGACAACAGGCACGGCTATGTCATAGTATATCTTTTCCAAACCAGAAATTAGGAAAAGTGATGCGCCCAAGAAGCAACCAGCCTCATGTCCTGGAATCTCACCGAAGAACCCTTTTCCGGGCCCAGGAAAAATCCAGGCGCGTCAACCCCATACCCGGTTGCCCAAAAGAACCTAGAAATGACAGGTCAACATTTTGGAACCTTGACTAAAAATGGGCCAAAATTGGAGAACCTAAAGGTCAAAAGGAAGGTCCTGGCTTTTGGCGGGGGGAACCTACTTGCCCACAGGATCCGGAAATAACAAGTTGACCTTTTAGGGCCACTAAACCAGCTACTCCAAATTTTCGCTTGTTCATGGTATTTTTTGGTAAGCCGGTTTCCATGGTAAGTGTCTTCCTTTTTAGGAAAGCGTTGACATCGCGATCTTGTGTGCACCTGGAACCCCCGAGTAGCTACTTTTTGTCCAGCTGCGTTACCCGCTAGCCCCCCCCAAAAAAAGTTTTTGTACAAGGGCACTACTGGGGGACCTAACATCTCAGATCCGGGTGGGCGCTCGCTCCGCTTCTTTTCGGACGCCCCCCCCCCCCCCCCGGCCCCGGAACTCAAGCCGCCTTTTGCGCATCTCCGCTTCGGATTGGCCGCTTCGGAGTTGGCGTCGCTGAATTCGTGGCTCCAACCAACGTGTCCTTTTTTGAGGCCCCCCCCCTTGCTTGGTGGTTTCAAAAGGGAATAGGGAACTAATGTTAAGCCCGGATTGATCAACCCCTGCCTGGATCCCCAAGTAGCCACTTTTTTCCAGCCACTTTACCCACTAGTAGCCCATAATCTGGCAAAAGTAGCTGGAAAATACAGGCAACTCGGCATCCAGGTGGTTGATTAATAGGGGACGTCTCCTTTTAGTGGGGATTGATCACTTTTGGAGGGAACACCCCCTAATAATGGGACGGGTTTATTGGGTCAACATTCACAATTTTGCGGGGTCCCGCGAAAAAGACACACCCAAGCGGAACCTCCCCCAGCAAAAGTGACACTTCACGAGTGAATAACCGTCTTTCAACCAATATAACGGCAAAGAAGCAGTCGCCGGGTGACCCTGTTAAAAGGGCAGCCCCTTTGTAGCTCGTTGTAAGCAGAGCCGCCAAATAAGAACGAACCTCACCCTACAGCGGCCCACCCGGCTCAAATCCAGCAAAACGTGGTATCTACCTATCAATACGTACTCATATACACATTGATTGTGCAGATTGTATAAAAATAAATTTGTACATAGTCTTCTTTCAGTATTTTGAGGGTCCAGGCAAACAACCCTATGTTTAGAAATGATGATCCGTTTTTGGCAAAAAAAAAAAACCTAGCGTGCAAATGATTTTGGGGTCTCTCTCAGCGGTTGGGTGTTGAACACAAGGTGCCCAACCCCCAAAAAAAACAGAATGCAACCTTGCGGCTACCCCATTGAAGTTGCCCAAAGATGTGGGCGTCCTACAAATCAGACTGTTCTCCAAAAGTTCCTTAGAAGAAAGTAAGCATACCCCCGTAACCTCCTTAAATTCCTCCTTTTTCAGGGTTCTGTTGGGCCCCTTTTGGTAGAGGGTTGTTAAAGGGATTTGTGTTTTTCTATTGGCAACCCCTGCTTGGACAAGAAACAGAAGGTACACGACTGTTCGCATGCATCCTCATTTTCCCACGTAGGTAACCCCACTAGCAACCAGTGGCCGGCCCTGGTGGAAAAAGCATTTGAACTCGAGGGGAAGAAGCGGAAAATCCCAACATACCCTTTTGCTGTGATGTTGAAAGGACACCAAGTGGGTTTTTCCACACATCTTGAGGGTCCCCTAAACAAACACACACACACACAACAGAGGTCCCACGGGCTACAACGGAACTACCACCCTTTCATCGAAATTGCAAACCTCAAAATACAGAACGTGGATCTAGTTGGCTGCTGCACTCTACTCCAAAGTTCAAACAAGGGGATAGATTTACACCTCTCAAAGGCGCCGTGCTTTCGAAAGTGTCCCCTCACTGAGCCAAGAAAATTCAAAAGCCGACGCCGCCCCAAAAGCTGACGCCCAATCCCGAGGGCAGCTTCCCTCTGATTGGTGGCTTGGATTCGTGGTTTGCAGGGGTTCCGGGTCGTTTCCCATTAAAAAAAAACACCCAACTAGGTCCTCCAGTAGAGAGGTTGGAATAAGGGTACCCTTTTTTCTGTAGTCTATTTTAGTAGGGGGAACCCTCCCCCAAAAACAGGTAAAAGGGCATTGCTGGGGGACCTAGACAATAGAACCAGCATTACAAAATCCAAATCCAAACCACCACTCCAAACTTCACTCTTTTCCCCAGAAAACGCTCGAAAGCTGGGAGAACGCCTTTTGACCCAGGCTGAAAACTGCAGGTTCTTGGCTCAGAGAGGCTGTCCGGCGTAGGGGCGCTGTCTATCGCCGCGCCCACGCCGTGCAAATGCTGGGCCCTTTTGGCACCGCGAGTCTAAGAAAACTGGGCAAATTCCTATAACTTGCGCGCCTGAAAGAGGGCTAAACAAGAACGCCCGCGAAAAAATGGCACTTTCACCTTGAAGAACTCAAGCATTTGGCAAGCCGAAGGGGACAAAACAAATCGGCTCCTGGGGCACAATGTCGCACTGCTTAGATGGGGAAAAAGAGAATAGGCACTTGCTTCCTCAGTGCATGGGGCCAAACAAAGCCTAACTTGTTGTTTGCCACGAACATGGCCTCCTCAAAAAGAAGACAGTCCAGGAACTTTTCAAGAAGTGAGGCGATCTTGGCGAACAATACTAAGCGCACTAGTCCTCAAATGGGAAACAGGCAGGACGGAATAGGAAGCAGGTCGATCAGGCCGCGCTTTCATTTGCCCAAAGACATGAATTGGTTGCACCACCTGCGCACGCTGGTCGCATGGTTTTCACGGGGGCAGGGATGGCTTCCGGAGGCTCCAGTCACAACGCTTAGGGTCCAGCTGCGATTCGGGGAATTATGGGCAGCCCCCCCCCCCCTTTCTGTCGCAGAGGGATTTTTCATGCTGCATGCCACCCTACAGATGCTTGGGGACGCATGGTAGGAAACTCAATTACAGTTGTCAAGTCTAGGAGAAAACATACGCTTGCGCGTGAGGGTTGCAAATCATAAAAGCTGGTCTACTTCCTGTGGGAGCTGGAGAGGAGATGGGATGACCTAAACCCAGGCGTTCCCAAAAAATACTGAAAAAGCGGGACATTTGGTATCTTCCCTCAGTGATTCCCATGCGAATCGTAGATTTCGCCTGCGGTGACGTAGGGGTAGTGGGATGTTTCGTCCAGTGGGGGAATGATATTCCATGATGGCACTGGCAAAAAAGACTCAGATCGGTATTTTTTTCCAAAAGGAAAAGCCGATCGGTTTTCCAAAAATGCAAACTAAAAGAAGAGTTAGTATTTGAAGTAGGGAGCTTCTGATTCCTACAGTGGACGGACGAAACCCTGCACTACCTAACAAGCCTGGGAATGATGAGTGCCCAACGTAAATACCAACAAGTGGTTTCAACCATGGTCTCCAAGTGGTGCAACATGGTTTTCGCAACCATCCACAGTATTTCTGTCCGGGATCCATGTCTAGTTGTTCCTTGCGAAGGCGTGTGCCCCTCACAAAAAGAGAAATCACAACATCCCTCAGAAGACCAGCGAAAGCTTTGGAGTAACTTAGTTCTCCCCAACTCACACCTCCAAATACCCACTTTTTTAGTTGGCATTCTTTGGAAAGCCTGGTGTTCCAGGGTAATTTCTGTCTTGTTTGAGTCCACATCATGCCCTGAGAACGCGGGGTATATCGATCTTTCAGTTCTATGTTGTCAAGTTCCCTGCCCCTGCCATGCGAGCAAGGGAACCTTTTGGAAACCGATTCGTGCATTTACCACATGGTTAGTTCAACCCCCGTAACCTCCAAATATCCGTGGGCTTTTTTCGGTTGAGACTTTTGGAAAAACGGTAAATACCGGTTTTTTTTTAGTGAAGGGTCATCATACCCTGAGGAAAGCCAACTTTCCATCCAACTTCTTTCTGACTACCCAATCTGTTCATCGCCCGCGTCATCAAAAAATCGGCGCCTGAACCGTTGAACCCTCAAACCACCCGTCAAAAACGGGGAATTTGGGATTTGTTTCACCACCCTCAGTTTGGTTGGCAGCCACCAGCCATTTTCAAGCTGGAGTTCTTGAGGGTTCAGGTAGAGGATCGCCGGGCAGGCCCTCCCAGCAGCCTTTCCCAGCGGCCTTTCCCGGCCCGCCTGTCGCTCGATCGCCTCGAAGGATCAGAGGCTCCTCGCGCGGGCGCGGTGATTTAGATGGAACCCACCCCCGGAACCTCCAGATACCCACTTTGTTCAGGGCATGTTTTTTGAAAACCGATCCCTTGTCAGGGTATGTGTTCGGGGTATTTGTTTCAGGGTTTTCCATGGCAAAAGGGCTCCCCAAAGACTCACCATGACTACCCCAGCTACCCAATGGGACCCCCCCGAATAAGGCTACCCACACATACACCTGGACGTTTTGGGGGGGATGAACCCTTGTAAATCACAGAACCGCGAGATCTGATCTAACCGTGACTGCCCCCCCCTCCACCCGGGTCCCCCCTGAATACCACCGGTCACCTACCCCATGGAACCCCTCCATCAGGCCGCCCCCACATCACGTTTTTTGGGTTTTTGGACTTCCTGACGTATCCTAGGTCCTCCATTAGAGAGGGTAGAACAAGGGTACCCTTTTTGCTGTCAGTCTGTTTTAGTAGAAAAACCCTCCCAACACAAAAAGGGGCTGAGAGGTCGGGCACCTAGCTGGGGGGCCTAGTATCACAGTAGGCGCGCTACCCCCACATATACCCGGAGGTTCTTTTGCCCCCCCCCGCCTACCCCATAGAACCCCCCACGTCACAAAACGCTCCTCGCCAGCTTGGCGAAGCTCCCCTCCAGCGCGATGAGCTCCTGCCGCGGGGCTCGGGGGCTGAATCGAAGCCCGCGAAAATGGAGACGCCTTTTTTCGGGTTTTCCAACGCATAGCGTTTGAAGGTCAGGTCTTTGGAGCAGGGAGGCCTTCAAACATGATTTAAGACGCAGGGTCCGGGGTCTCATTCTCGGAAACCAACCTGGAATAGGTCCTGGACCCTCAAACCACCCATGCAGAAGTGGAACTCACCCCATTTTAGGGCAATCGCCGATGTTCAAAAGTAGTTTGAGGGTTTAGGCAGGTCCATGTTTGCGTTGTTTTCCGCCCTACAAGATATTTTTGAAAACCGAGAACATTCACCAAAGCTACTTCGGCCCCAGCCGAAGAGCTCGGAATATGCTGTCCAAAGTCCAGATCTGGGGTCTTAGCCCCCCTGCAAACAAGTTTGCACTTTGCGCTTGAAAGGGAAGCATGGGAATCGGACACCCCAAAATGGCAACTGCTGGTCTCGGCTTCCCTTTAAATACAAACCAGACGCCATTCCCCCCATTTTCAGGTTAACTGAACCGGAAAGTCGCACCATGTCTCAGCAAAGGTCGGCGTTCGCCACGCATACCGCGGCATTCGGAAGCCGATTCCTTGCTTCGCGGCCGGCCAAACTCTGCCCAAAAGACCCAGGACTAAAAGCTGGACCAACTTTGGGACCTGCACTACAAATAGGCCAAAAGGGGAAAAAAGGCAAAACTTTGAACAACTGAGCAAAAGCAGTCTGAACTCTTTGCCACTTCTCAAAAACATCCAGGAGCTCAGGTGACACTCGCATTGAAAGATTGGCTAGCAACTACCCGCTTTTTGCGTTGGTATCATGTCAACCCTTTACTTAAAAAAAGAGGTATTCACCATGGAAAACCAGTTTTCCCAAAAGATGCCCCGCAAAAAACAACTACTTTGGTGTATGGACGGTAGGTTGTTTCCCCAGGGAAAATTCCTTATTGGGAACTTCTTGTTGACCCTCCGGCCCCGATCTCTCCATATCAACCAGGGGTTTATTAATCCGTAGTTCCAGTCAGTAATCCCTTCCCTCTAAAGCTAAATGCCCCCCCCCCCCCAATACTAAGTGGGTCGCCCGGGAAAAACCGGTTTTGGCATTAGGGGCCCACCGTGGTTGCCTACTGAACTGCTTGGTGTTCAGGCTTCATCCACCGCACCAAGATACCCCCGAAAGCTCCAAACATCCAATTGTTAACTGTTTAACTTCCATTTGGTTAAGACCCCTGGACAAGAACAAACATATTTCCAGCAGTGGTAGATTCCCTTTAAAACCAACAAGTAATAAAAACACAACTATTCTTAAGCAAATTGAACTTAGAAAATATGTGCTTGGACAGCCGATCGGTTTTCCAGGGCAACCGTCTTTGGGAAAGGGTTGACATCTAATATCCTATCTGCAAAAAGTGGCAAGTGGGCGTAGGGGATATCCTATCATACATGCAGAAAGCAACAACAAAGAGAGTGTATCGGGTGTACAGGGGCTAGGCAATTTGCACGGCTCCTGGTAGTTGCCTCGCTCCACAATGCGGCCGCTCTGCAAGACGAAGATCTCGTCCTTGGCGATCGACAACTTCCATTTGGTTAAGACCCCTGGAAACAAATATATATATATATATTTCCAGTAGTGATGAATTCCTTTTAATACCAACATGAGAGAAACAAAACAACTCGCGCGGGCGAAAAGAGCGAGAGAGAAAAACGGCCCGAACGGCAGCTGCGCCATGGGCAAAACTCTTCCCTGGATCCCCAAGTAGCTACTTCTTTCCAGCCACTTGAAGCCCACTAGCAGCCCATAATTTGCAAAAAGTAGCTGGAAAATGCTTTGGCAACTGGGGATCCGGTTTTATGACGGTTAGGGCCATGGCGCCCAAACCGTTGTCCAATTCCTCTATTACCTTGGCTGGAATCGGGACCCCAGCAAGAAACTATATTGCTTGCGTGGTTAGTGGAAAACAAAGGGGGATCCTCTTAAGCAAAAAAGACAAACAAAGGGAGCTAATTCTGGGTTGCCAAGACAAGCAGTTTCGCTTTGCAGCTGTGTTTGGAAGGGAACCCCCCCCCCTCTAAACCAAAAGGAAGAACTGGTACCGCCGGAGGTCTGGGATTCAGAAGTTGATGACCATCCCTACGCCCAAGCAACAGCGTCTTGTGGTAGTGCAAATCTGCCGTCCCGATCCCAGCGGTCCTTCTGAGGTGGGGTTCCTCAAAAGGGGCCTGGGCATTATCTGCACATCTTACCTTTGAACACGAGGTCAAAAGGAGTGGTCGAGTATCAAACTCCCCCCGTACCCTCCAGTAAATACCGCTCCCTGCTTTTCGTGGATGGCCGACCTCATACCAAACCCTACTCAAAATACCCGCTTTTTTCAGTTGGTATTTCTTGGAAAACCCGGGTTCTCCATGGTAAATGCCTCCTTTTTTGGAAGAGGGTCGACATGATACCTTGCAAAAAGGGCCGGGTATTTGGAGAATCGCCGGCTCCGAGTCCGGCTCCTTCGTAAAGAACAACTTCTTGGGGGTCCAAATCCGAGCCACTTACCCACTTGGACAACTCGACGTGTTCACCGAAAACCCGAAGGGTTGGTTCCAAATTGAACCGCTACGTTTGATGGGTTTTGCAATGGCAAAAGCTAGCCGCCACGTTGGCAGATTGAAGTTTAGGGACTGCCTCCGGTCATTCTGGTTAGCCATGGTTCTAAGCTGCTTACCGTGTCCCTAACCAGAACTCCATTTCAGCATCTCCGAACGGCGCCCTCTTCGAAAACATTGTTTGGGATACCTTCAGCTCCGGAATGGCCTTCCTAGCTGCTTACCCAACATGCCCTGGTTTACAAGAGAATCCCATTCCAACCCTTGTTATGGTAGCAACAAACCTTAGTTTTTTGCAGCCCCCCCCCCCCCAAAGATGAACAAAACCAAAAGAAGAAACAAAAACACGCCATCCTCTGAATCACCTTGTGCCAGTGATGTTTCACTACCCAAGTTTGTGGCATTTCAGGGAGTTAAGCCTGTGGACAAGATGGTCTTCGCACCAACGAATTCTTTGAGGCCATCGAAGAACTGCCCCCGCGAATTACCCAGCTGTTTGTTTTTTTTGGGGGGTTGGCATCATGTCAAGCCTTTAAAAGGGATATTTGTATTTACCCATAGAAAACCACCCCCCTCTCCAAAGACCCGCTTTCTTCAGTTGACATCTTTGGGACAACCGATCGGTTTTCCGTGGTGGTTTTACGGATCCCTTTTTGGAGTAAAGGGTCGAAAACTCATGGCAACCGAAAGCGGTGCTGTGGATGGAAGAAATCCATTTCGCACCACTTTCAAGCCATGGAAAAAACTATTGTAATTGTTGGCAGTTACAGGGGAATCGAATCAGAAACCAGCTGGCTTCTGAAGGGTGGTTTTCGAAATGGACATCGTCCATGCGCAGAATTTGGAAGACCAACAGGGTAATTAGTTTTGAGCAAATGGAACAGGGGTGAGAGGTCGGGCACGCTTCGCCCAGGGCGCACTGGAGCGGATGGTGGAGAGGCGGTGCGCCACCGTGATGGTGGTCTTCCCCACCCGCGCGTCCTCGCGCGCTTGGGCGCTCTTGCGCGCGGGAGCCATCGAAGGCCCAGGTGGGTCCAAGGGGGGGGCATGGGGTCTGGGCTGTCCTCAGATGCCCCGCTAAAAGTGACTAACTTTTAGTGGGTCAAATGGAAAACCCCACTAAACGCTAAAAGGCTAAAAAGCTAAGGGGATGGCTGGGAGCCACCAAGGGGTGATGGGTGGGATGGGGTGGGTGGTGGGAGGGGGGTCGATTCGGGTGGGTTGGGGGGTTGGAGGGTACCCACTTGCACGGTTTGGACCTGGAAATGCGAGGTTCTGAGCAATAACCTCATTTTTCATCCATAGTTTGAGGGTCCAGGTATTTAGAGTGGGGGGTACCCCCTAATTCCGCTTCTTATTTTTACTTGTATGATGCCAACCCATTACCAAGAAAGGGAGGGAGGCATTTACCATGTCAACCAGATCGCTTTTGTCGAGCAAGTACCACCTGAAAAACTTGGTTGCTTTCTGCTCCCCTGCTAACAGTTTATCTTTTAGTGGTTTAGTACGGAAAACCCATTAGTTGGCAAACAGTTACAGTCCTAACATCCAAGCAGAATGCACCAAAGAAAAGACGTCCAGCAAGCTCCGCGCGACGTCGAGCCTGCATGGCCTGCTGCACCAACTTCTCCGAGGTGGAGTCCAGCGCGGAGGTGGCCTCCGCGAAAGAGAATTCCCCGAGGCGCGTGGATTGGTTTTTCCCCCGCCATTGTTGGGACAAAACCCATTTCGCACCACTTTGAAGCCGTGGGAAACCATTGTTCGTTGGTGTTTACAGGGAATCCTCATTATACAGTTTCTCAGGTGGTGCAGGATTCGTCCATTCACTGTAAGGCTTATGACCGGAGCCTCCAATGCGGGCCCCTTGTTATGGGCCCTCCAACGAAGAACCCGGACCGATTCCTCACGAGACCTTGGAGCACCAACCGATCTTGAGGGCCCAAAAATCATCGAATTGGAGCCTTAGGGCACTTGTTGGGCTTGTACTATTTCTTGTTGTTTCTGCATGGCCAGTTGACAACCCTCGGAGGGTGCTAGTGGCTGTTTCGCCTTTATCTTTTGAGTTTTTTAGTTTTTGAACAGTGAAAGTCTTAATTCTGGAGGTTTGAACAAGTTGATCAAGTGACTGGTACTCTGCCCATTGAAACAAAAGACACTTTTGGAGGCACACAAAAGGGGGAGATGAGGCAAAATCCGGTCGTCCCACATCAAGCGGGGTGGTCTGGATTCCTCGAAGATGATCCGCCTTTCGAACCCAAAGCAAGTAGATATGGTGGCCAAAACCAGGCGGGTTTACCAAGAGGTCAGATCCGGTCGATTCGTTATGGACACCCAAAGTGCTTCAGCTTCCCCTCGAGAACGAGGAATTCAAATCCCCCAAATCCAAACCAATCCAAACCATCTAAGGGAGACCTGACCTGAAACCACCTGACGTACCATATCCATCGCTCCGTTTAAGCGCTTGAAGCACGAGCGGATCGACCCCTTCCACCAGCCGCTTCCGGAAGCCTCGTCCAGCAGCATCAGCTGGGGTCGGCGCAGCAGGGCGCGCGCGATGGCGCAGCGCTGCTTCTGGCCCCCGCTGAGCTTCTCCTAAGCCGCGGGCACGTCGTGCGGCCCAAATCAAGCAACACACACACACACACTTCGAGTGGATGGGCCAACTAAAAGTAACCTGGAACCTGAAAACTATCCATAAAATGGGCTGCTGCCCTAGAATTATGGGGTGAGTTCCTTTTTTCTGGGTAGTTTGAGGGTCCAGGCAAACCTTTTGATTGACACTAAACTGATCTAAACTGGCCTTCCCAAGACGTTTCAAGGTCCCTCAAGCCCTGACCGGAAAGTGACTGGACTTGTTTCTCGCCGCGGACACGACAAATTGTCAACAAGTAAAAGCGGAAGAAAAAAACACCTTCCGAACTCAGCAGTTGCCTGCTCCATATGGGCGTGTCTTACAATAGGAACCGCGAAAATGGCGTACTGGGTTTCCTCTTGGTGTCCCTTTACCAGCCACCAAGCAAAGGGGTAGCCTCAAAAGAAACACAGACCCATAAGTTGCACAAACCAACATGAGCATGAGAGGAATGATGAAGAATGAAACGTGACTACACTTGAGTCACTTGCTCAAAACCTGGTACAAAAATGGTCGTCCCAGAACCATGGTTCAAGAACTAAGGCGGATGTCAGCTCTTTATGGCAAGGGGATCGTCCCTTAGTAACCGGATCACTTACCCGAATCGGTTTTGATTTTGGCTCACTTGGGAAACCAACGCCAAGAGCCTAAGGCTTGGGAACTCGGTTACTCTACGCAAGGCGCAAGGCCGTCGCATGCCATTTCGGATGCCATTTCCAACCCCAAATATCGTATGGCCAAGGGTCACAAACAATATATTAATAGGGACCCATCCCAATAGGGGATACGTAAAAGCACTTTCCTGCGCCTTTTGGAGCTGCTTTGGGGTCTGGCAACCATGGCCAGGATCGGCATAGGTGTCCTTTTGGAGAAATGGATGTCCCTGGCAAATGGGGGGGGGCATAAGACCATGTCGAACCAAATTAATTTAAACAGGACACCTAGGATCAAAATCACCCTCCACATGTGAAAAAAGGGTGGGGGGGGGCCGAAAGGCTCCCTATCTCACTTCCCGAGTGGATCGGCCCTAAACGTTTAAGCCTTGTGTGCGCAACGAGCATGGCCTTCCCGAAAAGATTCAATTTCAGAAACTCAGGAAATGAGTAACGATTAAAAAACTGTCCTATTTTTAGGGGGTGTTCCCTCCAAAAGTGGTCTGAATCCAACCACTAAAAGGGGACACCCCCCGATCAAAATCTAATGTCGACCCAGGAATAATAAACCTGTCCCATTATTAGGGGGGTGTTCCCTCCAAACGTAATGAATCCCCAGTAAAAGGGAACACCCCCCTACTAATCAACCAGGGGTTCTGCTTAATCCGGGGTTAACACCCTAAAGCCCGGTTGTCCCCCAGTGAACATTCCAATCCCCACAATTTCAGGAACTGAGGAAGTACCTGGACCCCCAAAGGACGCCTTTTTTCTGCCAAAGGACCCAAAAAACGGGGTACAAAGGCAGAAAAAAAAATGTGGCTCCTTTGGGGGTCCCTTCATGGAGTTCATCTTTCATTTCCTGAAATGGCCATGGGTCAAAAGCCCGGTTCTCGCCCAGTGAACATTCCAATGCCCACAATTCAATTTCAGGAACTGAGGAAGTGAGTAAAAGGTCGGTTCCCTTTGGGCAAGTGAATGCAGCCGAGCTTCTCCGCGCAGGCCGACTCGATCACTCCACTTCCTGAGCTTGCGATCAGCTGGTTTTCTCGGGCTTTTGTTAACTTGGATTGCAGGGTGTGTCTTGTTTTGATTAAAAAACAACTCTCACTTCTTGACTGGGTTGGCCAAAAAAACGACTTGTGTTTTTCTTGTTTTTTCTCGTGGTCTCTCCGACCAGCTTTTAAAGCACATGAACTCAGGGAGTGAGGCCCGGACCCTCAAGCGACCCTTAAGAACACCAAGGAGCACGGCGCCGGAGAAGACGTAGTCCATGTGCGCGATCCGCGCCACCTCCTCCACTTGGGACTTGGTCGCCTGGCGACGGCGAATCGCGGCCATCTTGGGCGAAAAGTCCTTTCTGCCGGACATGTTTTTACTTGCCCTAAGGCTCCCGATTCACCACGGGGCGGACTACCAATTCGGGGTCTTGCGCTTGATCCAGCTACAACCCCCCACACCCCAACACACCCCAAACTCTCGACCCCTGCCTGCGAGGCCCCAAGAGAACATCATTTGATTCGCTTTCATGTAACGCACTAATTACTAGGCGAGGGGTTGAATGTAGGAGTCAACGGGGAGGGTGAGCAAGACTTGTAGGAGCTCCCTGTGCCTCCGTTTACCTGGTAGGTACAAGTTGCGCTTCTCCGTTCAACAGCGCGCGGAGTTGCCTGTTTCGCCCCACGAAACCCTAACCAGTCGCAGCCAGGGTTTCAAGGTGACAAAAACAGAATCGTGAACCCCGTCCCATTTTGCATGCTCAGTGCTGAAAAGGCGCAAAGTTAAAGAAAGAACCGCTTGGTGGAAATTTGGCAGGAGCAGCCACAAAAGCTCGGTTTTGAGCCAGTGTGCACTGCTTCAGTCTGCGCCTGCGACACGACTGGGCGTTCATCATGCTGGCAGCACACGCTTGTGTATGACCGCGCAAATAGGAACTGCTTGATCTCCAACCAATAGGGTATTGCCTTGCCAGCTGCCTTTGGAGAAATCGGCGGGCGCGTAGCACGCAAAGTGCGGCGAAGGCTACGACAATCAAGCGCAGCTGCAACATCCAATTGTTGGCGGGCACACTGGCGCATTGCCAGTCGCAAAAAGCCTTTTAGGCGTGGCGAGGAGTTAGGAGCACACAAAACGTTTGGTCTGCGTAAGTAGGTATGCACTGATCCATTCAAAGCTTTGCCAGTTTCTCGGAACTCGGGGGCGGCAGATGTCGTGGGTGATGCGATCCGTGCCAGCCTGCAGCCAAGCCCTGCATAGTCAACAAAGCAATCATGAAACAGCCCCTCATACAGGTCAACAGCAGATGGTCAACAAAGCGCGAAACAGCTCTCATCACACAGACATCCACGCGTGGCCCATCCGCAAGATCCACCGACCCCAGAGCATGGTGCTTGGGGCTTGTTTAAGCTGGGGTTTTGTCAGGGGATCATTTTTGCGCCGACGTCTTTCTGACGCTCGCGGAGTCACGGCGTAGATTGTTGAGGCCCGAAATTTGACGAGGCCAACCGACGCAAACTGACGCCGACCGACGGCTTTCTGACGCTCGGGGCGCTGAAGTGTCGTAACTTCGCAGCCCCAAGGAGGCCAACCGACGCCAACCGATGCCGACGGATGGCTTTCTGACGCTCGGGGCGTCGAAATGTAGTAAGTTTGAAGCCCCACAGAAGGCCAACCGACGCTAACTGACGCCAACCGACGGCTTTCTGACGCCGGGCGCGTTGAAATGTTTGAAGCCCCAAGAAGGCCAACCGACGCCAACTGACGCCAACCGACGGCTTTCTGACGCAAAAGGAGGCCAACCGACGTTAACCGACGCCAAGCCAACTGACGCCAAAACCCAGCATCCCCAGCAACACTCTCTCCATCACCTGCAAGGAAGAACTCCCAACTTCGACAGGTTCCCAGGCACCACCAGCAACTCAACCAGATCCCTACACCAATTTGTGTTTGGTGTCTGCGTTGCTGTCTCAAGAAGCCGCGTGTTTGCCACTGACAAACCTGAAAAGAGCTGCAGCCGGATGGGGGGGGGGGCGCTGGCGGTTTGCGTCGGTTAGCGTCAGTTGGCGTCGGTTGAACAGGGCGTCGGTTGGCGCCCTTGGTCGGTTGGCGTCGGTTGGTGTCGGTTGGCGTCGGTTGGCGTCGGCTGGCGTCGGTCGGCGTCTTGGCGTCGGTTGGCGTCGGTTGGCGTCGGTTGGCTTCCTGGCGTCAGTCTAGTTGCGTCGGTTGGTGTCGGCTGGCGTCTTGGCGTCGGTTGCCTGTGGTTGGCGCTGGTTGGCGGCGGCTGGCGTCGGTTGGCGTCGGCTAGCGTCGGCTGGCGTCGCCTGGCGTCGGTTGGCGTCGGTTGGCGTCGGTTGGCGTCGATTGGCGTCGCCTGGCGTCGGTTGGCGTCGGTTGGCGTCGGTTGGCGTCGGTTGGCGTCGGTTGGCGTCGGTTGGCGTCGGCTGGCGTCGGCTGGCGTCGGCTGGCGTCGGCTGGCGTCGGCTGGCGTCGGTTGTCGGCAGGGGACGGCGGAGTTTCATGATATCTTCCGAAGTCGCACGCGCAGCAAGCTCAAGATCGGAGACTTTTCCTGCTCGCGACCGATGAGGGCGCAGTGAACCTCATGGACCTTAACGTCAAAGCTCTGAGCAGGCAACCGCTGAAAATCTCAATCTGGCAGCAGTGGTTTTTGCACATCTTGCTGCACAGCAACAGACATGAAGTTGCTACCGTAAATGTTCCTGCTTGCCCCCTGGACAGCCGTAGCCGGCTTTGCTTGATGTTCCCATCTTGCCCCCTGGACCCTCACAGCTTGAGTATAAATGAGTGTCAGCCAGCCCCGGTTTTCGGGGTGTCGCGGGGCGTGGACCTAAAATCTTGGAGGCCCCACGAAGCCCCAAGGTGTCTCCTGGCCAAACCCCAAAATGACGGGGTGTGAGTGGCACAGCCTGGGGCGAGGTACGAGCACCCCAAGGAGACTTAGGGTGGTTAAGACCTCTGGGAGAAACAAAAATCCAGCGGTGAAATCGATTCCCTTTAAAACCAACAGGGGAAAATACAAAATGGTCTTCGAAAAAGTTAGATTGTGGGTTGAGGGTTTCTCTTTTTGGGCGAGGCCGGATTTCTTTTATTCCGGCGCCCGCGATAAACCCAAAAGGAGGCCGGTTTTTCTACCCAGGCGCCCGAGATAAGACCAAAAGGGATTCCTGACTCCGAGGTTGGGCTGAGGGTTTGAGGTTCACCCACCTAGATCGCCAAGTTGTGTTGTTGGTTTTTGGGGTAAAGCTCATCCCCCGTTCAAAGCAACAACCTCTTCTCCACGGCAAAATCCACACCTTTGAGCGAGGCTCCAGGCTCAAGCAAGTGTAAAAAGAACCGTGGCCTTCAGGAACCTCCGGACAAAAGAAGAAAAACATGCCCGTCCCCTGTTGGCTTCCATTTGCGGAAACTGAGACATGGGCTATGGAAACCTACTGTGGATGGTTGCGAAGTGCATTTCGCACCACCCTTCAGAAATCAACTGGTTTCTGATGATTCCCCTACGTAAATACCAACAAACGTCATGGCTTCAACCATGGTCTCACAGTGGTGCAGAACGTGCTATGCACCCACTGGAGACGTGGTGGCCGCTCTAAAAGTCAGCCAATTGGTACCACAAGGCTGAACTCAAAACCGTGTAAAGATCCGCAGCCATTTATGGCGAGAAAATTATCCCTTCCTACTGTGGATGGAAGAAATCCTGCACCACCTAAGAAACCTACCAGTCAGCACCGGTTTCAACCATGATTTCCAAGTGGTGCGAAATAAATTTCGTCCATCCACACTATCCTTCCTTTTGCCCGAAACGGGTTTGAGGGTGTGGCTCACTTGGCCCCGAGGGCGCCAGCCCAAAGCCATAGGCTTCACGCCGCCGGGAAAATGGCCATCCCGCGGCCTCCGGATAGCCGTACTTCACGTTCCTTGGCACGGCACTCTGGCAGAAGTGCCCAGATCTGGATCCCACCTACAAGCCTGGCCTAGGAAGATTCCCAAAGTGGTTCCTGGTAGGGGGTTTCCTCTCAAAGGGGACACCGAAAAGGCCTATGCAACCAGGGGCCTCCAAAAAAGGAATGAAGGAAGGAAGGAAGGAAGGAAGGAAGGAAGGAAGGAAGGAAGGAAGGAAGGAAGGCAGGAAGCAACCTAGTGGGCATCTGACAAACAACTCGCATCCGTCCAAGTGGCTCCTCCAAAGAGACATCGAAGAGCACGGGCTCCTGAATCGCTGACTTGTTTCGTTTCCGGGGGAAAACGCAAACCGCCCTCCCCAAAAACAGGCCGGCGACCTCCAAGTGACCCCATGGATTTTTCCATGCTCCTCCACCCACCTGCGCCCAACCTTCGAAAGGAGCCCACACCCCAACTCAGCTTCGGTGGCCGGTGAGCCAAAGGATTCGGTTTGGGAGCCAACCTGATGCTTGCCTGGAATTAGGACCCCAGCAAAAATATATGTGTCTGGAAAAAAATGGACCAAAAAAAAGAGGCAAAAAGGGGAGCTAATTCTGGGGAAGAACAATGATGATGACAATGCAAATAACAAACATGGGTTGCTTCCTTCCTTCCTTTTTTGGGAGTCCCCTGCAAGGTTGACCCCAGATTCAGCAAGAAACATCTGGTTGAATAGGCCGTTTGGTGTCCCCTTTGAGTGCTTGGATTCAGACTACCCCCTACTCCAAATACCCTCTTTTTCCAGGGTATCATGTCGACCCTCTACTCAACAGGGAGGTATTTGCCATGGAAAGCCAGGCTTTCCCAAACACACCAGCTGAACAAAGCGGGTATTTTGAGTAGGGGGTAGTTTGAATGAGAATAACAACGCTCCCCTGCTAAAAAGTTGAACTTTTAGTGGTTTAAGAAAAAAACCATTAGTTGGCAAAAAGTTAAAGTCCTAACAGCCAAGCAAAATGCACCTCTGAATCTTCAGGTGACAAATGATGTTCATACGAACGCATGAAGAACGCACCAATAAACTCGACATGTTCGGCTTCTCGTCCACCAAACAGTCATTTCGACAACGTGGTTCTAACAGCCCTTAAACATGGGACGTTGCTCAAAACATGTGGAATTGATTTATCTTTTTCGTGTAGGTATCTTGCGGGTCCAGAAAGGTTAGCCTTTTATTTTCCATTTTCTAGGGATACTTTGAGGGTCCAGGTTGAACATGTTCAAACCGGAACAACTGCGCCTTCTTCCATCCCCGCCATCCCTGAAAGCTGACCAACCGACCACCAAACAAAAACCAACCAACCAACCCACCCACCCAACCAACCCACCCACCCAACCAACCCACCCACCCACCAACCAACCAACCAACCCACCCAACCAACCAACCCACCCACCCACCCACCAACCCACCCACCCACCCACCCACCCACCAACCCACCAACCAAGGCAGTCCTGGGAGACGACGCCCACGTTGCGCCGCCACCAGGCCACATTGAAGCTCTTCAAGTTCCGACCCCCCACCAGGATGGCGCCCCCCTGATCCATCGGAATCGCGAGGCACTGGTGGATGGTTGCGAAATCCGCTTCTCGCACCACTGAGAAACCATACGAAACCAGAAAGTTGGTTGGTACTTACGTTGGGGACTCATCATAAACCAGGGTTTCTTTGGTGGTGCAGGATTTCGGCCATCCACAGTAGGTGCCCCGGAAAATATCCACCAGTGTCTTCCATTGGTGGGGCAGACACCCACCCAAAAGCCGCACCAGTTGGGCAAAATGAGGAACGCAAAGAGATGTATAAAGCCATAGGGGTCCTTTTAGGGGAAATAGATGGGTTTCCCTGGTATTTGATTGCACCACCAGAGAAACCAGGAATCGCCCTCTATTTTTTGTTACCAAATCAACCAAAAAGGACACCTAAGATTCCGACCCGAGCACAACGCGGATCAAGACACGGGCGGAGCGATGATCGATGATCGACCCGACAAAACAACCAAGAAGGGAAGTCACCAATGGACTAGTCAGAATTTCGAGGCTCAAATGAGCAATATATCTAATATATCCAACCTTCTAGGGTAGTTTTGATGAATCACCAGTGGGCGCAAATGCGCAATCTCCCATGCTTAAGGGTGGTAGTTTGAGGGTCCAGGTACCCGTTTTGGGGTTGGCTTTCAAGGGAAGCCACACAAAAGAAGAAAACAAAGCCAGTTTTACAGGCTCGCGACTCCTCCAATGCAGGCCCCCTGGCCCCGCACCCCCCAATGAAGAATTTCCGGACCAATTCCTCAGGGGCCCAAGAAAACAACCACTTTTTGAGGCCCCCAAAGAACAGTATATCATCGAATTGGAGCCGCAGTTCTTGATTGCAGTTGACCCCCGTGCAAAAAGTTTCACTTCTTGGGGGTTTAGTGGAAGACCCAACTTGATTTCAACCAAAAAGTTAAAGTCTAAAGATCCCTTGCCCAAGAGCAGTCAAGAGTTGGCGGTTGTTGTTGTTGTTTTTTGGTGGGCCTGGGGGTCGTAGAAGCGCTGCAGCAGCGAGATCACCGTACTCTTCCCGCTGCCCGAGAAGCCAACAAAGGCCACCTCAGAACTGGCTGGGCGTGAGTGCTTTGGGTGAGATGTTGGCCCCATATTCATCAAACCCCTTTTTTTTGAAACCCCGGGCTCTTTTTTTTGCGGTTTGTTGGCTGTTTGTAGCGGTATATACATGGGCTTTGTGTTGGCTTTTTGTGGAGGGTATATAGTGATGGGATTTTTTTGCGGCCCCATATTGCACCCCTGGCTTTGTATAGTGATACATTCCCTTTTACAACCACCAGGATGAAATAAAACAACACATTCATTCAGCAAATGGAAGTGCGAGTTTAACCTTTTCCAGGTCCTACAGTAGAGAGGTTAGAATAAGGGTACCAACTTTTTTCTGTAGTCTATCTTAGTAGGGGAAGCCTCCCCAAAAAAATGGGTGAGAAAGGGCACTACTGGGGGACCTAGTTTTTGTAGCAGGTATATATTTGTGGGTGTTTGTTTGTGGCAAACGGGAATCCGTAGTGATCCAGTTTCTTCACTAGGGGGTGCACTTTTTGGAAGGGAACAGCCCCATATTGATCAAACCCCTGGCTGTTTGTGGGCAAATGGGAACCCCCTGTGCAAGACCACCTAACCAGCTCCACACCGGCCCTATATTCATCCACAGTTTCTTCATAGGGGGCGTCGCTGGGTGAAATCCACTTTTGGAAAAAAACATCCCCCTATTAATAAATTGGGCTTGATCACGGCATAGCGCGTTTGGGGTAGTTTGAGGGTCCAGGTACCTCTTTTGTGGTTTGAAAGGAAAACCAAAACGAACACTGATGCCATTTTGGCGGTGTAACCAGGTGTCAGCTTCCCTTTGATTGGCGGTTTGGAGCCCGGTTTGAAGGCGTTCCGGGCTGGGAAGCCCATTTACCCACAAGAACCAGGGCCTCAACCCCAAATTCAAACCACCAACCAAGGGTTACCTGAAACGCCCCGTCAAGGGGATCTCCATGCAAACGAATGGTCAAGTTTGATGATAGAAGGGGTGACCCTTTCGAGTGAGAACGAAGGAACTTCAGTACACTTTCACAAAAGCAAAGCAGCGCTTCTTGTCGATTTGTTCAAGGGAACCTCCTAATTTGAACGTCCATGGAGAAAAAGAAAACCCTACTTGTTGGTGGCTGAATTTAAAGGGGATGCCTTCAAAGGCAAGTCGAGCAGGGATGAATCACAAGAGGGTCATTCCCTCTTCCTGCTGAGCAAGCAAATCAAGTGACTAAATGTGTTGCACCTTTTCTGACAGGGTTAGTTCGAAATGGCACCCAAACATCGGACCGCAAGGAAAAATGCCCGAGCCAAGGAAATCTGGTTTGGGTGTGGGTGGCTTTCCTTTCAGTGTCCCTTAGAAGCTTTAACAAAAAAAAGGACACCCTCCAAAAGGGCACGCCCATTCCAGCGTGCTGTCGGAGATATGGAACTCTTTTGCAAGAGTCCAACAGGGGTCACCGGATTTTTTCCTGAAAAGTTGGTGAGTTCAAACAAAATTGCCACTTTTGGAGGTCCAAAAAAGGGAAACTGAGAGGCCCCTGTAAAACATCTCCAAAAAAACTGGGCATTTGGAGTAGGGGGGAAGATGGTACCACACGTTCGCCCAGGCTTTGTCCATCGCGACTCTCCTTTGGCCGAGCTGCTGCTGATCCCTTCTTGATTGTGAGGGACAAATGCTTCAGCACGCGCACGTTCGGCCGGAAGGGGTAGCAAAAGGTGACATCCTGCCGCTCAAAGAGCCCCCGGAACCACCCAAGATCCGTATGATGAACCAGGTTGTTACACCAATACCAAAATGTAAAAAACGGGTCTTTGGGATTTGGGAATAGGAAGAGAGTCAAATCACCAAACAACCGGCTGATTCAGAGGCTGACATGAGCAGTTGTTGTTGGTGTTTGGTAAGGGCTTGCCACGCCGACAAAGACTAAGGCTTGGTTGACGTTGGAAGGGGAGCAACAAAAAACATAGCAGTTAAGCGGTTGGATTTCAACCACTAAACCACAATAAGCAAACATTGGAAAAATGTTTCCCAATAACAACAATGAAGGGCTCTTGGAGCAAGGCGGCTGGTGGAATTTCACGGAACACCGAGTCCCGCCAAACCGATACTATACCAGGGGCCGATTCATAGGGTGTTTTTTTGCTCCAAATGTGATCTGGTGTGTCCTTGGAGGGTAGCCGTTTCTTGGTGTTTGCAGAGGGGAACCAAAAGGAAGAATTGCCACTTGTCTCTTCTTTCTTTCTTTTTGGGGAGGGGGGGGGGTTTTGTGAAAACAAAGGACGCCCCCATCGTCTGTGGTCAAAAATTTTCAGCGCGCAAGGCGCAGGTTTCCCGCGAGCGCCATCTGCGCCTTAAACTCGATGGTCCCGTCGCCCATGTCTTCCACCCGGCCGGTGGGACGTGTGGCGTCGATCTTGGACACCTCGCCCAGGGGAGAACGAGCCGAATGCGGCCAAACGGCTGCCCAAACCCCCCAGTCGGCGATCGGGTTCCATATATTCCACGATCTCCCCTACCAAGGACCAAAAACAACTCACCTTGATTTGGCCAAAGACGCGATGTCTTAACAACCGCATCTTTAACGGGGTATAATCGTTGCCTTAAGCCGCGGACCCTCAAGCTACCCTCAAAAAACTCGTTCTTGCAACCAAAATCACCAAGATCATGGTTGCCGAACTTCCCTTTTTCTACCTCGGGCCTTCAAACCGAAGGTGCCAAAGTACCCAAATGTACTATTCCGATCGAGACTGCCCCAAGCAAATAACTTAAATCTGTCAATCTCTATGGCAACCAAGTTAAAGAGTGCAAAAGTCGGATATTCTCAAATGTCCGGTGGATGTCCCTGTGGAAAAAACCATGGGCATCTTTTCTTTTTTTTGGGGTTGACTTTAAAACAGTCAAAAAAAAGGCCACCACAAGGGCAACTGCCTTGATAGCCAAGTTGCGATCGCTTTTGTCAGTCACTGTTGCGATCGGTTTTTGGGGTAGAGTTCATGGAAGAAAAGCGGAAAAGCCACTGGCGATCCAGGTACGACTTTAAAAAAAAGAAAAGAAAGCAAAACACACAACAACAACAACAACAACAACAACAACAACAACAACAACAACAACAACAACAACAACAACAACAACAACAACAACAACAACAACAACAACAACAACAACAACAACAACAACAACAACAACAACAACAACAACAACAACAACAACAACAACAACAACAACAACAACAACAACAACAACAACAACAACAACAACAACAACAACAACAACAACAACAACAACAACAACAACAACAACAACAACAACAACAACAACAACAACAACAACAACAACAACAACAACAACAACAACAACAACAACAACAACAACAACAACAACAACAACAACAACAACAACAACAACAACAACAACAACAACAACAACAACAACAACAACAACAACAACAACAACAACAACAACAACAACAACAACAACAACAACAACAACAACAACAACAACAACAACAACAACAACAACAACAACAACAACAACAACAACAACAACAACAACAACAACAACAACAACAACAATGCCAACCTCAAAAAACAATTTTTCCATACCTCAAAAAAACTCGTGGCCCGTGGCTGTGACCCTTGCGACCTTCGTGGCTTCGTGGCGGCAAGTCGGCGCTTGGCGCGTGCCTGGTCCATGAGGTGGAAGACCGCCGTCACGGCCTGATGTCCAGAGGCGGAGTCCGGCAAGTACTGCGCCAAGGTGCTCACCGACCTTCGGACGTCTGTGGGTTTTTGGTCGCTGCGTGAACTTGGTTGCTAAGTGGAAGGGTGCCTCTTGGAATATACCCCCGTAACCGGCCTTTTTTCAGGGTATCATGTCGACCCTCTACTAAAAAGGAGGTATTTACCATGGAAAACCAGGTTTTCCCAAAAATACCTTGAAGAAGCGAGTATTTTGAGGGTAGGGGGCCTACAGGGGGTAACCCACCAGGGTTAAGTGAACGGGGCACGAAACAAGTCGGAAAACGCCTGGGTTACTGGGTTAGCTTTACAACTTCATGGCAGATTAAACACCTAGGAGGTCCGTGCGCTTGAGCGGCTGGGAGGGGGCGAATACTGTGGATGGACGAAATGTTGCATCACCTAAGAAACCGTAGAATGAGGATTCCGCTGTAAACACCAACCCAGAGGCTCCTGGGGCTTCCAATGAAAGACGCGACCCCTCCATTAGACACCCCGGAGGTGGTTGGGGGTCTCAAAATCAGGTTTTTTTGAAGGCCCTGAATCAATCGGGAGCCTTTGGGAACAAACAATGGTTTCAACCACGGCTTCAAAGTGGTGCGAAATCCATTCGACCTCGAATTCTCCCGGTGCTCGTTGCCAGGCTTGGATTTTGTTGAGCCAGGGTTATGACCAAGTACCAGGGGTTTCAGCCTGGGCTACTGTTACAACTTACAAAAACTTGGCGAACCGAGCACGCAAGTCCAAGGGTCTGATCGGGGCTTGCACGAACTGGGGATCCCGCACCCAAAGCGAGCAGCTTGAACTTTTGGGCTGCAGGATATACTGTTGGACCAAATCCACTGCCCACCACTTGGAGGCCATGATTGAAACCATGGTTGAAAATGGATTTCGCAACCATCCACAGTTTTTGAGTTGACACCCCCCCCTTAAAATAATAATAATAATACTAATAATAATAATAAAAACTTGACACCCCTCGACCCCCCAAAAGCCCCCCCCCCCAAAGAAAATCACACAAAAGTTCCGGGGCCCGGGCATCACCCCAAAGACCACGCAGAAGAGCGTGAGCAGCACCTTGTTGGGATCCGTGTTTCCGGTCCTCGCGAAGCCGCGAAGCCGAGCGCCGAGCAAGCAACTGCCAGTGGCAACTTGGTTGCTGTTGTCTGTGTTTCGGGGAAAGTTGGGGAAAGCCCCTTTATTCCTCGGTTTAGTGGAACTTTCTTGGTTCAATGGACCACCTGGAACTTGTTTGTCAGTCCAAAGCTGTTTAACTTTTTAAGGGTTTAGTGGAAAGCCCCTTGATTTCAACCAAAAAGTTAAGATCCAACCCAATAGCAAGCAAGGGAAAAGGACAACTTGCCGCCCCTTTTCTGGCAGATTGGCTAGCAAATTGACCTAGGGGAGGTCCATGGCTGATTGACGCTTGAGCGGATGGGTTGATGGGGCTAATAGGCTAGGTCCTCCAGTAGAGAGGTTAGAATAAGGGTACCCTTTCTTGCCGCCCCTGTTCAAAACCAAAAGGAAAAGAGCGCAGGACTACCTACTACATGGGCTTGCCTGGGATCAAATGGGCAAGTCAGGAAGGATCAAGTGGAGACTAGGTCCTCCAGATTTGAAAGGATAGGAAAAGGTACCAACTTTTTTCTGCAGTCTATTTTAGTTGCGGAACCCTCCCCGAAAAAAGGGTAAAAGGGCACTACTGGGGGACCTAGTTTAGGGAAGCCACCCCCAAAAGATAAAGGCAAAGGGCGCTGCGTCCCTGGAAAATAGGGCAACTCTTTGACTATTTCTGCGTGATCAGTATGTAAAAAAAACGGTATGCGTATGTACTGTGTTGCCCTGAATGCGCAGTGTAATTACGTGGACGGATTCCGTGTGTGTGTGTGTGTTGAAACTAAATCTGCTACACATGCATCATCCTCCATTTGCTTAAGTCCCCTGGAAGAAAAGTCGCGTGATGGATTCCCTCTACAGCCAAAAGGGAAAGAACAACGTATTGGGTAGGAGCCTTAGCAGTCCGAAAGGTACACCCTCACTACAAGTGAGCGTGGGAGAACCGGAAGAAAGTTTCTGATTCGATTCACGGCAAATATCAATAAATGTTGTGGGCTTCAACCATCTCGGTCGCCCAGTTCGGACCCAGCAATAAAAGGTGATCACCTGTTGGGGCCTTTGCTGATAAATAGACCAAAATTGGACAACCAGTCGCACGGTTTTGAGGTTTCCACGGGACGGCTGGGGCGGTCCCGGCTTGGGTGGTGCGACCAGGTCTTCTGCTGTCCGGGCAACTAACCGTTACCCAATACCACCGCCTCAAAATTGGACCACCAAAAGGTGAGATCCGGTCGATTCGCGTAATTGGGCCACTGAGTGGTTTCCAAGCGACGAAATGGATTTCGCGCAAGCATCCGCAGTAGCTCACAGCTCTTTTGCAACAAACACTTTCCCAGCTGAAAGATCCAAAGGTGAGAAGCTCTCCCACTTCTGAAGGGCGCCTTTTTCTTTGTGGGCGCCCAAAAAATGCGGAGCGCGGATTTTTTGTTTGGTCAGTTTTGGAGTGGGGAATTGACCCCCCAACTTTCAGGTTCCCTTGGTTAGCTAGGTCCTCCAGTGGAGACGTTGGAACAAGGGCACCCTTTTCTCTGTAGTCTATTTGTGTAGGGGAAGCCTCCGCCAAAAAAGGGGGAGAGAAGGGCACTACTGAGGGACCTTGTTAGAGATGCCACATGAAAAGGGAACCCACCTCCCCCCCAAAAACCCAAAGTCCCAGCTAGCCGCCGGGCGCATGAAACCCGGGACTCCCGGCTGGATAAACACCGCGCTGAGGCCGAATCCTGCAAATGGGGCATTTGGGCGGGTGTTTATCGCTAACCTTTTGGGGCCATGGCTACATATGGACCAAAATTGGAAAACCGGTCGGCCTTGGGCAACCCAGACAAGAGTCCAAGCTTTTGTTTGCCACCATGGTCCAAACCCCAAAGATGACTCAACTATGTGGGGATCTATCTTTTGAAACACGCATACTGCAAGTAAGAGAACGGGGAAACGCTCGAATTGTCCGTTGAATTCACGAGTTGTATATTCTTTACTTGCCTATGATATTTTGGCTGCTCCGAAGACCAGAAGGGCTTCCAAAGTCCTTCCTGGCTTCCCATATGGGTGTGCCGACTGATAGTAAGCCTGGTTTTGAGCCACTTAGGAGACTTGTAATGATGGGTAAGTGGGTTATAACAATGGGTATGACCCACTTACAACGTACCCCGCCCCTTCAAGAACTGTCCCCGGTGGCTCCCTTTGAGTCGATGTCAGGCAGATCTACCAGGAAGCCCTGCAAGCATGCTTGGTTTACTTGCTGCACTGCCGACCCCGGCTTGTTACCCCCTACTCCGGTACCGCCTCGGCTTTTTAGCCGATATTTGTGGCTTCCTGGTTGCCCAAGCAACCAGGTTTAGGAAACACTCCAGCGGGTGTATCAATTTTCTACGGGTACTTTCCCCATTCCAGGGATCCTTCTTTCTAGAAAGCCGCCAGAAACCCAGGGAAAACGGATTGCCGGCTTTTTGGAAAGAACGATGTTTGAAAAGAAAGGAAATGGAACCAACCCCTAGAAATTCGGCAGTCCACCCTTGTGACTCCATGTACTTCTTGGCAAGAACTCAAGAGCGGAGATCTGAGGTTCGCATCCATACGTCGCTCGCGTCCCATACGAGCTCCAAGGCAAACCCAAACCAAAGCAGTCGTGGGGTTACCCGAGCTACTTTGAGACAATAGGGCTTGTAAACTCACTTCCTGGATGGGCCAAAAGAAGTCCAAACTTCTTGGCTGCCGCTGAGATTCATGGTCCAACCCCCCAAGACGAATGTCCGAAACGGCACTCAGTAATGTTGACCCAGGATTGATAAACCCGTCCCATTATTAGGGGGGTGTTCACTCCAAAAGTGATGAATCCTCACTCAAAGGGGGCACCCCCCAATCAAAATCAACCAGAGGTTCTGCTTAATCCGGGGTTAACATTAAGTGAGATTCTTGCGCCCGGCACGCGAGCGCCGGCTTTTGACGTAGAAGCGCGCGCCCTGCCTGAGAGGTACATGACCTGCAAAAGCACCATGCTCAAACCGAAGGAGAAGCCCTTCTTCCACGCAGAGGACGCCTCGACGCAACGGAAACGCGTGTCATTCAGGAAACCGGGAACCTGAAATGGGAGAACGAGGCAACATTACTTAAAAGATTGAAACAAAAAACAACAGGGCGGCCGGACCCTCAAGAACTTTGTGCCGAGGCATTGCCCGAGCATGGTTTTGCCAACAAAAGGGAATTCACCCCACAATTTGGGGCAATAACACAATTTAAGTGTAGCTTCTTCGGGTCCAGGCATTTGGCAAAGGAATGCCGAAGCCACTTTGGGCACGCCCATGTCTGTTTGGAGTTCCCGGAACCATGCAAAGTGGGGAAGGCTGGAAGATACTTCACTTGGACTCCCTGCAAAAAGTTGAGCAAGGCAAGCGGTCCGTCTGATGAACAAGGGACAATTGAGGAGTGCTTACAATGCACAAGGACTCGCTCGGCTTGGGACTTGTAAGGGGGAAGTTTGAGCGACCGACTTATATCTGGGTTGACTCCACCCGGGGGACTTCCCAGTACAAAGTAACCTACTGTGGATGGACGAAATCCTGCACGACTTGGAAACCGTGGCAAACTATTGTTCATTGGCATTTACAGGGGAATCATCATTCCAGGGTTTCTTAGGTGGTGCAGGATTTCGTCCATCCACAGTATTACGAAGTAACCCAGAGGGTTACAAAGTAACCCCTAGGGTCTTTTGGTACCTCCTGAGGATGGCTTGGGTGCACACTGGAGGTACCAAGGGACCCTCTGAGTTGCTTGGATCTTCGTGTGGAAAACGCCACTTGGGTTTTGCCACGTTGGCAGGGTTGACTCCACGAACACGGGACTTATGAGTGGGCACAGTGGGTTACCTACCCTAAACTAGGTCCTCCAGTAGAGAGGATTGAACAAGGGCACGCTTTTTTTTCTGTGGTCTATTTTAGTGGGGGAACCCTCCCCAAAAAAGCGCAAAAGGGCATTTCTGGGGGACCTAGTACCCTAAAGGTCCTGATGGAATTGGGGGGGGGGTGCGGGTTCAGGAAATGGACCGGTTCCCGGGTTCTGCACTCCAAGCCCCACAAAGACTTGACGTTGGAAGGGGGGGAAGGATTCTATCCTTGGCAGTTAAGTGGTTGGATTTCAACCACTGAACCACAAATAAGCAAAAATGTAAAAAACAAAAAAGAAAGAAGAAGTTTCAACCACCAACCACAACGAGTGGATTTTCCCTTGTACCACAGACTCAGTTGCCCAAAGGACCTGGAACCAAAAGGTCAACCTTTTGGGGCCATGACTAAATATGGACCAAACATGGAAAACCAAAAGGTCAAAAGGTCGGCTTTGAACAACTGAGCAGAGGTGCTCGGAGAAACCCCGAGTCAATCTCACCGCAACCCATCGATAACTTGCACCCCTTCGAATCCTTCGAGCCAGCGGATTCGGAGCGCTCGCTCTCAGGCCCGGGCGTTATACTCCGAGACCACCTGGCCATGGCTCAAAACCAATGGTACCATTTTTGGGTTGGTAGGTGATTGCCCAGTTTTATGGGTAGTTTGGGGGTTTTTGGTGCCCTCCCAAAAACGCAAAGCCTAAACAACAGGCCATGGTTCAAAGCCAATGGGATCCCATTTTGGGATATGTGCACCACCCATTTTGGAGCCTATTTTAGTGGGGAATTAGGATGTTCACTGGGGGTACGATTTGGCTTTTGACCCATGGCTACCTGGCGGAACTTCAACTGGGGCCCTGCCCGCGCAAGGTCAGGTGGCCTTTTGGAACAGCGGTGGGCGTCCCTAAATTGCCTGGATCGCCAGTTGCGATTGCCCCAACAACCAGCAACAGTGACTGAAAAAAGCGATCACAACATGAGACCCCGCTAAACCAGAGGATCTAGTTCTTAACCAAACCAACCCATCAAAAGGACATGATCTGAAACCGAAAAGATGCCAGAAAGCCGGCAAGCCATGAGATTCACCAGGAAAACCCCTCAAGAACTGAGCACCCCAACAGGTCAGCTATCAAAATCCTCCACAAATCCTGAAAACCCGGCCGTGCCCAACTCCCTCTGCATAGTCTTCCCCCACATTGGAATCAAGTCCAGTGGTGAAATCGATTCCCTGTAAATCTAGGGGAAAATACCAAAGCAAGAACACAGAAGCTTCTCATTTCCGCAAATCGTCCGTTTGCTTAAGCCCCATGGAACCCCAAGTCCAGTTAGATTCCCTTTACAAACAACAAAGAAACAATATAACATATGGCTGAAGCGGCTAAAATGTACCAAACTGACATCTTGGTAAATGAACCAAAGACTAAAACCTGCTTCACCCTAGCTCTTGAATTTTTTGAGCCACACCCCAAATTCAAGCCCGCCTGGAACCAAGTCCAGTAATGATAGATTCCCTTTACAACCAACAAAGGAAAATAGACCATATGGCCGTGGCTACAACGGCTAAAACAATGTTCCAAAATGACATCTTGGTAAATAAACCAAAGACTAAAACCTGCTTCACCCTAGATCTTGCATTTTGAGCCACGCCCCACCTAGATAGCCAAGTTGCTGCTCTTTTAAAGACTGCTGCTGGGTTTTGTGGTAAAGTTAATGGAAAAAAGCGATCGCAACTGGCGATCCAAGCATATTTATTTCAGCAAATGAACGACATGCCCCATATTCATGTTCAGCCAATTTAGGTCCTCCAGGCGTGCGAGGTTAGAATACGGGTGCCAACTGTTTCTGTAGTCTATTTTAGCAGGGGAACCCTCCCAACCAAAAAGGGTAAAAGGACACCTAGCTGGGGGACCTAGCAATAAGTATCACATCCACGAACTCAGGGAGTGAGCCATAGGAACAAGCCTTCGGGTTTTCCCAGCCAATGGCTGCACCTGAGTTCAGCGAAGGGAAGCCATGGATCGGATCCACCTGCAGGCTCTCCGACAGGATCTCCAGCGTCTGCTTCTCCGCTCCCAGCGCCCGCACCGTGCGGATCTGAGTGGCCGCCTGGAGATCGGAGGCGTCTCGGCGAGCGTCTCGGCTCGGCGTGCGTCGAGCGGCGAGCGGCCCGCGCCGAGCCAAGAGTCTTCCGTTTGGTTAAGGCCCCAGGAAGAATTAGAAAAATGTCCAGTAGCGATGAATCCCTTTTAAAACCAACAAGGGGAAATTCGCAAAAAAAACCTTGAGCAAATGGAGGGAGTGTTTGGGTTTGGAGGGGGGGGCTTTTTTCTTGCCCTCTACACCCAAGACACGCATTTTGAGGGGAGGGTACTGCCAACCCTCTACTAAGGCAATACACGCATTTCTACTGGATGGTACCACCAACGCTTTAACTGAAAAAGAAGGCGTTGACCATGGAAACCGATGCATGTTACTTCCATTTGCTTTGTCGCCCCCTGGCCAAAATACAACAATATATATCCAGGAGTGTTGCACTCCCTTGAAAAAACCAGCAGGGGGGCATCTTTCAAATTTTAAGCAAATGGAAGCTGCTGGAGCGATAGGTGGGGAATGTCCCCGTTGGGAATGAACCCAGGCCCGGGCTTTGGTGGTGTGAAAGGAAGCCACAAGGGCCTGTAGGGGCCATTCCATGCCTCGTTCCCTGCTGAGAACCGGCAAGCTTGTTGCTGTTGATTTAAAAGGGGACAAAAGCCCCTCCCTATTTTGAGACAAACCCGCCTGGATCCTCCAACTACCAAAAAGAAAAAAGGACATTCGTCCAATGACTTTGGTTGGCAATCACAATGCTTTTTTGTTGTTTAATGGGCATGGCTTTAACTGCCTAACGTGGGCAAAAATACATCCCTTTTCTTAGAGACTACTGCGAAAATGAAGGGGCACCTTCATTGGAGGGTTGGATCTGGATTTGAACGCCCGGATCTTGCCGAGGAGAAATGGGAATTCCACCCAACCCCCGCACCTTACCACCAATCCACAATCAACGCCTCCATTTGCATAAGCCCTCTGAAAAAAGAATCTCATTTAAAGAAGTGATAAGACAATCCCTTTAACATCAACAGGGGGACACAACAAAAACAAACTTTTTTCGGCAAATGAACCTAGGTCCTCCAGTAGAGAGGGTAGACTAAGGGCACCCTCTTTTCTCTATTTTAGTAGGGGACCCCTCCCAACCAACAAAGGGTGAGAAAGGGCGCTACTGGGGGACCTAGAAAAAGACACCTTCTTTTTCAGCCAACGAACGGAAAAACCTGCGCCGAGGGAGCCCATTTATTTCCATTTCTCCGGAAAATCGACGGAGCTGAGCCGAAGCTTCGCCTCTGTGGTGGTCTTGCCGGCCACTGCGTAGGCCATCTCCGCCGCCTTGGAGGGGGTGTTGGCGCACACCGCCACCTGGCCGCAAAACGACGAAACCGAAATGCCGCAAGAGGCCGTGGCTCCAAAAAAGGACTTGGTTTTTGGTAACCTCGGCTATAACCCTCTTACAAGTCCCCTGTGGGGTTAACAACTTGTTAGTACTGGGTTATATCCCAAGTGCTTGGATCCCCAGCAAGGCCTGTATTTTCCAGCTACTTTTGCCAAATTATGGGCTAGTGTGTAAAGTGGCTGGAAAAAGTAGCTGCTTGGGGATCCAGGTGGTTGCTGTAACGACACCACCCTGCAAAAAGGGAATACCTGTTTGGGGCTTTAGTGGAAAACCCCAAAAAGTTTTTCAGTCTAAAGATCCGTTTCCCAATAGCAGTCAAGAGTGGCAATTACTGACATGGCACCCAAAGGGAAATGGGTAACCAAAGACGAAAAAACCTGCGGTGCGTAACCGTAGCTCCTTCATTCATTTTGCGCCATGCCCCGACGGCCGGCTGACGTTTGGATTGGCGCCTTAGCGCCCGGGGTTCGGAGGAGAAATGCTTTCCAACCCAAGAAGAAATTGGTGCGCCTGGCAACCTGGACCCCCAAAGGACCCCGATTTTTCTTCTGCCTTACCAACCTTTTTTTTAGATCAAAGGCAGCAAACAATTGGGGTCCTTTGAAGATCCAGGAAGGGAGAAGTCATGAAAGAATTGGAGGGGGGGTTGGGGAGCTTGGGGAGGTTGGGGTAGCGTAAGATGAAAAAACATGTCATGAGAAAGCAAGGTTGTAGTGACTCTTCAGCCCTTTCAGTTGAAGCAATGCGCTTTCTTGGGGCTCCAAGGTTTTCCAGGGACTCGGAACCCACTTCGGCAAGCCACCTACCAACTGGTGCAAATGAGTAAGTCCATTCACAGAATGTTTCTTGCTCTTTTGTGGGCGGGGCTGGTCAAAGACTGATTTCTCATCCACGTTTGTTTGCCCAATTGGAAGAAAACTCGCTTCCGGAGTGGAAAAGCCCATCAAAAAGTAAACAAACTTGCTCATTGCCACAAAAGGCCCAAAGCCAAAAAGTCTAAAACTGGGCCCTCAAGCTATCCCTTCCACAAATGAACATCACCCACCAGAATTTGGGGTTGCGATGACTCATTTTGAGAAGTTTCTTCGGGTCCAGTCCCGGAACTCACAACTTCCATGGCCTTCACGCCCAGGTAGCCACAGACCGGCATCAGCAGCAGCAAAATGATGGCCTTGAGCGGGAAGCGAGGAACGGGGAGTTGTTCCTCTCAGGGGTGTTTGGCACACCCCGGTCCACTTCCCAAGTACAGCGAGCTTCAACCTGGCTTTGGCCCAAGCCCAGGCTACACCAAAATAAATAAAACACATGTTTTCAGACTCTGCTTCATATTTGACCAGCCTGAAATGCAAAATCAACAAAAAGAAGGAGGTACCTTCAAAAACAAAGGTGGAACCGGGAAGGGGACACCCGATTGCCATTCCAGGGAACATGGATGCTGACATACCACCAATCTAAGCTTGCAGCCCAGCATCCTAAGTTGTATGTACCCTCCGTGCCTCCGAAAACCATACCTGAAACCGCCTTTGAATTTGGGCACCTTGTTTTGGCAGCACAGCTGAAAACAAACTCGGGCACAATTGAGGGTCCAGAAGCGATTGGGGAGGAGACTTGAGCGAACGGAGGAGAAAAACAAACCAACAGGTATGTTTCCATTTGCGGAATCCGCCCCCTGGAAAACAATTAACATGTCTAGTAGTGATACCCCTTTGCAACTGGAAGCGGAAAATCGGGGGCTTCGCCAAAAGGAAAGTAGTCTTCCAGAACCCTGCTGTCAGCTTCCATGATTGTTGGAGGGAGGGTAGATTCCTTTCAATCCAACAAGGAAAATACACAACATATGGGCTGGGGGACCCGCAAAAAGGGTGGTGTTCCTTTTGGTTTCCCTTGAAAACCATCCAACAAGAGGTACCAACTCAACAAAAGAGACACACATATCCGCAAGCAAAACTGGAAGCGATCCCCCGTGGATGCGTGCCAGGCCGCCAACTGCCATGACCCGAAGAAGCTGAAGATCACGCTCATGACACCTCACGAAAGATTCGCGGGCCAGGCACCTAAAGCAAAAGGAACCCCCTGAGCGAATGGGTTTTACACCATCCCACGTATCAGGGTGGCTCGGCTTTTTTTGGAGTTGGTACCCCTTTTTGGTTGGTTTCAATCAAACTGGAAAGAAAAACAACCACCAGGACCGCCAACACCACAATTGATTGAATCATCGCCAAACAGACAAATGGGTCCATTGGCTGCTTCGGGCACAGATAAAACTTTGCCCGTTGATTGTGCCAAAGCATGACAATAAAAAAAGAAGGTATTGCCCGTTCTGTTGACTGGGGCCAACCCAAATAGGCATGTCAGAATATGGAGTTGGACCCCCGAAAAGTCTCCCTTCGGTTGTTTTGATTGTCCCTTTAAACGCCAACCTTCGAAAGGGTACCCTGCGAAATGGCAAACCCAAATAGAACGGGTTTGGCCCTTGTGCAGGCCCCAAATGGAACAGCATTGGGACCAAACAAATAATAGTTGGGCTTCAAACGCGCAGATGCCATGCAGTCATCCTATACTAGGTCCTCCAGTAGAGAGGTTAGAAGTAGGGTACCCTTTTTTGTGTGGCAAAAAAGGGTAAAAGGGCACTACTGGGGGACCTAGCTATAATTAACCTGCTCCCCCCATGTCCGTTTCTGGTCAGACATGTCAGACAGAAGCGGACACACCCGTACACTCAAATACATCCTGCATGTAGGGCCCAAATGGAAGGTTGAAACTGAGGCTCGGGCATGTAAAAATTCCCGCGGTCGTGTTGGCGAGGTTGATGCCCAGCATTTGACCCACGCGGTTCATGTGCCTGGCGCAGCTTGCCCATCTTGATCCCTCCATTTGCTTAAGCCCCTGGGAAAATAAGCATATGTCCAATAGTGATAGGTTCCCTTTGAAACCAACAGGGGAAAACACGTGTTCTTGAGCAAATGGCAGCATCCCCCACTAATTACCTCCAAATGCTCGCTATTGAATGTGTTTTTTTGAAAACTACCTCCAAACACCCCGCATTTTGGGGAGGACTGTTTTGAAGGACCAGGTGTTCCACGGCCAGCATCTCCTTCCTTTCAGTCAGGGGCTAACACTATCCCGTATCCTACCCTGTAGCAAGTAGGCGGCAAGCATGCGTCCTCTTGGGAAATAGACTCTGTCCACAAGCCGGGATTCCAATAGCCACCTTTTCTTGGCACCCAAGCGTTCTAGAAAACGGTTTGGGCGTGGCGGATCTGTAGATCCACCCCTGTAGGACACTGTAGGATATTAAAGAGCAAGCAAAGTATTGCTAAAAAAGAACCTACAGGGGAAAGAACAGGTGAAATCCACAAAAGGCACAAATCCAAACTGTTTTCTAGAACTTCCTGTCTCCTCCACCCTGCGCGCAACGCACAGGGCGACTACTTTTGTCCCGCTTCAGCGCATTTGCTCCCGGCGGTACCGGAGGTAGAGATTGGCGTAGCTGGTGTCGCGCAGGTATGTGACCTCGTCCTGAATTGGCTCTCCGGTTGGCCCCAGGGCCCCAGTATATAGGGGGCGCCGCATATTTGGGAAAATGCAGGGACCCCTCCCTGACGTTCGGCGAAGCTAGTGAGTCGTTTGCAATCAAGGTTGTAACCCACTCATAAGTCCCCTCAAGCGGGGTTGACATCTTTTGGGACATTTACCAAAAATGAAGTGAAGGGGAAACAAAAGGTCAACAGGTCGATTCGCTTTGGGAAAGTGAGATATTCTTAAGCAAGCACAAGGTGACCAGTTTATATATATATATATATATGTCTTTTTGGGGGTGCCCGCCCTTGTTTGGTGATTTTAAAGGACGCCAAAAGAAAACCCACCCATTTGGAGGAGGGGTCTCAAAAAAAAAAAAAAAAAACGGGGCGCCACCCCTACCTGCATGAACATTTGACGCCAGTTGGTTGCGTCCGGTAGGGCCGGATGGCTTTTAAGGCGTCGCTAAGCGGCCGCCGGGGACAGCCGTAGTCCGGCAGTGCCCTTCCTGAGACGGGAGCCGCCCGAGGCCTTGCCCTTTGGATGTTGGGCCGCTGGCCACTTGGGATATAACCCAGTAATAACAAGTCGTTACCCTACAGGGGACTTGTAGGAGGGTTACTGACTTGGCGAATCGAACACCCAAGCACCACCAAGAGAAACCTTCAACTCACTTCCGATCGAGTGGATGGGCCAAAACCAAGTCCCAAACCTAGACAGTCCCAAACTCGGAGGTTTCCCCTCTAAAAACGCCCCCAGCCAATTGTTCCGTTACCCCCTGTTTACCCAAGGGATAGCCTTCGGCTGCTGGGGGGCAGAAATGCCTCAACCAAAAAAAGTGCCACTGTATGCCACTACAAAAATTGCCTGCACAAAACAGGTACAAATTCAACAAGAAGAGCATCACTCAAATCAAAACAAAGGGCTGCTCAAAAAACAAGCGCACCTCAAAAGCAAGCGAATCTCCGACGAAATGCACCATCCAAAAAACGAAGACACTACTGTTCCCCCGCAAACTCACCACATCGCTTGAAGGGAAAAGCGATGGGGCTCAGTACTTGAAACAAAAGGCAGGGTTCTCCCCACCCATCCAAAGCACCTACTTCTCCCCCATCCCCCCGACCCACCCCACAAAACCCCAGACAAAACCCCACACGCAAAACCGCCACAAAACACCACAACCCCCCCCCCAACAAACCCCACCCCCCCCACCACCCCCACCACCCCCCCCAACCACGAGCGGACCGCAACGCGCCGAGGCACCGCAAGGTGCAGCGCTCGCCTTCGCAGGTGACCCCCGCGCAACCCGCCGAGTCCAGGCACCGGTGCCGCGCCTCGCGAGCCGAGCCGAGCGGAGCTGAAGTCTGCGAAAGCGCGAGAGGGAATGAAAATGAGACATGAGAAATGAACATGACAAATGAACATGACATGTGAAAATGACAAATGAACATGAAACAAAAAAACAACAACGAGAAATGAGAAATGAGAAATGACAAATGAAATGAACAATAACATGAGAAATGAAATGAAATGAGAAATAGCAAGCCTAGAACGAGAAATGGAATGAACTCAGTTGGTCTTTGTTGGGATGTCGAAGTCAGACTCCCCCAGAATTCACTCCCACATATCGAAGGGCTGGGGAAGCCAGAACCTATTGGCGATATGATCGATATGGGTGTGGCTCAACATTAGAGAGCTAGGGTTGCGCAGTTTTTAGTCTTTGGTTCCATTTACCAAGGTGCCATTTTGGCACATTTACTCACTTGCCCAAAGGACCTGGAAATAAAGGGGCCTTTACTACAAATGGGAACCCAAAATTGGAAAACAAAAAACAAAAGGTTAGATCCGGTCGATTCGCTTTGGGCGAGTGAGTTGATTTGAGCCACAGCCATATACACACCTTCTTGGCAACAAGGGCAACCAAGGGAAGGGACCAATGCGATCGATGCGATCGATGCGATCGATTCGGTACGACAGGCAAGTGGTGAGAGTAAGCCTGGTAACCCATTGAACAGAGAAAGTCTGACTTGTCTATTCCTTCTAACATGGTCTTCCCAAAAAGTGACTAAAGCCCAAAAGTGAGTAAAGCTCCATATACTTCCCCCCAACACCCAATACCCGCCTGGACTTTCAGGGTATTCTTTGGAAGACCGATCCATTTTCCATATCCATTTTTAGTGAAGGGTGGACGTTGGAAGGGGAGCAAACAAAAATTTTTAGCAGTTAAGTGGACTTGGAATTCAAGCACTAAACCACGACAAGAGCAAAACCATGAAAATCAAAACTGTTTCCCGTTGCAACAACCATGTTTAGTGAAGGGTTGACCATGGATTCCCCCAACAACAGTGGGGAGTTTGGCCGGTAGGGCGCTTTGTTTCCTTGGCCTGTTGAAAAAAACAACTCGCGGAGTCCCCATAGTCTGGCCTCATTTTACCAAAGTCCCCCAGGTGCCAGGTGGAAAGGAAACAATGTTGCTAAGCCCTAAAGCGCCAAAAATTGACCCGAGTTGTTTAGCATATGTTGCAAGACCTAGGTTGTTATAGTATAGATACCTCTTTGTTTGGTCAGCGATTTTTCCCCAACAGCTGAAAGCTTTGGGGTCTCAGCCCGGATAGGCTCCGGGGTGGTTCGGGGCGGCCGTGAGGTAAGGTTCCACGAGGGTTTCACGAGGTTCTGCGAGGGGTGGTGCGAGCACTAAAAAGAGCACCGTGCTGTTGGGGATATCACCTGAGCGTCCCGTGTCAAAAACTCCGGGAAGAAGAACGCCAGTAGGAAAGCGGCACAAGATCTTTCCAACAAGGTTGCGAGACTTTTACCCGGAAACCCGGAAACCCTGGCAACCCTCGGCATGGTAGCGAAAAGTGTTTTTTGTTGCAGGCCCCCCCCCCCCCGCCGCTAACAATGAAAAGAACCAAACACCTAAGCTAAACACTATGGCGACAGCGGTGAAGGACTCTGTGGTGGACCTCGGGACTCGGTGGGGAAGCATGTCCATTAGTTTGGAGGTGGTTCCCTATTAAAACTTAGAGCCATCAAAGATGATTGTGAAGTGTGTCCAAAACTCAGGCAAGGACATTGACACGGACTTTGGCTTTTCTGCACGAGAAACCTGTGAATGCCAAGTCATCCCAGGGCCTAAAGTACACACAGCCACAAGTTGCGTATGGCGGGTGCCCGCCCTTCTCTCAAATGCCCAGTGCCCATCGGAAAACAAGGGCATCCTTTTTTGGTTGGTCGACTTTAAAAGGAATCGGAACACTCGCCCCCCCCCCCAAAAAAAAAAAAAAGAGGCCTGGGCCCAACCACGTAACAAATCAAGCACGCCCTTTATTTCCCCTCAAAACATCACCCCCAAGGGACACTCACCTTCTATGCGCCAAAAAGGCGATGTTTCGTGCGCCTCGTTGAGCTCCAGGGTTTCCTGACCAGCGAAAACCAGCAGCACTAAGGCAACAGAGCACAAGGTTTCGCAAGTGGATGACATATATATATATATATATATATATGCATGTCCAAATATATATATATATATATATATATACCGAGAAAGGTATACCTGTGTTTTATTCACAGATTTAAGTGGCTGTTGTGCCTAATGCCCGAACATGCGTGCATACAGGCATGCAAGCAAGCAAGCGAGCAAGCATGCATGCATGCATGTGTATGTATGTGTGTATGTGTAGATATGTATGTCCATATGCCCTCACATGTAAATGCATAAGTACGCGAATAGTTTGCGAAAAGATTGAGCTCACTGGAAGTTAGACAGTTGGCAGGGGATCTGAGGGCAGCGATGTGTTACCCCAAATGTTACTGGTGACTTTCCTTTGTGGGTACTTTGAGAGTCCCGGGTAGTTGGAATACAACAAGTTGGTGACCTTTCAACCGGTTGGTTTTGTTTGGTCCAGTTCTGGAAAAAAAACACGACCGCTCACTCGTTGTTCCGATTTCGTCTGGGTCAGGGCTTGAAACCTAGCAGGAACGGTCATGCAAGCCGCAGTGAACACTTGGTAGATAAAGTGTAGTGAGGACAATGTCGGCATGGCCGCCTTCTAAATTTATTTTTTTGGTAGACCACCTCATTGGGTTGCTGAAACATGACTCGCAACATTGTGGAAAGACACATGCGCACACGGGACTGCAGTTTCCTTCCTTTTCTGCAGGAAACTACCACTAAACCAACTAAAACAGCCTCAAAAGCCAAGGAACCGGACGGCTTTTAGAGCCACCAAGTTTCCCACCAACTTGGGCTTTCTGCTTTTTGCGACGCCAAAACGCCGCCGCAAAACCGCGGACGGTTTTGCGTTCCGAACATCGACTTTC